TCATCCAATCCACAGTGAAGGTGACTAACAACATCTTGTTCATCTTTTAGGACCAAGGTCATTGCCTCATATTCTGATATGTCCATCTTTTTAGGGGCCTGGTGATATTGATTTGAGAGTTGAGGAATTCCTAAAAATGTTCGAAAGCAAACTATCTCAGATGACAAATGAAGACTTCAAGGTGAGTCAAACAATGCTGGCATTTGGGAGGTACACTAATTGAGTGACAACCTTCGTTGGTAAAATGAAATAGTTGAATAATTGAAAATTGAGTTCCATTAGGAATACACATCGAATGCTGAGATTACCCATTGAATTCGGGCGTTTGATCTATAATCAAAATAAGTATTTGTGATTGAATGACGTAGCCACTTTTATGAGCATTCCCTGGTTTAGATAAGTAAGGATATTCTCAACCAAGTAGCAAGTAGTGTAGATGTTCATATTATATTACTCTTAAGATGTCAGCTTGCCTTTTCATCAATAAGAATCCACAGCAGTGTTGGATGCAGGCTTGACTGTTCAATTTAGGGTACTTAGAGGGGAAAGTGAGCTGATGTTATCAGTCAGCCTTTGGACAAATACTGCTCCCAAGCCTTGTTCATCTTCATCCTGAATGGCTCCTGTGGAAGGAGAGATAGGGCATGTACCTGAAAAAATTGCATTAAAAACTTCCTCAGTTTCTTTTCCTGGATAGGCTCATGGACTAGTGATGGTGCATGTACCAAAAAGAATGCATCAAGAATCTTTTCGGACCTTATATAACGCTTGTAGTGGTGTTTTATTTTCTGGGGTAAATTCACTTCCAAATTTACTTAATGAGAAGTTCCTTTCTTACTGACTTTCCTACAATCCATCCCATTTTCAAGATTTGTACTCGAGTGCATTCTTGTGTCGAGGATATTGCAAACCAACTGTGCCATCTTTAGCTGGAAGGCATAACATGGTCATACTAATCGTTTTCCTATCATATGCAGAGCAATGTGAATGCATTCTACTGGAAAGAAATTTCTGACGGGACTCAAAAATTTGACAGGAGAGAAATTGAGGTATGAACAAAGACTTGGACTAATTAACTAGGCAAGTATTCTGTAATTGTTCTTTCTGCTTTGACCATTAAGCCGGGTGAAGCTGCCAGCACTAAGAGAGAGAAACACAATGAAATTAATGATAGCATTTGTTTAGGGCTAATTTCTCAAGCCAGGCTTCAGTAATAAAGTATTAAGTTCTTACAAATGATATGGGAACAGGTAGCGGCGCTGAGACAGCTAACGCAGCAAGAATTGTTGGATTTCTTCAATGAATATGTAAAAGTCGGTGCAGCTAGAAAGAAGACGCTATCCATTCGTGTTTACGGGAGCCTACACGCAGCCGAGTACACGATTGACAAAAACCAACCGGTTCAACCATCCTCAATCCAAATCGAGGATATGTTCAGTTTTCAAAGATCTCAACCTCTTTATGGCTCATTCAAAGGGGCTTATGGTCATTGTAAGGTATCGATACTTGTCTTCCGGAAGAAGAAAGTCAATAATGTTAAGGGTCGCTTTAAAATAGCAGTATTTTGGAATAGACGGAACGTTCGGAGTATTCTGCATTAGAAATGGATACTGTCGCGGTTGGAGATCCTCTATGAACGGTGGGACGTACCTCATTCATAGAAGGCCTACCCGCTTGAACTTAAATGTCGTACATTAATTGCGCTTCTTCTTCAATTATAACCTGCACAAGTAAAGAACGAAGTTTGTTCTCTTTTATTTAGCTCAGCTCTGAAACTTCTACACAGAGGGCAGCAGAACTCCTTTGACTTATACACAATTTCAGGAACTCGGTTGTACATTGGTGACACTGAAATTTGATGGGGTGTTCTCTTCTCATTGCGGTTACGTATGTATGTTGGGCCCCTGCTTTCAATGTCCTTTGCCAACCCTTTTCTTGTTTCTTGTGGCGTTTTTACTTTGTGGGGTGACCTTTCGTGTTCCATTTCCTATATGCCTCTTACGAGTAAAATGGGATTCCTCGCTAAGGAAAAAGGAAAATGAGATTGCCTTGGATGTGAGATTTGGTTTTACTTTTTATCTTTCATGTTTAATGGTGTGATACTTTTAAACGTTGAACACCACAATACTTTCAAGCATATATGCATTTCGCATAAGGGTTAATACCACGAAAATCTTAAACTCAGACACTTATGACACATTTACCCCAAACTATTTTTTGATCATAAAAAACCTCAAACCTGACACCGACAATTTTATCCCGAACTATTTTGACCACCAAAAACCTCAACCAGACACTCGCGACGATTTTACCGAACTTATCACGTAAACCTAATTCCGTTACCCGCAACTTCCCAATGGTCATTCAGGAAAAAGGAAAAACAAAAGTAAATGTGAAATTCAGTTTTTCCAATGGTCATTCAGGAAAAAGGAAAAACAAAAGTAAATGTGAAATTCAGTTTCGGAGCACAAAAGTAGAGGGCTAATTCCAAAAAAAAACACCAACTTAGTATTGAGTGACAATTCTGACTCGAACTTTTTTTGTCCCAATAAAAAGCATCAACTTTTACTTGAGTTCCAAATCTGACTCCCGAGATGTAAAATTTTCAAATTGTTTGGGCTAGATTTTGGATTTAAGTGAAAGTTTGTGATTTTTTATGAGACAAAAAAAAATTCAGACCAAAATTGTCACTCAAGATAAAATTGGTGTTTTTTTTGGAATTAGGCCCAAAATTAGAGAGAAATTACCAGAAAAGTCATAAACCTATTGCACTTATAACAATTCAATCATAACCCTTTTAATTTGGCCAATTTAGTCGTAAATCTTTTGACAATTTCTCAATGTCAATTTTGGTCTGAAATCATTGACGTGGCACGGCCAACGCCAACGCGGCACAGCCAATGCCGACGCAAACAAATTTTGTAATTTTTCTAAATTTTTTCCATCTTTTCCTCTTTTCCTTTTTCCTTTTTTCCCCTTTTCTTTTTTGTTTTTCTCTTATTTCCCTCGGCCAATCTGCGACCTTGGCGGTGGCCAGCAGAGGTGACTAGCCATAGGCGAGGCTTAGGACGCCCTTGCTGAATTTGGGCTAGGCAAGAGCGTTGCAGTCCTCGACTAGGTCTAGCGAGGGCCTCACACCCTTGCCTAGCCTACGTATGCCCTTGTCGGCCTCATTTTAAAAATAAAAAGGAAAAAGAAAAAGAAAAGGAAAAATTCAAAAAAATTATCCCATAAAGGAGAGTCGATATCCATGTCAGACATCCGGCCAAAGCCGGATGGACTATATATTGACAAATTATCAAAAAGTTAGGAATGAATAGGTACAAGTGCAATAAATTTAAGACTGTTTTGGTAATTATCCCAAAAGTAAAGAATGAGAATTGGAGAAGAAAGTCACGCTCCATTTTTTTTTTGTCCTATCTCTAACTCTCATCACTCTCTCTGATTTTTTATTTGCCTCTTGCAAAGCGAGAGAGTCGAATCCCCATCTGTGATACAAGCGTCTCTACCCCCAATCTCTTTACTTGCAGGGCCGCATGCATATAGACAGTCACACTCCAGTTTAGTCGGCTAGAAAGGCGATAAAAGTTGATGAGTCATCTACTCGGCCAAAGATGGTAATGGTCATCCCGAACACGCTTGTCCGTCACCGACATCTCCTTGTTCTTCGTTTTTTCTTTTCTTCTGGACGATGGTCGATGTTTTTCGATCGGACAGAAAGAATCGAATCAAACGGGAAGATAAAATTATGTTCCTTAATATTCCTCCAAAGAATTCTTCTTTAACAAGACAAAAATCACACCACTTTCTGAACCCAACCATACTAGTCCAAGCTAAGCCGATGATACGTCGCTTCATTATTTACTTCATTGCAAGTATCCATTTATCTATTCTCATCTCCGATTGTTACTGCAAAGATAATTGATTAATAGTCCCCTTAAGCCATCTGTGATAAATTGTTAAATGTTTTTTCAGGAGCAGATATTGCTTGATCGCGACATCTCAAAAATATACTTAACTTACAAAGTTATGCTCGATTTTTTAAGTCCCCATCATCGTATATTGTACACTCTTGTGAGGCAATTGAAGATATCAATCTGCTCGTCATTCTTGCGGTAGGTTCGATTACCTCCCGCTCGTTATGAAAGTCGAGGGGCTCATGTAACAACAGTAAAGTATACTGCGCATGTAATTGTCAGTCTCTCCGATCACCATGTCTTATTATAGATGGTTAAAATCATGCGACTCACCTGATGACGCACATAATCAACGATTCTGATAAATTCGATTTTCGTGGTAGAGCCGGATTAAGAATTTTTCGCTGGAATGGCCCACTCAGGAACTTGGGAATTTCTCCGAAAGACTCGTAGGAGGAGACAGCGTGCAAGGAAGATGAATTGCTAAGGCTAGCTTGGGCCAAAATCTTATGGGATATTTCTTTTTTTCTTTATTTTTGCCTTTTCAGTTCTTGAACAGGAAACTGATGTGGTACCCATTTCCAATAACCAAAAAAGGGATAATAACACAAACTATCCCTAAACTTTAGCTTAATGTGTAATTTGATCTCTGAACTTTTAAGTTATTTAATGTAGTCCCTGAACTTTAACCTAATGTTCAATGTGGTCCTTAAATTTTCAATTTGTTCAACTTAATCTCTGAATTTTTAGTAAATGTTTTATTTAGTCTCTGAACTATATGAAAATATACAATATAGTTCCTAAATTTGAATTAATGAAAGGACTATATTGTATATTTTTATAAAGTTCAGGGACTATATTGAACATGTACCAAAAGTTCAGATATCATATTAAATAAATTGAAAGTTTAGGGATCATATTGAATATTAGATTAAAGTTTAGAGACTATATTGAACAAATTAAAAGTTTAAAGATCAAATTACATATTGAGTCAAAGTTTAGTCAAAGTTGAGGGCTCTTTGTGTCATTTTCCCACTAAAGAACGACAAAGTCCTACCTTTTGTCAAGCCAATAACGCACGCCCTTTTCGAGTCAAGGAAGTTCACATGTTCAGACACGGTGGGCTGAGCTCAAACTAGAAAAACGAAGATCAAGAACTCTTCCTTTCTAAGCTTTTCTTCAACACAGAGAAAGCAGAATGGCAAAAGCTATGGTGGATCATTGCATAATCAAGGCCAGAAATGACAGGCGACAGTACAGGAGGGTCGTTCTTGAGAACTCTCTGGAGGCTCTTCTCGTCAGCGATCCTGACACTGATAAGGCAAGAGTCAATCCTTGAAACAGCAGCTCGCAAGCTATGCTGTTTCGCGTTCTTTCTTGTTTCTTGATTGAAGCACTTGATGGATGCATCTGGGTGCCTTTCCGTTTGTTGTTAGATTGGATAGATTTTCTAAAGCTGGTGTTTTTTTTTTTTTTGGTGCTCAGTGTGCTGCTTCTATGGATGTGGGTGTCGGCCACTACAGCGACCCTCCGGGCATCGAGGGTCTTGCTCATTTCCTCGGTACCTACTGTTTTTCCGTCTCGTTCTTGAAGTAAAGAACATTAATGGCTACTGTTTACCCCCAAAATAATTGGACAGGAAGACCGCTCGATTGAGCATGTGTTCAAAGGTTGCCTGCAACTCACATTGCTCGAATCGTGTTGCTAAGTAGAAAAGAATCAACTATAAGAAATCCGACTTAAATCGTAGCATCACCACCACATGGACTAACTACTATCACTATACTCCGATATCATAAGAGATCCCCGCCCTTTTGTTACTTCAAAACTTCGCCGCACGAAACTTGAAGGTGACTTGAATTTAGAACTCTCCTTCTGTTACTTTCTTGGTATCATGATGATTTTGCCAATTATCTCAACCAATGATGACTTTACCTGTTGCAAAGCAATTAATTAACTGCCAAACGCATGCCCTTGTTTGCAAGTGGAGAAAGGTACCCTGCCTTATTTACTTTTTCTTCTCATTCAAATGCGTCACATGCAGAGCATATGCTGTTTTATGCGAGCGAGAAGTATCCCGAGGAGGATAGTTTTGACAAATACACATCTCAGGTACCGATGCTGACCCTACAAGGCTTCTTTTGTTTTAGCTGCTAGTCTGCACTTTGCTTCCGCAAGTTAATTGTGGAGCTCAAAAGAACAACTAGATTTGGAGAGAGTCCGCAACATTTTTAAAGGCTGCACTCACATTTCTAGCATGTAGGCACATCTATGCTTCTCTCCTGTATAATTCAGTTTCATGATAGTTAAGGATTTGTGACTCCCAAAGTCTTTTCAATTCGGAAGGAGAGACCTAGATTTTGTAAGTAGTACTTCCACAGTTACTCCTGTACCTGTTCTACCTGGTAAATGCAGGTTAGCCTTTTCAAATGGATGTTACACGATAACAATTAGTTGACATGCTGATGTAACTCTCTGTTATTTCTTCGAGAAATGGATAAGAATCTCATTCATATGTAGTTCCTATAGCTTTGGTCTTTACTATGAAGGAGAGTCTCAAGTGTCCTTAACCGGCTCAATGCATTCTGGTGCAATCTGACCACTCTTCCTGTACCTTTGAGGAATGTCAGAAATTCTTTTACTTTAGAAGATTAGTTAATTGATTTGTGCTGGCAACTCGAAATGCATACGAAGTATACTCACATTTTAGATCTTGTGCCAACTGCCAAGGACTTCTGCTAGATTTTAAATTGTTTACAATTTTATGTGTTCAATTAGCTTACTTTACCTTGAGAAGATCTTCTGAGAATGTCTTGCTGTAAACTCTTGATCCCAATCTGCATATTTTATGGTTTATTTTCCTATTCAATGTGCATAGCATGGAGGAGGAACAAATGCTTTGACAGGTTCTGACCATACCAACTATCATTTTGTTGCAAATGCTGATTGTTTTGAGGAGGCTTTGGACAGGTGGATGGTAGTTTCATATTCTCTTGCTATCCAACTGTTCCATTTAGGCAATCTCTGAGTGTTATTTTCTTGTGTAGATTTTCTCAGTTCTTTGTCAAGCCATTGATGTCATCCGATGCTGTTAAGAGGGAGATCAAAGCAGTTGATTCTGGTGATTATGCTTCGCTGCAATTTGGAACATTATCTTCCTCTGTTTAGCTTCAAGTAATAATATCGTGAAAATTAATATTGATGATCCATCTGAATATGACTAATTGCTTCTTCCTTTTCTCTTACAGAGTTCCAAAAGAACTTCCTTTCTGATTCTTGGAGAATAGGCCAGGTACCATGTGGTCACCTGCAATTCTCCTTACATAGATTTTGACACCATTTGAATAAATCCTTAAACTGTATCTGGTTAGAAGCATCCAAGGATTGATTTAAGAGTGCTCCAGTTTTTACATCCATAGCAGCATGTTCAGCACTTTTTCAATATTATGTGTATTCTTAACCTACTTCTAAAAAAGGTTCTTTTCATACTCTTTTACTTTGCTGTGCATCTTTGCCAAGAATAGTTACAAAACTTATATTTCACCCAGTGACTTCATGTTGTGCTTTGTTTTTCAATTGTTGTAGATAGTCATATTGTTGATATACGATGGATTCTGACTCAATGTCTTTTTGTTTATTTCCCTCCGCGCAGCTTCGGAGCCATCTGAGCATGGAAGCACATCCCTATCATAAGTTTGGTACCGGTAGGTACTTCATTGACAAATCGACTCTGGATATGTTATAATATCCCTAGTTCCTATGTGGTGGAAGAGATCTTGTGAAGTGATACTCAAGTAAAGACTCGCCCCTATATGACATTACATCATTATGCCTTTAGAGGTCTTGGCCTATGTGTGCTCGGGAAAGGCCATTACATATTTAGCTGCACAAATAAGTTGCCTATGCTGCTTTTCCTAGCAGCCAGTCTTCCGATAACAATTCCATTTGTCCCCGCTTTAAAATTTCAGTCTAGTGGTTCTTCATTTTTTTTCCTCTTCAAATGGGACAATTTTTTCAGGAACACACTGCCTAGAAACAAATCACATTCTGTAACCAGACAAATGGTTTTAATTAGAAGAAGTTAAATTAAGCTTGTGTTCATTCACATATTCAACTTGAAATACTTTGCACTTTTTAGAGTAATTAAATATTAAACCACGCTTTCATCTAACAGCTTAAGCTTTTAGGACAGTTGGCAGTGGTCCCACAAAACCTCACATGCTATAAGAGCTAGAGGTCCTAAGTTGGAATCTTTTCAGGCCCCAATTGTCTCCCCAATTAAATGTGTTCACGCTTAGTGCTAGTCAAAAGGACTAGACCACTAAGCGTAGGTAGAGTATTAGAGTAATTAAATATTAAACCAGGCATTCGTTTAACAACTTAAGCTTTTAGAACAGTTGGCAGTGGTCCCACAAAATCTCACAAGATATTAAACTATGCCTTCATCTAACAGCACTGAATCACGTAGGACAAAAGCTAGTCTGAGACCAAATAAAATCCTCTAAGTTTCAAACCATCTTAATCGGACATATCGCTAAAGAAACTATGCTCATCTTTCAGATGCGTAAATGTTCAATGCAGTACGAATGATTTGTCTTTGTAGAGTAGATTTCCATGTTAGGGAAGAACTTGTACATTAGTGGGTTCTGATTTGTACGAATTCTGGCAAATAATGAGGAATTGAACTGGTTAATAAGCTCCTACCTGGAGCTAGTTCATTTTTTAATGCAATTCATACATACAAGCCAGCATCAAACACATTATTTCTGATTATTACTAGTACTATAAAGTTTTGGAGAAAATAGATGGCTTGCTAATTCTATATGCTATTTTCGCTTCCAAAGAAGGATACTGAGCTTTTTTTCTTTTGAATAAAGACTTCAGTATTCTATGTATGAATTGGAACCAACAAAGATGCTTATTATTAGACTATGGAATCTGTGACAAACTGTAACCTGTGAATACTTCACTACCTTAGGAAACAGACAAACTTTAGAAGTTCAACCGAAGGCTAAGGGGATTGACATAAGGCAAGAACTCATTAAGTTCTATGAAGAAAATTACTCTGCCAACCTCATGCGTTTAGTTGTTTACGGCAAAGGTACTGCTTGTGTCTATAACGCAGCTTCACAGTTACTGGATTCTCTTCATTCAGTGGTGCAATTTTGTAAAATTTCATGGATCTCCACAGGATCTCTTGATAAAATCCAAGATCTCGTGGTCCAAAAGTTCAACGCTATTTCCAACAACAAGGAGAGCAGTTTTCATATTTCTGGTCACCCTTGCGTAGGGGAACATTTACAGGTCCATTTCTGCAGTCCGCTCCCATTCTTTGTTGGAAGATATGCACATTCCTCATTTCCTGTTTGGTAAAAATTTCTGTCCAGAAGAAAGTTAAAGGAACTCCTTGTTGTTGTCGTCCAGGTTCTTGTTAAAGCAGTTCCAATATGTGATGATCACACGCTACAAGTTCAGTGGCCAATGCCTTGCAGCATTCACCATTACAAAGAAGTCCCATGCAGCTACCTCACCCATCTTATAGGCCATGAGGGAGAAGGATCTCTGTTTCATGCCTTAAAAAGATTAGGTCCGTTTCTCATGTCATTTACATTGCTTATCGTATGCAAATCCTCAGGAGGATTTATCTTACTAGTAATGTTCCTTTCTGCTATGATGACCTTCTTGATTGAGTTATTGTGTGGTAATTACAACTTAAATGTATGCATCTCATTTTCCATGTAGGAGATTTTTTTGTCATTTTAATGCAGCTCCTCTATATTCCGGTTTCTTGCACACAAGATGCTCGAAATTTCAACTAAAGCAGAATAAAGTCATGCTCTATGCTTTTTACTGAAAAGGAAAAGGGTCATGCTCCATGGAATTCTCTTTTTTCTGCCGGCATCAGGAGACATAAAGAGTTTGATTGACCAAAAGATATTCTGCCGGTATTAGGATGTATTTGAGTGAATATTGTTTTTTACTTTTACTTTTTCCTTTTCTTGTTGCCTTTGAAATGTGGCTTTAAATTAGTGTCAAACGCCTGAAACCTTTTCAAAACATGCAAAAATTGACATACAGAATTATTTAGGAATTTTTTAAAGTTTAAAATAACTCTCTTACAAACTTTTGGGGAAAGAAAAATTTACTCCTTTCTAAACTAAATAATTAGATTGGGTTATGCAAATTTATGATCCTCTGCGGTTGAGGGGGCATAAAAGCATCTGGACCTAAACTGTATGCTTATCATAACTATTGTAAGAAAAAATTAACTCGTGAAAGTAAAATATCCAATTAGAATTGCTGGAGCCAGCTTATTGCTTTGGATTAATTGTATTCAGCTAGTATGATCAATTCTCTTTTCTGAAGGGTTTATGATCTGTTCTGATGCAAATGACTTTGCAGGATGGGCCGCTAGTTTGTCTGCTTATGAGAGCTTTGCGGATTCAAATACCTCTTTCTTTAATGTTGTTATTGAGATGACTGATGCTGGTCATGGTAAGTTGTTTTGTTCTGGCCATTCTTGCCTCTGGGTGTTTTTCTGTTTCTTTTCGGGTCATTTGCAAAAAACCATTCTCATAAACTTAGGGCTATGCTTATTCTCTTTGGTGAAAAGTCCGTCATATAAGAAAGACCGGATTATGAGGCTTGAACTTCTAATCACATATTGCACCAAAAAGCAGAGCACATGCAAGATATCGTGGGATTGCTCTTTAAATGCATTGACATCTTACACCAGTCTGGCATTTGCGAGTGGATATATGACGAGGTACGAATCCTAAATACCTATTTAGGACTATCAGTTGCAAATATGATAAGTTCAGGATACTACCTTCGGCCCTTGCATGTATTTACTCATTTCTACATTATACATTAGCTAAGAAGGTAATTGGCTGGTATATGGACTTTATATCACAGCAACAATGCTAGCCAAGAATGCTGGCGCTCCACATTGCAGCATTTTCGTAATTAGGAACTTGAGGCTACATTCATTCAAGCTTCTTCTATACTTTGCCAGATACAGCTTTTATTGAATGTTGTCAGAGCAAGTCTCTTAGGGGACATTCACATTATCGATTGTAATAGTTATAGAAATAATAGCCTCAAACAGTTGTGAGAAATCGACTTTTTGATGACACGTGTCCTTCTTAAAGATCCATCTGTCCTTCAATAGCTGTCACAAATGTGAAGATGTTTCCATCATGGTAAATGTTCTGCAAAATGTGGAAAAATAATTTATTGGACAACTCTGAATACGGATAGAACTGGCAGATGTCTCCATTAGGGCTTCAAAGGGGAGTCATCTAAGTTTTGGTCCTTGGAGCTCTATCTTTGATCGTGACTTTCGTAATATGGTAGTGCATTATAATGTAAGCTTACAAGTACATGAAGCTTGTCAAGGGTACTTTTCTTACTAGAATAGTTGCTCTTAGTTTGTTAAATGAGAAAGCACTGCCTCCTTTCTGTCAAAAGAGAATAATGCATCTATTGAAGTATCTCACTTCGCTTGTCTACGGGGTTTCATGGGCTTTATATTCATGTGGTCTCCCTCCACATTCCAGCTTAAGCTTTTGGGTTGGACATTCTAACAGCATCAAGGTCGGTTTTTGACAAGCCTAATAAAAAGAAAGAGATTGTAACTCTCTATTCCTTGTCAATGATTTGTTGAGCAGTAACTAAAGACACTTACTAGGCACTACCGTGTGTATATGTGTCCATTTCTAAAATATTTGAAATGAGTAAAATGTTACTTTAAATTTATTTGTCTGTCTTTGCACCAAAAAGAAGAAAGGAATGAGTAAATTATTGCATTTCGTACGTGACTAGTAAATTAAACTTAACATTTCAAAATTTCAAAGTACATTAAACCTGTCAAATTGATCACAAATGGTAGTTGCATGGAATGAGTGAATGTGCTTCAAGTTTGAATTGGAATTAAAGGAATCTGGACCCACCCTGTATGAGTACCTCATCTTATGTGATCACATTAAATATGAATGTCAAAGGTTATCATCTAACATCTTCTCTGTGGATCCCCATTTTAATCTTTCGGTGAAGATTGCAGCTGTAAATGAGACGATGTTCCATAATCAGGATAAGATATCTCCAATGAGTTATGTGCTCTCTATAGCATCAAATATGAAGGTATCCAAACTTTCTTTGTATAATGCGTTTACCTCTTTTAATTGATGATGTGCACGCATTCTATGGTAAACATTTATATCTTTTCTAGTTTAAACTTCAGACCAATCCCACTGGCCATCTTCAAGTAAACTGGAATAGATATGATGTAGATTCTAGATATTATCTCTTGGAAATTTAGGAGTCAGAGGGAATTGGTGTAATGAGGTAATATAAAGTTTTATTCAGATTTAACTTAGATTTTTGGGTTACAATGACACCTGACGGAAGTAGTAAGATGTGATCAATTTCCTTTGCTAGACAATAAGTACATCTGGTTATACTCGGATGTTTCGTGTATTAATTACAGTGTTCAAGAGCAGTATCAAACCAGCTTTAAAATATTGGAATTTAGCTTATAGCTTCTACAAAAAAATTTCCCCTTTCTCCACTCAGTCCATTACTTTGGTCAACTTAGTTATAGCTCTCTCTTTTCCTGCTAAATTTGATTTTTGGGGTATGAATCAGGAAAAGTGGCATATGATAACTATTTCAGAAAAAAACATAACTCCAAAAGGCATTGGAATATTAATATCAATTTTTGTCAGTTGTACCCGCCAAAAGATTGGCTAGTGAAGTCGTCCTTGCCTTCCAAATTTAATCCCAGCATCATCCGTGCAGTACTCGAGAAGCTTTCTTCAGAAAACTTCCGGTAAGTTTGTCTTGTCCTGCATTCGTTGATACGCGTACATTAGAGATATCCTTTCGTCTTATGGGCATCTTAGAGAAAAAGGTTACAGCAGTCCTCAGTGATTTTTGTTTCTGAAAATATACCATAGCAACTAGAAAGAATTGTGAATGTGTCAAATACATCAACATTATGGATTTGCTGATATGCTATCAAAATTTCATCATTTATTTACTTCCATGTTTATGAAGTTATTGCATTCAGGAAAAGGATAAATGCTTTTTTTACTCACTGAGTGACGTAGGATGGCATTGTCAATATTTTTTATATCTTCCTAGGCTTCCCTCTTAATGTATGCAGTTCTCAAAAAAGTTAGTTTTGATTGTCATGACTTTCTGAAATACTTCCATTAGCCTAATTGGATCATATGCTTGAGCTTCGAGAATTTCCATCTCATTCTTTCATGTGACCAACAGAATTTTTTGGGTGTCAAAGAAATTTGAAGGGGAAACTAACATGGTTGAGCCATGGTATGCAACTGCATATTGTGTAGATAAACTTACCGACTCGACAATCCAGGTATTGAAAGATGAGGTCCTCACATACTTTAACCGTTTGTTAGTGTAATAGTCAACTTCCAAAGAATGCATTTTGATGTTCACTTTTGATTCCTTATTGGATATCAGGAATGGGTGCAGCATGCTCCAAGTGAACATCTTCATTTGCCAGTGGCTAATCAGTTTATTGCCACTGACTTGTCCCTCAAGAAGACTGCTAAGGTGGTCTGATCAATCTTAGGTCCATTTGGCGTGCTTTTTGAACTAATCCACTGTCTTGATGTTTGTAACATTGGATCAGGTCATGTATCCAGTTTTGTTGAGGAAAACAAGCTTTTCGACGTTATGGTACAAGCCTGATACGGTGTTCTCTGTTCCTAAGGCTACTGTACATCTAAAATTCAACTGCCCTTATGCTTGCAACTCTCCTCATGCTGAACTTCTTGCAAGAATTTTTAAGCATTTAGTATGTGATTACTTGAATGAATATGGTAAGGCTTTGATGGTTTTTAAGCGTTAAGTGGTCATGCAATCATTTATGATGTTTCTTTTGATGGAAACCAGCAACGCCTGGAAAAACGATTGTAGCCTAAAGATGTCTCTCAGGTCGTAACTTGTCTTCATAACACTTGCAGATGCATCAAAAACCAATCCTTAACAATAATTCTTGAATCTTGTCCTTAAAGATCTCTTTAGATTTTTTTTTTTCCTGATGTATTCAGCGTATTATGCTGAGCTTGCTGGACTATATTACGGAATATGCCAGACAGATGATGGATTTGAGGTATGTAGCTCTTGCTAAAGTTAAATTTGATATGCAGTTTATACTGCGTAAGAGGATAACCAGGTGCTCTCTGGACTCTTTGATGCTCGCCTCGCAATGCCTTTAGCTTCATTTCTTTGTGGAATCAATTAGTCAAGAATGAGAGAAGTGATTATCGGGCCAAATTTTGGACTTTCAAAAGATTGTTGGAACTGGCAAGAGTTGGCTCTTCTTCATCTTATACCATTCTTTTAGTAAATTAAGGAAAGATGCGCATCTTTGTGCAAAAAAAAGAGACAGCTGAGTATCTGGAGTGCTGTGCCCAATATCCTGTATTTAAGTATCGCACCATAAGTATTTCAGATATGTTAAGAAATAAGGTGCACGGTTCTCTTTTGTAATTGTGTCAATTTCCTATCTGCGGCCTCATTTTGTCATGCATGATTTGCTTGTGGCTATTGGTTAGTCATTCGTTTTTTCTGTCCCATACCATCAACCTTTATCTTGCTGCAAGATGCTTCAGTCTACTACCCCCAAGCTTTCTTTAGTGTGTCATAAATTATTCTGACTATGTAATTTGCCCGCATGGGTGACAGAATTACCTTCTTTTATGTAGCCAAAGGAAAAGAATACGCCCACATATATACACACTAATATTTGTATATGTATGTGTGTGTATGTGTGTATTTACATATATATACAAATTGGGCATTGCTTTGATGCAGAAATATATAATTTCCTTTTTCACATCTCATTCCTCCAGTAATTGCGGTTCTCCATTTATAACATGCTCACTCTTTTTTCTGATTTTCTTAAGCTCAATGTCAGTGGCTATAATCATAAGTTGCGGGTATTACTGGATACCGTCCTGAAAGCAATGGCAAATTTTACAGTGAAGCCAGAAAGATTTTCTGTGATCAAGGTAATCATGAAAATTTATGCTGCAGAAAGAGATTATATTAGTTCCTGCGTGTCAATAATCTTTCGTACGCTTGGTTGAGGAAAGGTAGATAAGTGCAGGCAGATGCAGTAACTACTTTTTACATTGTTTGACTTTTGTTATATGCTCTACCAAAACATTTGCATTAGTTCCTGTAAGGAAGGACTGCAGAATAAAAGTTTTTTTGGGGCCATCAGGACTGCAGAACAATAGGAAAAGCATCCTGTTATGTGGGTTTTGTATTGGTGGAAATTGTGGATACTACCGCTAATTGATCTAGTAGATCAAGCTGAAACATGAAGACATGGTTTACTGTTTCAGTATTTCAACAACCCCGCATGCATAGGCTAAACTTTGACCTAAGACTGAAGTGTGGAAATTGACTACAGTTGGGGGCTCAGGAAAGGTTTGTTAGGACCTGTTGTAATACCATGTTGAAATTGCAGGACCTTGTTAAGTTCGAGCTTTTAGACGGAGATATAATTTAAAATTTTAATATATTAACAAGTTTGATGTATCGAAATACTTTAAGCAATATTGATATTATTTTTGCCTTTGTCATACTCTCAAAGTGAATCTTGGCACAAAGTGCTGTGAACTTGACAAATCCATGTTCTCATGGAGATCAAATAGCACGGGGAAGACCAATTTATTGTTAACTCTGGTCAACTTTTCTCAAGAAGCTTCCACGACATTAGGCAGATATGCCAGTCATTTTGCAGAGTAATGCTTTTATCTGGTCATATTCAATTTCCAATCAGGAAATCTCTTAGTACATGACTAAGTCGTGAAATCGTGAAGGGTCCAAATACACTTTGCCGATTCAAGTAATACATCTCAAAAAGGGCCACCACTAGAGCAGTGGCTTCCAGATTGGTTCTGTTGTGCTTTGACATTAAAAACTTCATAAAATGATCTTATGCGTCAAGCTTCCTGAGCTATGTACTGGGTGCACCAATTAATATTAATACTCGTATTTTATTGTCTTCCAGGAGAAGTTGACAAAAAGTTATCAGAATTTCAAATTTGATGAGCCAAGGTTTCATGCCTCATATTATCGCTCTTTAATATTAAATGACCATTCATGGCCTTGGGAGGAAGATCTAGAAATACTTGAGACTCTTAAGCCTAACGACCTTTCACGGTTTGCACCTACAATGCTCTCGAGAGCATTCTTAGAATGTTACATAGCAGGTTCAGTATGTTTAGAAGATTTCCCTTTCTTTTGTTATATAACTGTTTCATAATTGAACCTTGATCTTCTTTTATTTTGTTATCATCTCATAGGGAATATAGAGCGTGATGAAGCAGAGTCAATTGTTCATCATATCGAAGATATTTTCTTTGATGGTTCTCATCCTATATGCAAGCCAGTGCTCCAATCCCAGCTCATAACAAGCAGACTCGTCGCACTTGATGAGGGTGTAAGTTACGTCTACTCAACTGAAGGCCTAAACCCTAATGATGAGAATTCTGCATTGGTTCACTATATTCAGGTACTTTTACTCAACTATATTAATGAAAAGAACAAATTTCTGTCCGCATAACTTTATCACGAAATCTTTTGGCCCGTCTTTTGCCTGAATACACGTTCAAGACGACTCCCGGCTCCTTTAGATGAGCTAAATTGGCCTAGGCCACCTTTTTGTTAGTATGTTTCTCTGGGTATGTGAGGCTGTATTTAGCTTGTAATTTTGGTTTAAAACCCATCCAGTGACACATCTTAAAGAATGCTTTTAAAGTCGGACTGGACTAAAGTTCAGCAGAGAGATGGGGGTAGGTTCAACCGTTAGAATTGCGCATTGTTAGTTTCAGGGTAGTAAATGTTTCCGCAAACGGAAGCCTAGAGGGAGCAGTTCTAAACCTTTTCCTCACCTACATCTTACTTAATCTTTCCCAGACCCTAGTCCCAATAGCAGTTGGACTAGGTTGAGAGACTGGTTGGTAAATCAACACCGGTCGAACCCCTTGGTTTTGAGTGACAGAGTCCCAACAAACGAGACGGGGTTGGACTTGGGAACTGTCCTAGTTAAAAAACCATGCTCTTTGTATCCCAGCCACATGGTGATACAAATTTTTCGTGCATGTTTTGGTAGCTGTAAGCAGTAGAATCCAATAGCTGAGTCTACTACCTGATCAATCAAGGCTTTAATACTTCAAGAAGTAGTTCAACGGAACAGATTTTTCGTGTTTCTTTTGATAGCTATAAACAAAGAACTTCCTATTTTCCCTTTTTGTTATCTGCACCACATTGTAAGCAAGAAAGAAAGAAAGAAATAAGAAAAGCAAGGAATCATGGTTTACCCCCTTGGGATGGTAGATTTCCGACGCACCAATTCACTTTCAGAAATTATATGCTCATGCATTAGCAACGACGAAAAGTTCATCAGATTACAAGCATTAAAAATCACAGAGTAACTCATTTTGGTAGGTCTACTGAGTCTTTTTACCTATGTATTTGATTACAATCCCCATGGATAAATGCAGATCCATCAAGATGACATTACTTTGAACGTACAACTTCAGCTTTTGGCTTTTATAGCAAGGCATGAAGCCTTCCACCAACTCAGAACGGTTGAGCAACTCGGTTATGTCTGTTCGCTCACACATCGGTAAAACCATTTAATTTCTCCTTTCTTCTCCCCAAAAGCGTAATTTGCTAATTATTTGAAGTGCTTCATGCAGATACGACCTTGGTGTGCACGGTCTGCAGTTCACTGTTCAGTCTGCTGTGAAGGTACTTACTCAAAGTTCTCCGTGTTTTGACTGCCTCATCACCTTATCCCTTCACTTTCTTAATCTTAACAGTGTCCAAAATACATCGACACAAGAGTCCAGAGCTTTCTCAAGTCTTTTGAAAGTAAACTTGTCGAGATGAGCGAGGTCGAATTCAAGGTGAGTTGCTTCTCGCATGTTCCATCATGAAAATCACATCAGCTTTCAAATGATATTTAAACCATTACATCAAACCTGTGGAATTTCCAAATTAACATCTAACCTGCCGTTGACAGAGCCATTTAAATGCACTAATTGAATCAAAGCTGGAGAAGGACAAGAATTTGTGGGAAGAATGTGAGCGTCACTGGGAAGAGATAACGGATAGAACTTTCCTATTTGATCGAGTCGAAACTGAGGTACAAGATATTACCTCTCTCTATCAATTCTTGATTAGCAGTATGCTCTTTCCCTCCTCTCGGCTGAAACAGCATAATTTATCTTTGTAAAGCCGGACATGCAAAGCAACTCACAAAAATTCACTTTGTTTGCATCGGACCAGGTTGCCGCTTTAAGGAAGCTGACAAAACAAGAATTGATAGCTTTCTTCCACAAGCACATAAGAATTGGAGCGCCTAAGAGGAAGGTGCTCAGTGTACGAGTTTATGGGAGCAAGCATTCTTCAGATTTCGTAGTGGATAAAAATGAAGCAGTTGGACCAAACACAGTACGAATAGATGACATTTTCAGCTTCAGGGCATTGCAACCTCTTTACGGTTCACACAGAAGAGGGTACGAACGGATGGAAGTTCACAGCAGTTCTAAATAAGCTAGAGTTGAGGATCTCATGAAACATTACTCCAAAGTCCATATCATGGTGCACTTGCCCTGTGGCATCTGTACCCTGTAGCGTTTAGTGTTTGGTGTGCGTACATGACTAATGCATCCCTTGGGATTTACTAGATAGCGGAATCCAACAATAGGTGGTTTCTCCAGTTCAATGTTCCTGACTGAGGGAGAAAACTGCTGGTGCTGGATTTAAGGTGTTATGCATATCCGGATCTATACCATTGAGAGTTTCATAGCAAAACAAACTCATAAACTATGAGGAAATTTTCAAATTGAAGAATGTCCTACTTGCCAATTCTCCATACAAGCATACTTGCTCTGCAGTGAAATGTTATTGGGTGGTCTTGAGTCTTTTTTATACCAAAAATTAGCTCTAAGGCAGAGGCTTTTCTTCTCACTTATAAATTGATTATCAATCCCTTTCGCAACCGACGTGGGAAACAAATGCTACCTTCTCACAATGAAGTACGAGAGGCATCTATAACACCTAGAGGAACTGTGCTCTCGTTGAGTTATCCGTTGGATCACTAATATAAATTCTCGACTGTTCCATCGAAATATAGGCCTCTCAGCATCATAAAATACTGTCTAATTCATGTAGAGGACAACCACTGAGAGGCTGCACAACCTCGAAGCTTGGAAAAGTGCTAGCAAAAGGCCGCGAATTGATGCGAGATGACCTGGACTCACTGTGCAAAATGCGATGAATGATGTAGTCGCAGTGTCATGCGATATTGTTCCATTGTCCTCCATGGTCAATTTGCGGATGCTGTAGAGCAAAATCTGCTCTCAAATTAGACCATAGCGCTTGTTCTTTTAAACTCTCGTATTCTGGGAACGTTTAGAGCACAGCACCACAGCGCTTGGTGACGACAACCATCGATTTGGACGTTGTCAAACCGTCAGACACGAGATTGAACGAGATCAATATCAATGAACTGGTCGACAAAAACAGAACTTGGAACGGAGTTCATTCATTCAAAGACTTTCATCACCGCTTCAAGAATTACCCATTTACGCCGGGCAGGGACCCAATTGAATAAATTGAATGGAGACACAATCCGTGTCCGAAAAAAATATGCGAGAAGACAGAAAGAGCTCGATATTTGGCTCGACTGTCTTCCCTATAAACACCCGACATCTCCGAAATGCTAAGTCTAATCTCTTCCTCACACGACCGAATAAACGATGAGCTCGGTAGAGTCGATTCTGAGCCTGTGCTCCGGATGAGGGCCGCCGTCGCTTGCGCCGCCGCTCGAGTGGAAGTCGCGGTGGTGGTGGTCGTCATGGTTGGAGGGAGGATGGTAATACAGACGTGCGGTTTGTGGGCAGTGAGAGTGGAACCTCGCAGCCAGCCTCACCCCAAGGTCCAACAACTCCACGTACTTCCCCATGTCTCTCTCTCTCTTTCTCAACGCTTCTCGTTCCTTTGCTGTTCTTGATCTACAGAGAGAGAGAGAGATCTGCTGTTTGTGGGAGAGAAAGGAAGGAGCTTCAGGCGTTATATATACAAGGCCACCGCGTTGCCCATCTATTTCCACTACTTTTGTGGAGCTTCCTCCCTCTTTCCCTTCCAAGAACTTTCGCGTTGACGATCGACTCGTTGGTCCAATACTTTGGTGCTAATCTCTTTCCCACCCCCTTCTGGCATAATCTTTTTCTGTTTGGTCCTTTTTTTCCCTTTGTTCTCAACTGAGCTTCTGACATTGAAGGCAAACTTCTTTTTTCACTTTACCATGGCTGCAATCTAGGTACTTTTTATTACTTCAATGATTCGCGTCCGAGTAGCTGCGCCTTTTACATCATGTAGCACGATGATATCAATTGGTCGACAATTGCATGTATTGAGGCTGGAATAAGGATATTCTTGTACTACTGAAACAATGAATATTGAAGGTTAGACGTACTTTTTGGATGACCCACATGTGCACTACCAACCGGTTTGGGCTTAGGTTTAGGTAGGGCATCAATAACTTGTAATTTAGTGGCACGTTTATGCGCAAATAGTCACTAGCCACTAATCAATTTGATATCATGTCAGCATACTCTGGTGGTTCACCCATCGCACTTCGTATGCTATGTACAATCCGCCGGTCAAAACCTTTCGGTTTTGGATAGTCGAGGACAGAATTGACAATACATTGAAGAGGAGGGGGTGAAATACCGGAATTACGAGAATTGGAGGGGCAGAAAGTGGCAAGTTTGGCCAAAACGGAGGGCTTTTGGTTGCTTTTTCTTGGCTTTTCAGTCATCCCCCTCCCGGGAAATTGGCTTCCACGAAGGTAAAAGGCGTCGAACTTTTCTGGCCTCACGCGGTCCGCAACAGCTGGCTTGACTTGTGACGACGCAGTCCAGCTCGCCACTTTCCTTGTCCTCGGTCAAACAGAAAGAAGCTTCGCGATTTTGTCTGTTTCCTTCCATGTTTTTCATTTGCTATGGCATAAATAATTTGATAATGAATGCGTCAAGCAATGGGAAAATGAAAAAGAAAAGAGGAAAAACTTCACGATGACCGTAAGTCTAACGTTATGCGTAAGTGTTCAAACGATGAATGAGATCAATACACACTTGGAGTTGACGACACGGTAATGGCACGAGCACATTGCAATGCTTTGTCTTCACGAAACGGGGTATATGCTTCTCCTCGAGAATTGATGATTGGTCTAATTGTAAAGGGTCTCCTGTCTTCTATGAAGCGATGATTTGATTCGCGTCGTGAGTAAGATCTCTAAACAGCTCGTGTTATATTTGTTAATTATGTCGTTCTGACTAAAGTATATTCGAGGGGATGCGATAACAGACTCATTAATCTCGAATTTTCAAATCGCATGGGCTGAACATTCCGTAGCAAGTGTGAGACCCTTATAATAATGTTTAGAGAGAGACGCTAGCGTTGATCGCCGCTCCCAACCCTTCTAATTCTCCCAAAAAAATAAATCTAGGAAAAAGTTAAATATAGTTTACAGCTCCACAATCATGAGAGACAGCTTGCTTATCCAACCCCGCCTCTGATGAACGATGAGTTCCAGGTGGCAAGGGCCAAATTGCAACATCTATCTTCCATGATTGGGCTGTGAAGACGGTCTCAACCAAGTTTCTTTGCGATTTATATAATCATATACCCGGTATAATTAAAAGCCTTGAATAAATTGAGATTTGTGTTAGCCACGTGACTTGAGACCACATGTTTTCGTACTTACTCACAACATGTGAGTAATGAATATTATATACATTATAAATTGTCCACATCCCGCCATTCTTACTCTTGTAAATTTAACATATGCGTCCAGAGGAAATTATTATTCAATATATAAATGATAAATCGGCGGTAATATTAGAAGACAACTTTTGCTTAGCGTTCTACGGGTCCTTATTACATATAATTTAATTAATAATGCACCCATGTACGCATACCTTTCCAACGATGAAAATAAATGAACCGTGCATGAAAATGAGCAAAATAAAGGAACAAATGATATATTTCCCTCAAGTAAACGTATAACGAAAGAAAAAGATACAGCTTTCCCTTCATCAGTCATTCACAGAATTTAAGAAAGAAAGGAAGAAGTTGGTTTTTAGCAAAAAATGAGAACCACGAGTGTATAAAATATTTTAAAAAAATAAAGATTTACGCCTATTCCAATGACAAGATAGCCAAAAATAATCATAGAATTTACAAAATTAAGAATCACTTCAAAATTAGTCATTCATAGGTTCACGGCAATGAGAAAATGTTACCTTAACTTCGGCAAGACTTTACAAAAAAAACAAAAAGTTTTAAGCTCATGCATAACATCTGACTTGCACTAATATATCTAGCGTGTATCTATAATATATCGATACTAAAAATTTTCAGTTCTAGTACTCATTTCTCAATTTTCACTGCCATATAACTAAAAAGGTTGATTTAGCTTGAACAAGATGTTTTTCCGGCAACAAATTTTCATGAACTCTATACAATTTGTTCTTTTTCTTGGAGGAAACACGCTGTTGGAACGAAGCACGGACAAATTGAGTGAATGGTGTATCGGACTGGACGAGGTCTGGAGTCAAGGATGCATCATCGATCAATTTTTTGACGTGGTGGGGTTGCTTTGAAAGTCTGCGACTGTTCGGCGGTTGACTCTGGCTCCGTCTTAATTTCGTGAGACCAGAATAATCAAACAACCTAGAGCTACGCAGCAAAGGGGGACGGATTAGGACTCATTCAAAAAGAAACAAGACTCGGAATATCTACCCGTTCATGGCAGCAAGAGGATGCCTAATTCATCTTAACAGTCCAAAAGATGCGTCCTTTGCTTTGCTTCGAAAACTGGACTGGGACCGGTGGCCAACTGCGAAAGAATGCTTATCCAACATCCCACTACATTTCTCAACTGCTGCTTTTGCCAAATAAACATTTCTCTACTTGTTATCAGGACACTGGAACAAACCTTTTGACCAGAGAATGTCGGTAAACATGAATTCCCAGGGGAGCTTTGAGAAGGAGAAGAGACATGGAATGGAATCGAACTTTCGGGACAAATGCTATCACAGCTCACTACTTTTCAAGTGGAAATCGACTAGCTATCATTGCGGATCTTTCCCCAAGAGAGGTGTTTCTCCAAAAGGATGGTTCCACATTTGTGATGGTCGTTTAGAACGAGGCACAGTATTGTGATGAAACGGTCCAATGAAGGTTTATCGGTCCTAATCATACTCTATCAGGACAGAAATGGTATGCATTTGGAAACAGGTAATTTTCAAATCGTATTGCTTCACCACCTCACATCACAACAGGGAAATACGAAATGATCAGTTATTTCGTTGGCCATTCGGATACTGACCTATTTCTTAGTTGTACGATGAAGAGTTCTTAGTTTGACAAATCATCCAGCAAATGTGGATGTTAATGCAGCACTGCTGTTCCCACATGTCGAGTGTCCCACATATGAACATAACTATGATGACCAAATATTTCTGTTACTAATTCAACTTATTCTCCAGGTCTAACATTGTCCCAGACGAGACAAGCACATAGAATGAATAGCTCTAGTCTGTTACGAAATTAATTTTGCCGACTATGCTCCAGTTTTATATACTGTGGGATGAATATATCTTTAGAGATATGATATTTATTGGCTCTCCTAAATCAGAGGATACTACTATATGTATACTGCTATATGTCATCATGTTATGCAGTCTAACTAACCTGCAATACCTTTCTGATACTCCCTTTGCGTGACCTACAGAGGTAAGATCACCACTCACCAGATAAGAATCATGTAAAGAACAACTTTAGCCCAAGCTTATATGCAGAATCATGCCTATTCTAGCTCCCATGCATCTTCATTATTGAATCGGTCAATGAGAAGCACTTACCTTGTAAATATAGGGGTCATGCCTTCCTCCTGTCCCCGATCTTTTGACTTCATCTAGCTTAAGCAACCTGAGTTAGCAACGCATAAATGTAAGAAAACAGGAAAAGGAATTTGCATGATCATAGACTTTTACGGACATGATAGACTTATCAATGACAATGCAAAACTCGCAGCGAATTAACTCGGTGCATAATCACCATACTGTTTGTAATGTTTGATTTATTCAGTTTACAATGCAAGTCATAGATGCTGCGAGCATTACTAGTACCCATTAACAATTGATCATGACACCATTATAAGCAGAGTTTGTGAAATGTTGCTAACATGTGGTACGACATGGTATCGAAGCTCGACCACAGTCACATCAGTGATTCTTGCCTATACTTAATCTCATTAACGCTAATAGAATTTCTCAGATCATGAGGATTCCACAATAAGTTACTTGCCAAAAGACATGAATCATATGTTAATCACAGCTCTGATGATTGGTCTAGTTTGCCAAGTCATCCATAAACCAGCAAAAATTCTTTCACACAGCATGCACAAGGAGAGCAGCACTAACATTCTGAGAGCCTTGCTGGTGTCAGGGCTGTCACCAAGCACTTGACGGATCTGCACTTCAGAGGCACAACCTTCAGAGAGGAAGGTCAGAATGGCATCAGCTCGACGGCGCATGGGCGTTGAGCCTGGGCGCTTCCGACTGAGCACCTCGCAGTGAGCCTCCTCACGCTTCTTCTTGAAACTTTGGACTCCAAGACTTTGAGCGCTCGAACCCTCGCTGGAGCTGCTAGTTATACCTGAAGCCGCCTTTGTTGATTCAAATTCAGATGAGGACATCGACACGGTCTTGCAGTTCATGTTGGACTTCCAGTCATCAGAGCTCTTGATGATCTTCGACCGAGCTCTTCGGGCCACCTGTGAGCAAGTGACTATCCATTTGAAGTCCCATTCACTGACACGTGCAATTTGCCAACAAGTGACGAAATAAATCGGAATTTGAACAGACCAATGCAAATATTCAGAGAACAGGAATTGTAGTTGCAGGCATTTTGTAATCTGTGTATAGACCGAGCGAAATCAAGCAGATTGCATTATAGCTAATAATCAGTGTTTATTGAGAAAGAAAAACAAGCAATCCAACTACGTGACGAGTTAAAAATAGAGAAATTCTTTCTGAAAGTCGCTGAAACTGACGATCTCATCACGCAGTGTCCAAACTTCGAATTTAAGGAGAAGATAGTAAATGGAAAGTGACAGTGCAGAACACAGAGGTATGAGGATGCAAAGGAAATCTCAACGATCACGGATGACTTTCTCTCAGTAACGATTTAACTCAGACTACGATTTCAAAATTTCAAGTCTAGAATCCAGATGAATGTACGAAGAAAGGAGAAACTGGAGCCACTTCCGCTTGGATAGCTCACTGCATCAGAGGGATCGAGTCATGCCGCTTAACACAAGGAACTAAGTAAGACCGGCTTCCATATGTTCCACTGAGAACAAACACGATTCAGAACGACGATCATCGATGCATCAAACATGACGATCAGCGAGGATAAATGAGCTGGCGACTACAAAACAGATTCGCGAACTCGGAGCTCGGCGCGCCATTCTAATCTGAGCAAAGATCATCTGGCAAACAAACGAGCAAGAAGAAGAAGAGGCAGCAGCGCGAGGATCACCTGGAGCTTGAACTCGTGGAAACGAGCGGCGACGGCGATGATCCGCAGCTGGTGCGCCCGGAAGTCCTCGGGCGAGACACCGCCGGTCTTCGACGGCGAGCACGGCTTGGAACCGGCCGAATCCAAGCTCAGCGTCGAGCCGGAGCCGGAGCCGGAGCCGGCGCTCCCTTCCTTGATCGGGTCGACGGCGGCGTCCTCGCGGGGCCTTGAAACAAAGCAACAGAGCAAGCAAGAAGAAGAGAGAGACGTCAATGGCGGACGGAAGAGAAGAAGCGGATGCAACGAAGACGACGAGTGCAGAGAGAGAGAGAGAGAGAGAGAGAAAGTCACGGAGGAGGAGGAGGAGAGAGAGAGGGAGGCTGGGCGGAGAGGAGGAGGAGAGCGGAAGCGGCAGTGCGTTCGAGGGAGCACGGGAATGGCGTCAGTGACGTCATCCTCTCCTCCTTGTTTTTTGACTTCCCCTTGTGTTTTTCCCGGGGGAAATGGCGGGCAAAAAGTTTCGATTTAAAAAGCTCTCCGTCGAGGTGGTGGTCACCACGCTCGCGGGGCGTTTGGAGGATGAAGATGAATCGAAACGGTTCGGGCGAGCTCGAAAAATCTCTCTAACGTCTCCTCCCCACCCTTTTGTTTAAAAAAAAAATTCAAAAAAAATCTTAAATCAAGACCTAGGCCCGTTTGGCAATGTGCCAAACAGTGAAAATTTATGTTCTTTTGTTCCCAGAAATAGTTTGGGGAACGAAATGCGTTTGGTAAACTTTTTGTTCCCGGGCACATTTTTGCAAAAATTTGTGCTTAAACAGGTTTTGGAAGAGAAACAAGAAGTAAAAAAGTTATTTCTTTTTTCTCGGCACAATTTTGAGAATCAGTTTTTTTTCTTCTTTTTTCTTTTTGTTCTTTTCTTATTTTTGTGTTGTTCTTCTGCTGGGCTGAGCCTCACCAGGCCGCCGACGTCACCATCGCCACGAGCCCGAGGGCCGGCGAGGGCGTCACGGCCCTCGCGGCCTGGGGCAGTGGTTCGCCAAATCGTCAGCTTACGCGGCAGACCATGGCCAAAGAAGAAAATGGGTAGAAAGAAAAAAAAAATTAAACAATTCAAAATATTATTAAAATATTATTTGGGAACAGAAATTTTATGTAGTTACCAAACGCATTTCTGTTCTTTTCTACTCTAGGAATAGAAATTTTGGACAGTTTATCAAACGCCTTCAAATACTCAGAAATTGTTTTTTTTTTTTTGATGACCCAGGGAACCCCCGCACGGCCGACAGCCGGGAGGTAAACCCTGGGGGCGACACGTGCTAGCCACCACACACGTGCACCGGTTAAGTCACCCTGCGGCACTCGGGATTCGAACACTCAACCTTTTGCGAGAGGAAGAGTGCGCGCTCCAGCAGTGCCACCCAGGCGGGTGGTCAAATACTCAGAAATTATTTCCGGGCACAGAATAAAAAAAAAATCATTTCTGTTCAAAAATAGTTCCCGGGCACATAATGGTATTCATGCGCACCCCTAATATAGTGTTGTGAGTGACCACCGAAGAATTTGATTCTGCGTCGAGCAACAACCAATATTATCTTGTATCACTGAAAAATTTTATATCCGATGAAAAAAAAAAAATTCCGTGAGTACGTTTTGTGACAAAATACTTATAAAAGTTATTGATCCTATATGATTACTATTGTAGACGTTTTCTTATTTGGACTAACGTGAATCTACTATTAATCACGAAAACTTTTAATTTTTTTTAATATCGAAATTTATGACCATCTGAAGAAAATTTATTACGACGTTCAAACATGCATTTTATATGAGCTGAGAGTTTATTAACAATAGATAAGTTGATGCTTGTTTTTGTTCATTCGAACCTACTTAATGCATGTTAAAAACTTAAAATTACCGGTTGCTAGGGGTTACATATTTTCCAACTGATGAGAAAGTTAATAACTACAGTGTGAATGATACTTTGCATGATTTCTAACTTATATTATTGTTCCTTTGTCAAACTCGAAAACTTAAACCCGATCGCGAAGAAAACACGAGATTTGACAAAATGGAGTGAACACACACGCGAAATAAATTGGGGCGGCGCCCCGACTCTAATACCATGTTAGAGAATACAACAAAAAAATTAAATTGATAAATGAAGAGAAAGTACACATATATAAAAAGAGCATATAAACCCATAAGTATATTCGGTTTTGATCCAATCCGAATGTAGGAGAAAATATCCGGTGGTTGCAATTACAAAGTGTCACGTCAATTGCTGGCGTGGCATGTGTTTTCTACTTAGGACCAATAATAAATTTACACATGTCCACTGAATCGGAGTTCAAATCCTTCCGGACTTGGCCGTTGTGCATGGCTCTTCAATTCTGCCCCGTCCATGGCCGCCAGTGCCAAATGAACCGCCATCACTCACGGCCATGGCTCCAGATATGGAAGTTTGGCTTGGCTCTTCAATTCTACCCATCCATGGCCGCCAGTGCCGAACGAGCTGTCGTCGCTCACAACCATGGCCTCCAAGTTCTCTCTTCTCCATCCTTCGTCCAAGAGTACTGCCGGTGGCTCCGTCTTCTTGCTCCGTCCATGGCTTTGCTTGCTAGATTTTGGCTCGTGGAACTCGCCGCCGATACGTTCCGTCTTCCCCAACGAAGAGCTCCATCTTCAATTCTAGATGAACTCACTGCTGGACCATCTCCATATCTGCAACTATGGCAACGGAGGTTCGTCCCAAAAAAACAAGCGTGGTCGGGTGTGCTCGGAAACAAAAGCCAACAAAAATTGGAGCTTATGGTCTTCACACACAAAAACACGAACAGGGTCTCTCTCTTTTCACCTTTTTCCCCTATAATTCCACTCTATCGCCATCACCATCTCTCTCGTCAACTCTCTCATTAGCATTACCTTCTTCACTCCAACACTCCCCACAATCCTTTGCATCGTCGGTTCATCGCGACCGTTCGACGGAGCCGGCCGAACTTCCAAATCTAGAGCCATGGCTGCGGGCTCGTTCGGCTCCGGCGGCCATGGACGGGCGGAATTGAAGACCCGGGCCGAACTTCCAGATCTAGGGAGCCATGGGCGATGACGGCTCGTTCGGCATCAGCAGCCCTGGACGGGCAAAGTTGAAGAGCCATGGACGACCCTCCAGATCTTGAAGTTAAAATTTTATTTTTTTATTCCAATTCAGCGAACACTTGTCAATTTATTATCGGACCTAAAATGCACGCCACGTCAGACGGAAAGAAAATTTCCCAGAAACGACAGGGTGTATTATGTCGTCTGTCAGAAGTGAAGTGGAGAAATGGGCTGCTTTTGGGACTTGGACCCCAGCGTGGAGACCACTAGGGGGAGGGCATCAACCAAAACCAGGGCTCGGTCCAGCCTCGGGCCACAGAAGGTCCGAATAACTCCCACGGACTGTCCAGGGACAGAGCCCCGAGTCCGACCCGTTCATGTCGCCCCGGTCCGATTCGCCTTCGTCAGGAAAAGCGAAACTGGTCCACGTTTTCCAGGAATGTCGGTGGGTGGCCGTCCCGATTTCCGTCGGCCGTGAAGACAAAATTTCTTTCGCCACTATGCCAAAAGAATAATAATAATTAGGGTAGGGCGATTCCCGACGTGATCAATTTGCACGATGTCAAGGGTGATTAAATAAGTCTGAATTCGATACGATAAATATGTGACGAATTTTGTGCCTCACAGGATTCGACTAGCTTATCCCTTCAAGCACAAATTGACATATTTAAGCTTGCGTGTCGATCTGTATTTTTTTTTTTAAGCATGCTGCGTTATTCAAATCTAAAGGCCATTCTTATTCTTAAGAGATTGTATAAGCGGCACTCGTGTTAAGAAAGAATAAATGGGTCACGGATTATAAACCTTCACTATAACATAAAATTATTAAAAGTTATCTATTATCAGATAGTAGAATAATCGGTATTTTTAATAATAATTTATACTTATAAATTATGTAAAAGTAATCATAACTTTTTATTAACTTTAGTTTATTGATTGTTTGTAGCTGAATACTTAATATTTAACAGTTATCAATATAGGTTAATTAAATAATTTGTTTTTTAAAAAATGAAGTAAAGAAAAAGCATGATTCTTTTTCAGAGGTGGAAAGGACATTCCCCATTCCATTTGCAATGTTCATCGCACCTCGTATCTGCACAACAAACATAGGAATAGGCATTCTATAAACCAAACTTATTGTAAAATATACTCTTACTAAACCTTCTTTTTCCATTCAATCAACGTAAGTGATTTATATTCGGATTAAAGAGAATTAACCTTTACGTCTTATCTCACGAGGATCACAATATCGTTAAACCAAAATCAAATATCTCAAGCTTCTCAAGGCATAGAAGCCCTATCTTCGTGCAAAAACTGCAAGTCTATCAATATTAGGTTGGAAAAATAAGCTTCGCTCAAGCAAATTTTTCCATCGACTCTCGAGGGAAGCTCGCCATAGTTTTGCTCGGCGATTTTTCAATTGACTCTTGAGAGAAGCTCACCATAAAGATTTTATCTTGTGGGATGTCTTTATCCATATTAAGTCTTTTCATGCACGATTTGAAAGATTAAAACAGAGTGATGCGATTTCATTTGATTTGGAAGAATATAGATCGAGAATGAAAAATCCGACTCATGACAGAGAATAATGTCTAACCGAAACTCGGAAGTGAACTCGATATCTCAACCGGCGAAAGTTACACTCGATTACACGAAGCCTAATGTTTATACAGCACGCTCTTTACCTAATGCAAATTTTGGGTCCAATATATCTCCTTTTCTTTTTCCTGCCTCTCAATCTAAAAGATTGGTCACAAAAACTAAAAAGAATTCAGACATTCAAGAGAGAGCATAAAATTAAGCCTCAACTTGCAGCTGCAGGTCACCTCTCGCCATCACCAAGCAGAAAAGGGCCAACCGCCACTGTCCAGTGTCCAACCTCGACGATCACCCCAAAGCATCATCAACACTCGACAAGACCAACCCCTCATAAAACAAATCGTCGGATCCGAACAGGAACAGCTCCCGATTTACGTTTGCGCAATAGAAAACCCCACAAATCCATCACATTCCCACGTTAGCAATAGCAAATAAATACTGGGAATACGAAAGAGAGAGAGAGAGAAACAAAACGCCATACACACATGCCCTGTACAGGTCCAGACAGGGACATATCCATACCCCACGCCCCGAAAAGAAGAAAGGAAGAAAATTGGAGCACCAAACGCTTTGCCGTCGCTTATTTAACACTCGCAGCTCAAGCGTCGCGTCGCGTTCCGTCCGCGGAAAAGCATTCCAAGATTGCATCTTAAGCAAGAAGGAAGCAGAAGAAGGGAAGGAAAAGCCCGCGACCCAACCACCGTGTCGGCAGCAAGAGACTGGATCGAGCTGAGCTCGTCGTCGGCAAGTGGTTCTTGACTTCTTGGGTCTTGGTTTTCTTGGTGCCTCCCGTCTCGGTTTCCGTCGCGCCGTTCACTTCCCGAGTCAAACTCGGATTGACCTCGAGCTGAACTGGGTCGCGACTGGCGATTTGCTCAGTGCCCATTTCGTGAGCTCCCAGAAGAATGCTGGTCCAGGACCGTGCGGCGCCGGCTGCTCCCAAATCGCCCAAGACCCAGATGCAGGGTCAGATCAGGGCGGCCCTCCCGACCCTGCATCAGAACCATCGGTTCTCCGAGCCCAAGAGCCTCGATTTCTCCACCTGGGCGTCTGAGAATCTGTACAAGATCTTCACCGTCGGCGTCCTCATAGTCACGGTGGCCGCGTTCTTGTTCCTCTACAACGTCGGCGACTCGGCAGCTCTCCTCTGCTTCAAGAACACCCAGTCCGAGAGCCTCCAGGCCCTCCAATTCCCTCGCGTCGACTGGGGTTCGGTCGCCGGGGTCACCGACAAGTCCTCGCCCTATGCGAATTTCCGATCGGAGAGGTGGATCGTGGTCTCGGTCTCGAGTTACCCGTCGGAGTCGCTGAAAAATCTCGTGAAGCTCAAGGGGTGGCAGGTCCTGGCGATCGGTAATTCCAGGACCCCGGCCGATTGGAAGCTCAAAGGTGCGATTTTTCTGTCATTGGAGCAACAGGCCACTTTGAGTTTTCGGGTAGTCGATTACTTGCCTTATGATTCGTATGTTAGAAAGAGCGTTGGGTATTTGTTCGCGATCCAGCACGGGGCGAACAGGATCTTTGATGCGGATGATCGCGGGGAGGTGATTGATGGGGATTTGGGAAAGCATTTTGATGTTGAGCTGGTTGGTGAGGGTGCTAGGCAAGATATTATATTGCAGTATAGTCACGAGAACCCAAATAGGACTATCATTAATCCGTATATTCATTTCGGACAGCGGTCTGTATGGCCTAGGGGATTACCATTGGAAAATGTGGGTGAAGTTGGCCATGAGGAGTTCTACACTCAGGTTTTTGGTGGGAAGCAACTTATACAACAGGGCATTTCAAATGGCTTGCCTGATGTTGATTCGGTGTTTTATTTCACTCGAAAATCGGGTCTGGAGGCCTTTGACATTAGATTTGATGCGCACGCTCCAAAAGTGGCATTACCGCAAGGAATGATGGTGCCTCTCAATTCGTTCAATACTATGTATCATTCCTCGGCATTTTGGGGTCTGATGCTTCCCGTCTCCGTCAGCACTATGGCTTCTGATGTACTGAGGGGATATTGGGCACAGAGGCTCTTGTGGGAAATCGGTGGTTATGTCGTTGTTTACCCGCCTACCGTCCATCGATATGACAGAATTGAGGCATACCCATTTTCTGAGGAGAAGGATCTTCACATTAATGTTGGCCGTCTAATCAAGTTTTTGGTTTCGTGGAGATCAAGTAAGCACAGATTGTTTGAGAAGATATTAGAGTTGAGCTATAAGATGGCAGAGGAGGGTTTTTGGGCCGACAAGGATGTGATGTTTACTGCTGCTTGGCTCCAGGACTTGCTCTCTGTTGGATACCAACAACCCAGACTCATGTCATTAGAGTTGGATCGGCCTCGAGCAAGCATTGGCCATGGGGATCGGAAGGAGTTCATCCCTCGAAAGTTGCCATCAGTTCATCTGGGAGTCGAGGAAACTGGGACTGTTAACTATGAGATTGGCAACTTGGTTCGCTGGAGAAAGAATTTTGGGAATGTGGTGCTTATTATGTTCTGCAGCGGGCCTGTGGAGCGCACAGCTCTTGAATGGAGATTGCTTTATGGCCGGATTTTCAAAGCTGTTGTCATATTGTCAGAGCAAAGAAATCCTGACCTTGCTGTTGAAGAGGGTCACCTAGACCAAGTTTACAAGTAAGTCGAGTTTATACATATGCATTGTTCTTTGTATATCATTTCCCATTTTGCCTTGCACTTATGTCATACACATGGAGTGAGTATGCCCACTGGGGATCTTGCATCAGTTCACAGCAATGTAGCATTCAGGTTAACTGTAAAGGGGATCATAACTCACTTCCTATAGGACATAGATTGAGATGTTTCGATAAAGGCCTGCAGAACTTGGAGCTTATTCTAACTAAAAGCCCAGATTTAGAATGATTTGGTGGCAACCGGATCAAACTAAAGCTATCTGTAATTTAGATGGAACTATCACCATTTAATGACAACTGGTAGTTAGAATCTGTATGTGTAAACTTATGGGGAAAGATTGCACTATATATGTTGTGCAGGCTACTCAATTTGCTTGTAAGGGAGTAAAATGTCACCTGTAGGGCACTTTGATACACTGCCTTTCAGGGAACTCGAGGACTCTTAGTTTGGATTTGGTGTGATGTCGCTAATTTGAGAGTTATCCCCTTGAGAAAAATCTTCTCTGATGGCTATCACGCCTATCTGATACAATTACATAAAAGCTTTACTGGTTAATGCTCTAAGTGCTTTTAAAATGTCGTCTTCAAGATTTGGAGAATAATTACGAAGTTCAGGGGTGACTTCTACTTGGGCCTCAAAGATAGAAGGTTTTGGGTATGCTTAACAGTTTTCATAGGATAGATATGTAGGCTGGCAGTTAGATTTTGAGATTGATTGCATGTATTTTTGTACAATTACGGTATCAAAATGTTGAGTATAGTGTTTTTATTTAGTCTCGCCTATATGAGGTCTCTCTCTTGTGCTTTACAAGTTGTGGGTTTGGGCTGTGACATTATACTAGATTCTAGAAGAGTGAGGTCTGGTGATTATTTGATAAAATTGCATATTTGGGTCCTTTGTTGCTTTTGTTATTTGCACTTCATATTTAACTGAGGAGGCAACTAGATAATATACAGCTCATACCATCTGATTCTGTTTGCAGACAGCTGCCAACTATATTCAATAGATTTACCAGTGCAGAAGGATTTATGTTCCTCCAGGATGACACAATTCTTAATTACTGGAATCTGCTACAAGCAGACAAAAGTAAACTGTGGATCACTGATAAGGTAATGAATTTTTACACATTCTGTAACCATATTATTATTGAATATGGGAATGGGAAATGGACAAATTTTCAATTAGGCTTCATCTATTATATAGCAATGAGTTGGACAATAATCCCAAAACTTGAAAACATAATTGTCCGACTCGTCTTTCAATGGAAAACCACTCGACCACCTTCATCTTAATGATTTCTGTTTCTTAAGGATAGTGGTCCGGTTTTATGTCCTCTTGGCAGATACTCTGCATCAAGTTGGTCAACTGACTCCTAAAAATATGTCTCTTGAGTGGTCATATTGGATCATTTTCTGAAACTAACAGGATCAAAGCTGTTAAGAACCTATACCTTTTTCTTTACTAGTTAATCAAATGGATAAAGCAGCTTATCAAAAGAACAGTTGATAGCTGGGGAGACACTCCTTTAGCAAGTTCTTCGGTACCATGGTGCCATTGTCATTGCACTTAAACATGCTTAATGCAAGCTTTATGCATCTATTACTAACTTTTTTCTTGATTCTCTCCCGAATTTCGCTTTCACTCAATATGTTGGTTATTAAGCTCTCCCCTTTTTGCTCAAAAAAAAAAAGCTCTCCCCTTGGATTCCTCCACACTTGACTAACAAAACTTTGGCGAACCAGGTATCAAATTCTTGGACCATGGTTTCTGCGAGTGGCAACTCCGACTGGTTTTCGAAACAAGGGGAATTGGTAAAGAAGGTCGTTAGCTCGATGCCAGTTCACTTCCAGGTCAGCTACAAAGAAGCTGTCAACAGTCAACAGAGCTTCGCTATTTGCAATTCTGAAGTGTTTTACATCCCTAGACGATTTGTCGCCGACTATGACGATCTGGTTAGTTTGGTGGGCGATCTAGATATACATCACAACGTTGCAATACCCATGTTTTTCTTGTCAATGGACTCCTCTCAGAATTTCGATTCGGTCTTTAGCACAATGATCTACAAAAGAAAACCCCCATCAAGTAATTCGACATTTTATTCCGCCCAAGCACCGGCAGTACATCCTTGGAATGTATCAAGTGAACAGGAGTTTATTAAACTCATCAGGCTAATGGCCGAAGGTGATCCTCTTTTGATGGAGTTGGTTTGAACATGTAAAGCTGTCGGATTTTGCTGAGAAATGGACACATAGAGGAGCTGCACTGGAAAGAACAGAGAATTATGTACCGAAAACGAAGATCAGGTGGTTAAATTGTATCGATAAGTCCTTTTTGACCTTCATTTAACTTTACAATTTTAACCTTGGGAGGAAGAAACTATCTTCCCTTCTTTTTCTTTTCTTGTATATTAGCCTTGTACCATTCATTTTGTGACTGGGAAGCCTCTCCGAGGACATGATATCTTCATTCGTAATTTCCTCGTGAATATATCAAAAGGAAATTTGTTTTTCTCGACGACCCTCTTTGTATGTTTGATCTACCCTAGTTTTAGGGAAAATTTCAATTTGAGGTCCAAAGTGGGGTCATTTTCTCAAAATGGGGTCCCAAGTGGATTTAGTGCCAAATTGGTACCCAAAGTCCCCAAAAAGTGTCAAATAAGGGTCTGGGTCGCCGGCCGGCCAAAATACCTACCGGCCGGCGATCCCGCGACTGTTCCGGCGAACGGAACAGTGCTTTTTATATTTTTTTTTCTTTTTTTTGTTTTTTTCTTTTCCTTTTTCTCTTTTTTTTTTTCTCCTTTCCCTCCACCGGCTATTGCCGGGGCCGGCGGAGGTCGCCAGCCTCAGGCGGAGGTCGCCAGCCTCAGGTGGAGGCAGCCCTCGCCGGCGAGGGGGACCCAGGGTCGGGCGAGGGTTGCCTAACGCCGGCGAGGGCGAGGGCCGCCCCGCCCGCCCGGCCCCAAAGCGAGGCGGCCCTCGCCTCGACGCCGGCGAGGGCGTACCCTCGCCTGACCCTGGGTCGCCCTCGTCGGGGTCGGCCGAGGGCCGCCCTCGCCTGGGCTGGGCGGGCGAGGGCGGCCCTCGCCGGATCCGGCAAGGGGGGGGGGGGGGGGGGAAGGTAATGATTACCCCTTTGGTGGAGGTGTGGCGGTGCCTCCGGATCCGGCGACTGTTCCGGCTTCTTGATACCGTTCTTGTGGGTCTTGTAGGACTGATTGTGCGCGGTGTGGTTCTTCGACTTCGCCATCTCCTATCTGCCCAAACACGAATCGAATTCAGATCCAAATTCCGCAGCTTCAAGATCGAAATTTTCAGCGACAAAAACAGCGACCCAAAACCAGCCGGTGAGGACGAGGGTCGCCCTGGCCCGCCCAGCCCAGGCGAAGGCGGCCCTCGCCCTCGCCGGCAAGGGCGACCCTAGCCAGATCTGGCGAGAGCATCCCTCGCCGGATCTAGCGAGGGTCGCCCTCGCCCGCCCAGCCCAGGCGAGGACGGCCCTCGCTCGGCCCTGGGTCACCCTCGCCGGCCAGGGCCACCTCCGCCTGAGGCCAGCGACCTCCGCCGGCCCCAGCAATGGCCAACGGAGGGAAAGGAGAAAAAAAAAAGAGGAAAAGGAAAAGAAAAAATATATATAAAAACATTGTTTCGTTCGCCGGAACAGTCGCGGGATCGCCGGCCGGCGACCCAGACCCTTATTTGACACTTTTTGGGGGCTTTGGATATCAATTTGGCACTAAATTCACTTGGGACCCCATTTTGAGAAAATGGCCTCACTTTGGACCCCAAATTGAAATTTTCCCCTAGTTTTATATATGGAGCTGCTTAAACACTTGTCTTTACACTTATTTCCTTTTCTGACAGGAGTTTTGCTGGGGCTCCTCCAAGGAGCCATTTTAGGCCATCTTCTTGTTGCTATAGTCGCTTTTGATCATGATGCGAACGCATTTTATCTGGAACGAGTTTGCGTTTAAGACAAGTGAGGAAAGTCTATCGCCATTCATTGTCTTTCACCCAACAAAAGGGAAAATCATCCAAAAAATCTCAAACCTATTGCACTTTTGCCAATTCGATCCTAAACATTTTAAGTTTGCAAATTCAGTCCTTAACCTTTTCACTTCTTGCCAATTGAGTCATCCGGTCAATTTTGGCCGGCTGGCTGTCCGACTAGCGCTGACGTGGCAATTTTTAAAAAAAAATTCGAATTTTTTAATTTTTTTCTTTTCTTTTTTTTTTCTGCCCTTCTTCCCTCTAGTCAGGCTAGCGAGGTCGACCTCGCCGGTTTCTGGTGAAGCTTGCTCCCGCCGGCTTCTGGCGAAGCTTGCTCCTGCCGGCCACTGGCAAGGGCGAGCCTCACCCGCCGCTGCTTGGGCGAGATCGAGGCCGACCTCGCTGACACTAGGTTCACCTCGCCCAGTGACGACGAGGTCGGCCTGGCAGCGGTGGGCGAGGGCAAGCTTTGCCAGAGGTTGCGCCTCTGGTCGATCGCCGGTTGCCGGACCGGCCAGAGGGAAGATTGCAAAAAAAAAAATATATATATATAAAATATTTTAAAATTGCCACGTCAGCGTTGGCCGGACTGCTGGCGCCGGCCGGCCAAAATTGGCTGGAAGGACTCAATTAACAAAAAGTGAAAAGATGTAGGACTGAATTGGCAAACTTAAAAAATTTAGGATTGAATTGGCAAAAATGCAATAAATTTAGGACTTTTTGGACAATTTTCCCCCAACAAAATCCTAGAATTGCCCTTCCTAAGATCTTAAAGTTCTCCTACAAGAAGGGACCAGGAGGCTTTGTCTAAAGAGATTTTAACGCCCTTTAGGTGGAATTTCCTGAGCAAGAAAGATGGCATAATCTCTGATAAAATAGTCCAAGAGTACCTGAGGTGACATTTTCAGTCCATTAATGACTTGAACTGCCTTATTGGATCCTTCTGATCAACAATCCTTACCGGAAAAAAGAGGCCACAAAAATATTGGCAGCGTCGAAATCATCGGTCATGTATGTTCGGTTGGAATTAGCCTATAAGTCCGAGAGGGAAACATCACCAAACAGGACTTGATGAATGATTGACTCCCTAATAGCCAGTCTTCCTCTTTACCATTATTGACCTCTAATAGAGCAATTTCCTAGCAGCATGGAATGCTTAAATAGCTGTCATTTCATTTCTTCGAGGATAACGGGGCAATCCCATTGGCTGGAATCGCATATATCTGGTGCATGCCGCGACTTCTAGTATACCTTTGGCATCCATCGAGGTACTCGTTTGCCAATTCTTGCATTTCTCTTTGTTGGGGATCTTACTTGTGTTTAATGACTAAACTTAATGACTTCTTGTTCTCTGTATCGTCATTTTGAACCTCACTTGTTAAAGTTGGTCATACTCAAATCCTAGGAATTTGTGCATGGATTGACCTTTGTCAGTTACCATCGCTAAAAGCCTGAACAGATTAATTACATTGGGAAACTTGTGGAGAGTCATGTTACAAATTTTCCCGCAGATTACACGTCTATCCATTCCTTGGATAAGGCGACCTCAAATAAATCAGAAAACTGTGAATTTGATATTTGCACTACAATACACAATGGGAATTTGTCAAGTTTTTATTATTTACCTATCTATCCCTTCGATCTTGTCCTCGACCTCGGAGTAGAGCTGCCTCAACTTTTCGATATTCTGCTCAGATGTCTCCCAGTAGCCACGCCCATTCGCTTCCAAGAATGTCTGTACCAACTTTCTGAAGGAGTTAGGATTTGTGTTCATGAGCCTGTTCAGCATCTCCTCGTCCTGAATGAAAGTTGAGTTAGCCTCTTCATAGACCCAGTTGTCGACTTGGCCTGACGTGGCACTCCACCCGACTGTGTTTGTCAGCCGCTTCTCGATTTCACGCACACCCTCATACCCACTAGACATCATTCCCTCATACCACTTTGGGTTCAACAACTTTGTTCGCGCATCCAGTCGCACAGTCTCAGCAAGTGTGCGCACCTGAATCACGGAAATAGTTCATACTCAGCAAAATGTTGTCTGGGACTTCGTAGAGTAAAAGGCAGTGAATCAGAAAACAAGCTTCTAGAGGCATAGTCTGAAAAGGTTAAAGCAAGCAAAATCAGAAATTTGTTTAGTGAGCTTCACCTGGGCATTAGCTGTTGTAGTGTCAGCAACATACGCGCTGGGCTTCTTCCCGTCCTTCCTCAAGTTCTGCACTAAATTGGTAGGGTCTGAGTCGAAGTAATGGCTCACATCGGTGAGCGAGATTTCGGAAGAGTCAAGATTTTGGAATGTTGCCTCAGCAGTGCTGAGAGCCATCTCAAAGACTTTCCTTTTCTCAGTCATTCCAGCACCCGGGGCATCGCAATCAAATGCAAAGGATTTTCTGCTCAAGTACATGTCCTGGAGCTGCTTCTCATCATTCCAGGAGGAATTCTCGACGGCAAGATTGATGTTGGAGGAATAAGAACCTGAAGCATTAGAAAAGACACGTGTGGCAGCTTCTCTAACATCAATGCCTAGGGTCTTGGCTTGTTCCAATGCATGCTTCCTCACATAGTTTAGTTCTTCGGGTTCATCCAGTTCAGCCACCATCTTGATAGCTCGATCCAGTAGATTCATCTGCAAAAGATGAACTGATCTTAAAGGGTACGTTCTAGATTGCATGATGAGAACAGATCTAAATGGTTCATGATAATGAGACATTTATATTCTAATTTGAATCGTAAAGATAGGACTCGGCTACTTTTTCATCTAACACAAAATCAAAACAATCTACTGACCCTTTAGTTAAATAGTGGGTAGAAGTGTCATACCTGATTGATGAAGAGGTCTCTGAACACCCCAGAACAGTTGACAACCACATCGATCCTAGGCCTTCCCAACTCTTCAAGGCTTACTGGTTCCACACGGTTGACTCGTCCAAAGGTATCAGCAACCGGCCTCACACCAATCATCCACAAAACTTGACCCAAAGATTCACCGTACGTCTTAATATTGTCTGTTCCCCACAGTACAAGAGCAACTGTTTCAGGATATTTTCCACCATTATCAACCTTCTGCCTCTCAACCAACCTATCCACGACAACCTTTGCACTCTGCATCGCTGCTGTAGTTGGAATAGCTTGTGGATCCAGTGCGTGGATGTTCTTTCCAGTCGGCAGCACTTTAGGATTTCTAATAGGGTCACCACCTGGTCCTGGCTCAACATATTTTCCCTCCAATGCTTGCTTCAAGCTCCCCAACTCATTATCAGCCACGACAAGTTGCAAACACTCCCCAAGAAACTCGAAGAGGGTCCTAAGCTTCTCTCTATCTGCACGGTAAAACTTAGTGCTCGACAAGTACTGGATCCAGGGTTCATTTATTCCAAACCCAAGAATGGAGCTCAACTTGTTGGTGACGTCAACAACTTGACCCTTGTTATTAGTTGTTCGCTCTACAAAGGCAGTGACTGCGCCACGAGATGCTTCAGTTATTTGTCGAAGCAGCTCCACATCCTTCAATATTCCCTTGTCACTTCCTCGGTACACGTCCTCTATGCGCAGTCCAACAGTCTCAGCTAGTATAGCTGGGAGCGATGATATCCCATCTTCAGGACGATCTAGAGCAGCAATGTTCACCAGTGTGGCAACTGCTTCCATCGCTGATGGGGGCTCACCAATGACGTGGAGCCCACAAGGTAGAAGCCGGGATTCGATTTCCATGATCTTAGAGTAAACCTTTCCAACAACCAGATCGCGTTCTTTTGCTGAGATCTCCTCTCCCTCAGCCGGGAGTTCCACATCCTTGTCGAGATTGCATTGCTTAGCTGTGCTTATAATGGAGCTGACAATCTGTGGTCCGCGGCCAGTGTCTTTGAGGGATTGGTACGAAGAGATGAGCTCACTCAATTGCTTAAGTCCCTTGTAAAGCCCTGCATTCTCTGCTGGAGGGGTCAAGTAGCTTATGGTATTAGCGTAGCTCCGACGTTTGGCAATAGTAGCCTCGGAAGGGTTGTTAGCCGCGTAGTAATAGACATTCGGTATGTTTCCAATAAGACTATCGGGATAACAGGCGTCGCTCATTCCCACCTGCTTCCCAGGCATGAACTCTAGTGAACCATGGGTGCCGAAATGGAGAACAGCATCAGCCTGAAATATTTTCTCCACAAAAGAGTAATAAGCGGCAAATCCATGGTGCGGACTCGCTGATTTGGAGAAAAGAAGCCGCATAGGATCGCCCTCGTATCCGAAAGTGGGCTGAACTCCGATAAAGACATTTCCATACTGTTTTCCATAGACCAAGAGACTTTCTCCGTCAGAGTTCAAATTACCCGGCGCCTTACCCCAGTTCTCTTCCAATGCGGTGGCATAAGGAGTGAGGTCATAATATTCTCTCACGCCCATTTTGTAGGCGACATTCAGATTTGGGCTGCTGAACTGAGCCTCTTTATCATGAATGACTTCTTCGATCAAAGCTTCAGAAGTCTCTGGAAGGCCCTCCACATTGTAGCCGTCCTTTTGAAGGTCCTTGAGAACAGAGTAGATAGAAGAGAAGACATTGAGGTATGCTGCCGATCCAACGTTTCCTTTATCCGGAGGGAAGCTGAAGACAGTAATTGCAAGTCGCTTCTCTGCCTGCAGCAGTACATATTTACATCAGAAAAGGCTGAGTAGAGTTTTGAGTAGTTCGATGAGTTTTCGATATTGACATCTCTCTCTCCCCACCAACACAAATCACTGGGAGGGAGGTATGCCCTACTTCAAAGATGTCGAGTCTCCAATCAACAGGAACTTGGTTACTTAGCAGAAAAAATCATGTCTGATTTAAGAATAGATGTCATAAAGGATAATCAGTATCAATTTTGCCCTCTCGACTACCATGCCATTAATTTTTAGGTGCAGATAAATGCTGGGTTAAAAAAAGAGTGTAAAGGACATTATATTTTGCCAAACTGGAATCTACAAGCAGTAGTAATTAATATAAAGGCAGACAAGACTTTACTTGGGTAGGACTAATGCACCTGCTCTACATATGGTGTAAGAAAGCCTAGAAAGAGGGGAATATTGCAACTGAACTCACTAGCTATTTTATCGTCACATCCTACTGAAAACAGTTCTGCAATATCAGATCTAGGAACAGAAAATCAGAACAATATGCAAAGAAGACGATTTCTCGAATGGGCATGTCGCAGCGAAGCAAGTACCTTTGATTTCCTTTTCAGTTCAGCCCATCTGATTGCTCTGGTGCAGAGCTGCTCCACCCTCTTGTGAAGAGCATGTGATTTCCCTGCGATGACAATATCATTCAGCACTTGATGTTTGATAGATGAGGATGAGATGGCAGAGAGATGGAAAAGCAACACAGAAGCAAAAGGTGAAATGGGTATTTCTACTATTTTTATGGTTCTGCACAAAGCAAAAAAGAGAGGGAAAATCAGGAATACAGAACATCGACTTGGTGACGTTGATGTTAGTATCATCTCAGAAGAGATCAGCTCATTAAAAAAGTTATGCTTGTCCATTTATTTTGGAAGCAAGACAGGGCAACTATAAAAAAGAGGAACCGGAAAAAGGCATCGTACTTACCACTTCGAGGATCGCGACCAGCGAAGACAATGGGTTCCATGCCGCCATCCAGCTCGGGAAGTGCAACCTGCAGAGCTACCTGAATTGGATGCAAACCCAGAGTACTGTTCAACCACTCCTCCGTGGTTTGAAACACCAAAGGCAGCGCAACAATGTAAGGGACATCGAGCTTCATCAGCGCCTCCACTGCCCTCGGATGATCCTGCCTCGCCGGTCCCCCCACAAGAGCAAACCCAGTTAGAGAAATCGCCGAATGCACGAATGGTTTCTTCGTGACCGGGTCAATCAGGAACCTTTCAACCGGTCCCGAGAAATCAAGACCGCCTGCAAAAATGGGTATGACTTTCGCCCCTTTCGCCTCTAACTCCATAATCACTGCCACGTAATGGCTCTCGTCCCCAGTGACAATGTGGCTCCTCTGCAAAATCAACCCGATCACTGGTGCATTTGGTCCCTTGAGCTTCTCATTAGCATCCTTTCTGGTGCCATACCAATTCAAGTACTCCTTCACATCATCATACATACAAGGAGCCAAAGGGTGCCAAATTCCACTGTCCAAGAACAGAACCGGGTCCGAGTACTCGATCTTAGTCCCCTTCAGTGCCGGAACATAAGACCCTGAGATCATCTTCAAGAAATTCTGCAAGTTATCTGGCGACCCGCCAAGCCAGAACTGCAAGCTGAGGATATATAACCTAGCATCCTGAGCCTTGTCGCTCGGCAAGTACTTGAGCACCTTCGGCAACGTCCGCACTAGCTTCAACATGCTGTCCGCAAACCCTGCAGAAGACTTCTTCTTCTTGAACAACTGGAAAAAGGGGCTCTTCGATTGCCCGAGCTGTGACATACTGAACGAGCCCAACTTGTTGAGTCTCATCACCTCAGGCATTGAAGGGAACACCAAGACTGCATCAAGCCTGTCCCTTTCCGTTTCCACTGCAGCCTTCACTTTCAGTGCAAGCTCCTCCACGAAGATCAATGACCCAATGAAGATATTCGCATCCTCAAGGTCCTTGCAGAAACTTTTGTATGTATTCTCATCCCTAAGCTCTTCAACTAAGTAACCCACAACTTCAAACGAAGCATACCTCTTGTTCTTATTCAGTGCAAGCACTGCAGCTGAGAGAGACGACTGGTACTGAGCCTCCAGGACCACGTACACGATCTTCACCGTTGGGAGGCTCCCGTCTCGCTCCGGCACAATACGGCGGACTTCAGGCGTCGTCTGCGTGAAGAGGCCATTGCCCACCACTGCACATTTCACTTTCATGGCGGATTTTGAAGAATTGCCTGCTGGGTTCGTCTTCCTGGGGAGGAAGGAGCGTAAAAAGTAGTGCTTTTGAGAGAGCGAGGAGAGTTGATCAGCCTTTGGAGCTGGTAACGTGAATTGGGACGACAACAAAGTAGCCATCTCTGTGATCACGCTCGAAACAAAAACTCTCTGTTTCTCGTTCGTTGGGAAAAAAAAAAGAATCAATCGAACAGAGAGGAGAGAAAGAAGAGATAGCGAGAGAGAGAGGAAAGATCAAAGATCAAATCTTTTTGCGACCCCTCGGTGTCAAATTTGTGTCTTGGTGACACCAAATGTTTTCTCTCCTCCTCCTTCTGGAGACGCAAGCTTTCGTGCTTATATCTCTTCTGTCCCGACACCGAGAGCACTGTAGACCCAGAGAGAGAGAGAGAGAGAAGAGAGAGAGAGAGAGAGAGGGTATGGGAACAGTTGGAAGGGTGCTTTCTGGTTTAGTGGAGGAGCGAGGGACACGTGGCGACATGGGTGGTCAGATAGTTACGATCGGAGTTTCCCACTTTGCGGTTGAGTTTTGCTCAGAGTCCTTTGAGTGAGACAGAGAGAGAGAGAGAGAAACAGAGAGAGAGAATTTGGGGGTGTGCCACTTATCTATCTGCAAGGTTCATGGCGATGGAGTTTCCTGAACTCTCATTGGCTGGTTTGGATTTCACTTCGGATGGGTCGCAAGGAGGCCTAGCCAGGAATGGATGATGAGAGAGAGAGTGAAATCCCAAGTGGAAGGTGACCAAGATTTTTCTCACTCTTACAGTGAAAGCCCCCACTCTCCTCTGCGTGTAAAGATTCTTTTGCCTTTTGAGTTTGTGTCCCACAGGGAGAAGGACCTGATAATATTTCTGCGGACTGCTATGCGACCAGGCTTCCTGCTTCCCATCCAAGTGATCTGCACAACCCCTCCTCCTCCTCTTCCTCGGATGATTACCATCGACGTGGTCTATAGTCGATCGAATCGATGAAAATGCGGGAATCGTATGAACATGAGTTTCATCTAACTCAGTGATGGTAATTGTGTCGGGTCCGCGGATTCGGAGGTCCCGATAAGAATTGAATTCGCCCATTTGGGGTTTATCGCACTAACAATCAAGTTGGCACTCATGGGTACTTTAATATGTTGGGATTTGTGAGTAAGCAAAGAGGAAGATGGTAAGACAGACAATATGGCTGCTAGAATTGATTGAAAAACCAAAGAAAAAAATGGCTGAGTCTCAAACATTTGCTGTTTGGCTAACGCAATCCGATATTGATACTCTTAATTAAGGTGATAAGCGCAAAGGTAAAGATGGTAAGATGTTTTCGTTTCGCAATCACAATTGAGATCAAAACGTATTTACGGCTAATTAGCCATAAAAATGTTGATAGATTTTCTCCGAAGGCCAGGCGTTTTGGGGCTATTTCGAAAGGCCCAAGGTTGAACAGGCCCAATACTTGCTCTCTTCATGCCTCTTGGTTTAGTATTTCTTCTGGTGCATGCACGGTATGGGAAACTATCGACGTAAGACAATGAACCCATTTGTCTGTCAATGTAGTCCTCTCGTTACGCAAACATGTGAACAAATCATAGGTTTGTTCAAAGAAGAGTTTGAGTTGACAAATGGACCATTTCGTACTTAATTAAGAACTAACTATAATCATTTTGTGAGGAATACGCCGTCACAAATGATGATTTGACTAATGTGTTTCGAAAAAGAGAAGAGAAGAGAAGAGAAGGGGGGGATTTCTTTCTTCTTGCTTGGTTGGTATCGACACGAAAGTGAAGGAATACCTTACAACTACCCTTCCTCTTAATCTGTCTAAAGCAAGCACTTAACGTGGGGATTATTCCAATCAACACCGATATTCACCTTTTGTATACATGATCGCCTCTAGTGGAGTCTGCAAAACTAGGTGTTATAATTGGCATGCCTAGTTTGCCTCCTTGCTAAAACCACAAGAATTATGTGCTAACAATTATTGCGAGCAACTCATGTTATAATGCTCAATCGCGAGACAATTGAAGGGCGCAATAGCAAGGAAAATGTGTTGCGAAAGAAAATGAGGTTATGAGTTCGTTTCATCTTACGATCTCCATATTCAATGTCCCTCACATTGTAAATATAAACGTCATGATCATCTATCGGCCGATTCGTTCTCAATAAAAGCCGGTAACTATCTGGAAATTGCCGTCCGTTTCTTGAAGAAGTATTGGCTGAACGAACAATTACTAGGACGCTATTCGAAAGCGACTACGTTCATGCTAAAAATGCATAACATCACTAAAAGGTTAGGTCACATGATACAAGTTGCAAGAGATTTGGGGGCAAAATGCCTTAAAAATGAGCTCCTAAGGTACAATGTAAAATAAGAGGCAAACTTCCAGGGCGCAAGTGTAAAAGATTCACTTTAATCTTCTATGGTTGATTGAAAGTGGGGAAAAGTGTCAAAAAAGTCATAAATTTATTGCATTTGTGCCAATTTAGTAATTTAATTTTTCCAGCCAAGTTTGGGCAGATATTACTGATGTGGATGCCGGCTGGCCTACGTGACCACTGATGCTGATGTGGATAATTTTTTATTATTATTTTTTCTTTATTTTCTTTTTCCTTTTTCTTCCTTCGTCAATCATCAGGCACAGGCAATGACCAACCACCAGCCATGGCTAGGCGGGCTGGCCTCACTTGCGTGAGGGTCGCCATTGGACAAGCAAGGCCGGCCAAGCGAGGCCAGCCCAAGCGAGGCCAGCCCAAGCGAGGGCAAGCCCCAACGAGGGCTCCCTTTGCTAAATCTGGCGAAGCCAGCCCTCGCCCAGGCCAAGGCAACCTCTTTGGGCATTGTCGCATCAAGGCAACGCCCCACGAGGGTCATCCTCACTAGCAAACTTCCAGGGTGCAAGTGTAAAAGATTCACTTTAATCTTCTATGATCTATCGAAAGTGGGGAAAAGTGTCGGAAAAGTTATAAATCTATTACATTTGTACAAATTCAATCATTCTTGTTAATTTTGGCCGAATATTGATAACGTGGATGTTAGCCGGCCTACGTAGCACTATTCGTATTGACATGGACAAAATTTAAATAATATTTAAAAAAAATTATGATTTTTTTCTTTCTTCTGCCTTTTGCCGGTCATCGGCCACGGACGATGGTCGACCACCGGCCACAACCAACAAGGGTTCACCTCGCTAAATTTGGCCTGAGCGAGGGCAAGCCCCTTCAAGGGCTCCCCTTACTAGATCTGGCGAAGGCGACGCCCGGTGAGCGGACCTTGCCCAGGTGAGGCCAGCTTGCTCGATCGTCACCTGTGGCCAGTGGTCGGTCACCGGCAAAAGGAAGATGAAAGAAAAAAAAGGAAAAAAAATCAGAAAAAATAATAAAATATTATGTTGTCCACGTCAACACCGGTTCACCTGCGGCTAGGCCGACCAACGTCCATGTCAATACTATTCTGTCAAAATTAATCGAAATGACTAGATATGCACCGTGTCAAAAGATTTAAGATTAAATTAACACCAATAAAAGATTTAGAACTAAATTGATACGAATGCAACGTGTCTAAGACTTTTCCAACACTTTTCCCTGAATATCATGACGTCATCAACCTGCTTTCTGTTTTTGTTCCCCTTCAATGCGGGAAGCTAATTGAAGCATCCGATCTTCGAATTTAAACCCTAAACCCTCAGATAAAGCTGTCGCCTTTGAACCTGAGCAGCATGGCCTGCAATGGCTCCAACTGCCAATCCAATTGCCACAGAGATGAGGACGATCCCTCCGCCAAATCGGACGTCGCCGGCTCAGCCGCCGCCGCCGCCGCCTCCGTCCACAGCTCCGGGGCCGTCTGCGTCAAGTGCAAGGCCAACGAGCCGATTCCCGCCGCCGTCGCCCGCGGCGGCGAGGTCGGCCGGTTCTGCGCCGACTGCTTCCGGAGCAACGTGTTCGCCAAGTTCAGGCACGCCGTCACCTCCAACGCCATGATCTCTCCCGCGGACAACGTTCTCGTCGCCTTCTCCGGTGGCCATGCCTCCAGGTCCGTCTTCTTCTTCTTCTTCGAACCTGAAAAAAAACGCGCCGTGTTGTGTCGCGTAGGGTATGTAGTGCTAGTAGGGGGAAGTTAAGTGGTGGTGTTACTGTTGGTGCATTACATTAAATAATTAAGCTTGTGTTCTTTTTCATTCCAGGGATTGTTTTACTGTGGTTTTTTTTCTTGCTTGCATGAATTAGTTAGGAAAAAGGCATAGTCCTAGCAAGGATTGAACTTTGTTTGGTATAATCATCAATGCGACGTCTGATTGTCTTTCTTATGGTGACATGCTCTGTAGGGTGGCTTTGCAGTTTGTGCATGATATGCAATACAAGGCGCAAAAGAACTTTGATGCGAGTAGGGATAGATCGTTGCCAGTGTTTGGTGTTGGAGTTGCTTTCATCGATGAATGCACTGCTTATCCGATTCCGTCGAGTGAAATGGATAGAGTACTTGGAGATATCAAGTTAATGGTATCGCAACTATCCCCACCCACTAAAGAGCTGCATATCTTTCCTATAGAAAGTGTCTATTCTGAAGGGTCAAGAGACAGCAAAGACCGGTTAAAGGAGCTACTAGATAGAGTTACTGACGCTACTGGGAAAGAAGATCTTCTGCTGCACTTGAGAATGTTGTCCTTGCAAAAGGTTAGACCATGAATTGTAAGTTAATGCAAATTTTATGGAGGATCGAAAAGGTTCATTAATGCTGAATTTTTGCCTATCTTGTAGATCGCCTCTGATAACGGATACAATAGAATCGTGTTGGGATCGTGCACTTCAAGAATTGCTAGCCATGTCCTCTCTGCCACCGTGAAGGTTCAGATTCACATCTGCTAAATAATTATTTTAATTGAACATAGCTTTTCCTTTCAAAGTTATCGACATCTCCATGGAAATGATCTCATTGGAGTGATACTTGTTAATAGTTATAGATGATAGAGTTTGCTTGGGCATGCTGAGCGTGGAATTACTGTGAATTTTGCGGGCAAAATAGAGTATGGTTGGTTTTATCACAACTTAGGAGTTTCTGTGATTTAAACTGTAAATGTTTCTTTCACCTGGATTAGAAAAATATCTTGTTCCTGCTCAACTCGGAATTCGCTTATTATTAGCTCGGTACTATTATTCCAAGCCACAACTTGTGTTTTGCAGGTATCTGAATGAAACAACTGTTGTGCTCTGAATGAAACAACTGTTGTGCAAAGTTCTTATATTTAACAATAAAAATTTTGTCTGTAGATTGCTTTCTTGCTACAACTACCCTATGTCCACATGACTAAAGATCAGTTTCCTGGAGCAGTGTCAGAACTGATGTTCTCTTCAGTCAACTGTACTCAGCAAAAAACCAGTTAATGTGACAATTTGAAGCATAACTAATTTCCTGAGACTATGTATGCTTGGGACAGGCATTGGCACCAATTATCCTTTTGCTAGCTATTCTTCTCAGTGCGTAACTCTCTCCCAATTGAACTCCTGGTTTATGCATGTTTAGCTGAGGTGGTTGGTCTAACTGATGACCGATATCTATTTTCAACCTCAACCAAGTAGAGAATAATCTGGATCTCCTTTCATTGGCATTGAGGAATGCGTGTGCATGCGTGCTGCAAGCGCATGTGTTTGTGTGAGCCCACACTGCTTTTTGATGCCTTCTATTTTCTCGTTGCTGGTTTCCTGTTTAGATGGAAAGAGAGACTCAATCTCATTCTTTTTTGGTTATTCGGTCAGATACTCAATCTCATTGAATAGGTTCATTTTGCCTGACTTGGATAATAGAGCTGCATTTGATGCATGCCCATTTATTCATGGGAGTCCATTTTACAGTCTTTTAACTTTTCTTTGTTTTAATTTCCCAATCTAACATGAAGTGAAAAGTAATTGAGTTCTGGGAAGCAGTTATTACCATCTGATTAATGAGGAAAGGCATATTCACGACAGGCTATCTATGTTTTTAACAGGGCCAGGGCTATTCATTACCTGCAGATATACAATACGTTGACGCTAGGTGGGGGGTCCCTTTAGTTCTTCCACTTCACGATTGCCTTGCGCAAGAGCTCAGCATGCTATGCCGTCTAGATGGGTTTGTAAACTCCTCCTTTAGTACTCTTTTTCTTGTCATCCTACCTGTGATATTTAAAAGTTTTTTCAAAATTGCATATAATCTCTTTACATTAGTTTGCACAAACAGGTTAAGGTCAGTTTCCTTTTTGTGTAGTTGATCTGTGATTTATTGCTGAGATCATGGTACTGTGGATGATGGGCTTTATGTCATTTTGGCAGGGCAGCCTTAAGACTGTAGAGTTGCCTAATGGACCATGCTCCAGCATCAACAGCTTGGTGTCATCATTTGTAGCTTTGCTTCAGGTAATGCCCCTTCTTCTTGCCCCCCATACCTTGTTTACTAGCACTGCTTCTGGTAGGAGTGACTAATTGGCTATGGTGGCCAGAAATGTTTGATAAATGATAAAATAGAGAAATATTATTTGTTCTTTTGTTGCTTAAGGCCATGGTTGGCCTTTTTGTTCACTTGTTGCCTCTGGTCAATGTACAAACGGAAGGCTAGAGCTTGAACTGTTGATTGTAGAAATTAAACCTCATTTGCCGTGATTATGTGACATCGAGTAAGAGTACAATATATTTCCTTTTTGAAAGATTCCCAATTGTTGTAGTCTGATTATTTATATTCATTCTTGTGTAGTGAAGACAATGCTGATGCAAAGTTTTGTTTCAGGAAGAAAATCCTTCTCGTGAGTGCACGATTGTGAGAACCGCTGGAAAGCTCACCCCATTTCACTTTAATAGGATTCCGGAGATTAATGATTGTAATGTTCCTTTGGCGACCCGACGACGCCAGAAGAGGTCCAATCTCAAGCTTAATGGATCCATATCCTTGGAATCTTTTTGTCCCATATGCTACAGCCCACTAAACAAATCTGACTTGCCGGCTTTAGGCAGTCTCGAGACTCGACAATCAGCCTCTGATGTTTTTGGTGCTGCCTGCTGTTCTAGTTGTCAGTTCCAAATACTTCCTCGGGACGCCTCTGATATGGAGCAGTTCTATTCACTTTTGCCTGAGGCACTGGCTTCCCAAGCAAAACAAACCAATAAATATGATTTTAACCCACTAAGGTGAGGATTTACTTTTACTATCACATGATGTATCTTTTGATTTTTCCAGGGGACTTGAATTTGCAACGCCTTATAATCTAAACCCTATTTCCGACTGGAAGTACTTTGTGAGTAATCTTACCATTGTTCCACCACTTGTACTTTCAGGGAGCAAATTCAGGATTACTTGCTTTCAGACAGTGAGACTGACCCTTGAAGTCTTCTACTATTAATAGCCCTTTTATGGCGTCAATTTTGGGAGCATCATTCTTTCTTTTGAGCAGGAGTTCATCGCAGTTCTTGGAGCTCTTGCATTTTAATCCATTGCTCAGTTTTAGCAGTTGACTTGTGCTCGAGCAACTGTGCACAGAGGCAATACCCTGAAATAGGTGGTCATTTGCTAAATGGCTCTGGGACATTTATCTATTACCAAGTATCGACATCTGCAGAGGATTTTGGCTGCCTGTAAGAAAAAAAATGGGAGAAATATTTTATTTGTATTCAAATATCATTTTTCTTGGTTTCTTTTTGTTCTAAAATGTTTTTTTCTCTTGAATTATGTTTTGGGTGGATTATATATAGAATCGAATGCACACTCATGTGAGTGCTCAAATAACCGATCCATTGATGTCTCATTTGAGAGCTTGGTTTTCCACTCTCATAAGATGGTTTCCAATGAGAAAGAAGAAGAAAGGGATATTTACGTTTGGCTTGAAGAAACTTTTTTCGCGCTGGCTACCGGCTCAAAATTCTTTCCTTTCTACTGGAAACTAGGGCAAAAAGACAGGCAAATGTATTCTTGGAGTAATCCATTCGATAAAACTGCAAGCACAGGGGTTTGATAATGCACCTTCAAGAAACAAAGAAACCAAATCCAATCTCATCAAGAAACTCAATTTCGCCTACATTTAACCCAGTTTTCGGGTGTGTAGTCCTACACTTTTCCACATCGCAACACTTCCAAGAATTAACTCGCCAATGCTGTTTACTCAACGATAGCAAGTCCACTCATAAGTGCACCGCACCACCTGAATCCACGCAATGCCATCAAAAAAGGAAATTGTCCAACCTGTACCATAAGCCCTCTCGAACAAAAGAACTCGCCATACATCATGTAGCGTGCGTAAAGAATTCTTCCACCTGAGTTTCTTTTATAACAATGCCAAGTTTTTCGGAGTGAACTGTATTGACCAACTCGCCATCCACATTTTCAACAGCATCGGCAGCCCTAATCTCAATGTATTCATTCATATTGTGCACTGTTCCATCTGCACAAACAGATCCAAACAAAGCTACGGCCTTATACTGTGGCTTCTCAATAATTCATAGATAAATAACCTATAGTTACCAAGGGCACTAATTGACCATGACTAAATAGGACCTTACCTAAACAATGCTTCCTATATACACCTCTGACTCTGAGTGATGATGAAGGAAGCCCAAAAAGTCACGAAAAGAAAAAAAATTTCCCTACTAACTCAGCTTATGCAAATTAATTAGATTTCGAGCTTGTATTAATATTGACCTCCTAAGCTTGATGTTAAAGAAAAATGATAGAATTCCACTCTCTCCTACTTAACTCCCCTTGAGGTCCCATCTGATATAATTACAAAATATCTGGCTTGCTTTTACTTGGCAACCGCAGAGTATGCAGTTAGCTGAAAAGGACCTTCCTTTTAATGGAGATACAAGAAATACCTTGAGAATCCCAGTAAATAAGGGAGAATTTACAAGCCAGGAAAGTAGCAGTAGACGCTGGATCTGTCGAATTTAATCCCTTCAAATTTTAGTAGTTCATCATGGAACTGACAGGCAAGTGCCCACAAATGCAAATGCTATGACCATTCGCATGGCATTGTCTAAACTCGAAAAGTTACATCCATAACAGGCATGAAATATCGAGTTACAGAATTTCGCATTTACCTTCAGCAACAATTGGATCATTTGCTGGAGGCTGAGCTTGCCAGGTCCCATCGGGCTCTTTCATATGTCTTCTATCAGATGCAAAGCAACGTAGAAATATTGGAGCATGCACAATGCGGAAGAACCTGACCATGAAAGGAAAAGCCCAGTGTGTCAGATAAAGTCATATTACTTAACTTGACCTCGGTATTATCTCATTAACTCCAGAATGGCAGCTAGTTACAATGTTGACATTAGAGGCCTGAAATGCCAATCAGGAATAAAAAAATCGTAATACTGTTGACCTAACTTATTGCTCAACTCCTCTCAGCTCCTCTAAGGCCTAACATAGCAAATTTTACTCATCATAGCACACTTGAATTTTTTAAGGACAACATGTGGGAAGTCATAGAGAGTGGTGAGTTATTATTAGGAGGTCTTGTAGCAGCAGGAAAAAGACTTGCCTCTGATACTCAGAAAACAGCTGAAACCAGGGTCGTGTAGTTTCTGAAACATAGAAAGCCAAGGGAGAAGGAAACTGGAGGGCAGAGTCCAGATCCCACACCACAATAGAGGAATCTCTTTTTCTCTGCACAACAATTTTCCAAGATTATGCCGAGAAACAAAGCATTATACTTGTACTGTTACTAGGTAAAATCGAGACAGTTTATGCTCCCAGAGGAGTAATTAAAATTATTCAGAGTACACATAAATGTCAAGTCTAGCCAGTCACCTGAACACAGATGACATGATAATCCCAGAGCACAAGTCCATCGGTGAATTTGCTGGCCTTCTGATGCCACAGCGCAGTCTGCAGGAATCAGCAAGCAACAAGAATATGTCTCTGGCATCACCATAAAAGGATTTTTCAAGATCCCAAATTCATTCAAGATTGTCTTCAAGGAAAAGAAAAACCCTACGATATCAAGCCAACAGGGAGATTACACTACCCAAACTTAGCAATTAGGAACTCATTTTCCAAGTCTAGTAGTATCTTTTATAAGAGCGAGCCCAGTATACAGGCTGCCCTCATCAGCTTAAGAGAAGAGTAACTCATATTCCACCTCAGGAATAAAAGTGAATGCAGGTTATTCAAATTATTCGGGATAATATTTCTAGTGCATCACCATTGTTCCTTTCCTTCACAGTCTGTACTAGACTAATAATAACTTGTTTGGACAGAAACAAAATGAATAAATCACAAAGAACCATCAGAGGAAGATATACGGAGAGAAAGAGAAAAACAATACAATGGGAAAGTTTCAAAGAAAAGGAAGTGCATGCCTGCTTCTTGTCGTTAGAAATGAAGATGATATAAAGGTCAGATCCATCAGGATGAGCCATCCCATTTGCACACAATTTCTTACAAAGGAAGTAGACATTCTCCTCACTGCCAGAAAGAAACACAAAGTCTCACTTAACCGGTTATTACTCATAGGCACCTAATAGTCTATCATCTTCTGCTTAACAGAACAAATCTCATGTTTATCCTCCGGGTAGTCTGAGCATAGCAGAAAAAAAAGGAAGATCAGCAACAGCAAGAAGTTTTTCTGTAAATCATCTTGCTGAGTTGAAAAAGAACTGAAAGCTTCAAACTTTTTCTTTTATCAAAATAGCAACCATTTTTAATTAATCGAATTGGTTCAACAGAGAAACTGCAACCCCCAGTACACAGCAAGCATATAGCAATATCACCCTAGAAATTAATGGACAAACAAAAAAAACAACAACATGAAACATAAATTCAGGATTCTTAAGAAGCTCAAACGGATAGGAAGAAGCACTGTTCCCCGCATAAATAATCTCCTATTACAGATATAAAAACCGAAGCCCACGAAACGATTCTACCAAAAACTCAAACTTTCTAGAATTCCAGGAGAATCCCACTTCCTTTTTCTTGGGATAAAAGATTCCAACAGACGCAGCCATCGGACGATCAAAGGCCCAAGAAAAGACAAGCGATGAGGTCACTCCTGCTCCCCCCAATTCCACTCGGGGAAGAGCAAAATGAAAAACCGACAAACTGGGTCCACGATGGACCGAAACAACAATCACAGACCCGACCAGACGAAACGGGAGAGAAAACAGGAATTGGCCGAGCTGAGCCGATCGGCCACAAGGGTCTGGATCGTTACCAGTAATAAGGAGTGTGATCGAATTGGGAGACGTCCACAGCCGCCGAACTCGCCATCCCGCTGGTCTCGCCTCGCCTCGCCCAGGTGAACGGTGAAGCGCTGGCCTTTGTATATCACTCCAGTCGACGCCGAGGACCACCCCCACCCAACGGTCCCGATGCGCGAAACCGAAGCGACCCCACCAGGGAGGAGGACAATCGTCGAGAATACGCGGACTCCCCGTCCGACAAATTCGAAGGTTGTCGGAGCGTTTTGGTTAACGACGAAACAAAGTCAGTCGTCCACGCGTGGTTTTCTGTCTGTTAAACGCAAGTGGTCCAACAAGAGAAATGCGTGAAGCGTCCAACAAATAAAAACGCGATCTTTAACAAGGCCCGAGCCCAACGCAAAGCCCTGTCGCGCGCGAGCATGGACCCGCCAGAAGAAGAAGGACCCGCCATCCGCCTCCCCACTTCCGACGCAGCGCCGCCGCCGCCGCCGCCGCATCCGCCGCAGCCCCGCCGCGTGTGCCCCGGCTGCGACCGCCCGGCCCGGGTCTGCCTCTGCCGCGTCATCCCCAGCCCCCCGATCCGGACCGCCGCGAGGGTCGTGGTCCTCCACCACCCGCACGAGTCCCGCCACAAGCTCTCCACCGTCCCCGTCCTCTCCCGGTGCCTCCTCAACTCCACCGTCCTCCTCCACCGCAAGCTCCGCCCGGGGCTCTCCCCTCTCCTCGACCGGTTCCCTCCCTCCATCTACCTCTTCCCGCCGTCCACCTCCTCCTCCTCCTCCTCCCCGTCCCTCACCCTGTCGCAGCTCCGAGCCTCCGATCTCCTCCGGCGGGCCGAGCCCGAGGGGCTCGTGGTGATCGCGTTCGACGCCACGTGGAAGCACGCGCGGGAGATGCTGAGCGCGAGCGAGGAGTACCTGTCGCGGTTCGCGGTCAGAGTTTGCTTGGACTCCGATTACGACGAGAGCGTCGACGGAGGGAGCATCTACGATTCGGAGCTGGTGCTCCGGAAGGAGCCGTACGGCGGGTGCGTGAGCACGATGGAGGCGGTGGCTAGGGTTCTGAGGGCGGTGGAGACGAACGGGGAGGAGGTCGAACGGAGGCTGATTGGGGTTTTGAAGGAGATGGTGAGGCTGCAGGCGAGCTTCTTGAAGCCCTTGAAGCCGAGGCACAAGCTGTTGAAGAAAGGGAAGCAGAGGGCAATGACAGAAGGAAATGGAGCAGGGGCAGGGGCAGGAGCAGAGTGAGCAGCTCCAAATGTGAAGTCACTTGCCCACTCTTGTTAGAAGAAGATGGGATTTTTGAGAATTGGTTTGTTCATTTGTTTTGGTTGTTTCTTATGCTTGTTTGTTGCACTGCATTCCCTGGGATGAGAAGAAGAATGTGATTATTAGTAGGTGAATTCGCGGGAAATGATGTCCGATCTTGTATAGGCGGCAACCAATTTCAGTTTGATGTTCGAGTACCTTTTGGCATCGGAACTACTTAAGTTGACCACAATTTTGAACCCCGGTCGACATGCTCTTGACTAGTTCAGCCTCCTGGTACGTAGTGAGTGTAGTTAAGCATTTGAATCTGTGTTAGTCTGGTGGAATGCCATGGAGGCGGCCTCGACGGAATGTGTGTGTGGACTGTGGAGGAACGTCATTGGCACGCTTTGTGATGCGGATTTTATGTTATCAGTGAGAAATTTATTGTATAGGATAAGTCATGACTGAGTCGGTGTTGAGCTAATATCCTGCTGGGGCATTTTGGAGACCCCAGGAGAGTTGGAGCGCTTTCCTCTGGATAAGTGGTTTTTAATCATGTCCCAGAGATGAAGGTGTAGTGACATGTGAATGCCGGGTCAGGCCGTGGACAAAGGTTTTTTTTCTGTATAGGCATTCTCATGGCTGTTCAGAGGAAATTGGTGCTTATGAAAGCAACTGATCTGGAGCAGAAATCTTGTTTAGTCTAAGAGTTCTCTATCACGAAGCTAATGCTCAGTGTCTTTCATTAAGGAGTGTCATCTTCTCATATTTTAGATTGATGCAGATTATCATCTCTATCACGAAGCTATTGCTCAGCGTCTTTCATTAAGGAGTGTCATCTTCTGATCTTTTAGATTGATGCAGAATATCATATCTGGACCTTTTAATGTGATTACCAGTCACAGAGCTCTTTGTGCGATATCTGGTGATATTGCTAGCTCGGAATTGATAAGTGCCAAAGTTTCAATTCTAAACTGGTCTCATTTCACTCTGATCGAATCATATTACTGCTACAAGCTGTTAGGTAAGTTTTACAGAAAAAATCGATTGTGGATACTGAGATTTTAAGTGATGAGGTTGTAAAAGAGTGCTGATTCGGATATTTACCATCACTGAAGGCCTGCTTATGTTGTCGGTATCCGTATATATTCTCAGGAGGCAATTGTCTTTTCTAAAAAAAATCTATCGTGTGTCCCATGAAAGGGAACCTAAATGGTCACTGCACAGGTGGGATGTCCGTTTCTTGATTGTTAGACAACTTAGTGTGGCATGTAATTAGCATCTTCGGGTGCTAGACAAACTAGTGTTGCATGTAATTAGCATCCTGTGAATGAGGAACTTCTTAGAGGCTTTCACATTGAAATAGTAGTGAAAATGAAGGGAGCCTCTCTCTGCCAGACACTAAAATATAATGTCACTGCCGAATCATGTACAGATTCGGTTTGCTTTTCGATATGCATGACCTGAACTGTCAACTTCAAGCTGGTGTGCTGTAATCTTCTGAAGCCATCTTGATTTGGGTCCACTCTTTTGCGGCGCTGCTGATATTTCCTGCTTTGCCACGTCGATGTTGGTGTTGTGCAGATGCAGTTGGTCACAAGATGGTTAAGCTTAATATAGGAGTTTGGCTGTACATGATTGTTGTGGGTGCATAAAAAGGTGGGTCTTCTCAATGGTTCAGACTTCTCAGTTAATCTTTGCTTCGATCATCCCCCTGAAATCTCCATAGCCCTTCTTGTTCCAGAGGCCGAGGTGCCTCCAGACGAGAAAAAGGGATGATTTTCCTAACATGTCGCTTTCAGTCTACTACTTCAGAGTGGCTTTCGAAGTCTTCCATTTTTAGAAAATCAGACCGACCAAACCGTCCAGCACCAACCTCGGCGCTTCATTCCCCTGCATCTACAATGTCCTGGCCTGGTATTCTAATCCGATGCGGAAACTAAAAGCTTTTGAATTCCATTAAATTTTGGGTAGGATTCTTCATCATAACCAGAACCACCCCCGTATTATAAAACTAAAATGACCCAAGAGCCTCTAAATGAAATAATTGCACAATATGACATGATAAGAAACTCTTATTAAATGCTTGTAAATTGCAAGAATGCAAAAGAATCTAGTTGTCAATGAGCCACCGCCCCCGCCATGATGCACCGCTTTTTTTCTGATTCTTGACCATGATCGGTGCGCATCTTCCGTGCAATTCATAGGGCCGAGGCCAACACATTTTGATGCAGATGGTGGACCCTCTGTTTGTCTTTTCAGTCTTAGAGAACAAGAGAATATCCTGGAACAAGCAAATGCCCAATTACTTGTCATGGAAAGAAAAAGGGAAGGGTCAGGCGTGCACAGACATCAAGTGCTTTTTTGGGGGAACGTGCTCTTTGCGTTTAATTTGTCTAAATTGTGTTTGATAAAAGTGATTAGAATGGCCAAAAAAGAGATTAAATCATCATTAGAGAAAACAAAAAAATGGAAAGGATTTGAAAAATTGAGTTATAACGTAATTTGAATGTTGACTGAGAGAAAAAGAAATGAAGAGAATTATAAAGTTCGATAAAAGACCGCAAATGAGAAAGCATACAATCCACCAATTTCTTCTAATCCTTCTTCTCCTTTTCTTTCCCTCCGTTCAAACAAGATCGTTTCTTTCCCATCCCAATCCCTCCTGCCAAAAAATGTGTAAATTCTCCTAATTTTGTGCGAGAAATTCCTGCATGGATTTCAATTCATGAACCCAAAATAATTATAACATTTGATCGTATGACACTAACATATGGAGCTCGTACGATTAATCTTTATGATAGACCTAGCCACTGAAAACTCAAGTCCAATGAAAAATTTAGTTTTACGTGGGGATGTATCATAGAGTTTCTCTTCATCTTATATGATTTTCATTAAATACAGATATATTATGATGTACTGTAATTTACACGATGTACTTTTAGTTTATGAAATATTAAGTCCTAAAATTACCATCATTTGCAACTTTGAATCATCAACTTTACCCATTTTTTTCTTGCCCCACTCTCGCTACTGCCCGCCAGAACCACCGACGCAAAACCGGTGCTACAAGACATGCTCCACCGTGACTCCAATTATATTTGCCACCACCCATGGACAGCAACAACCCCAACATCATCGATAATCGGCGTCACCGCCACTAACCAGCATGGTGACCACCAACTAGTCTATCACCACCAGCATACTGTCACCATCATCACTTGGTCGCAGCACCCACAAATAAATATTTGATTTGAATTGTAATAATTTAATTCACTCCTGGGCCCCTGTTGTCCAAATAGACTTATCAAATGAGTGATTCCGCGTTGAAAATAGTTCTATCCAGATTGATCCATTTAAATTGCTTTCAATTCCATTTTCACGCAATACAAATCTAACGACGCATACCGACCTAATCAACGTCCAACACATGTCCGACCGTGACCTTTATTACTAAAACACTTCTATATTATAACCAAACCAAGGTGTAGTCTTCGATCGATTACATATTAATCAATATTCGATTGATTGGTCTGAGGTTATCGACAAAAAAGATTTATCCTAATCAACCGACTTTATCGAGAAAGATTACTTTTTTTAGGCCAAGAGGTTGATAGCGAGATTTCGAATCAACTTATTGATCTTATGGTATATCTCAGTCTAGAGACCTCCCATTTTCAGGGGATTATCTCGGAGAAAGGATTAATATTTGTTCTATTATTTTTTTTTAGTAAAAATGGAACAATTCGGTTCGTAGGAACAAAGAGAAGCAGATCTATTCTATACCCAATAAGGCAATAGCTTACCAAGGCGATGAACTTCTTTTCCCGGAGAAGAAGCAATAACGGTATTTCGGATTGCCTAGTATTCCACCAATTAGTAATCCAAAATTCAAGACATTTATTAAATGAGAGAGAGATCCACCAGGGCAAAAATACTCTAGATGTAAGATATAACCGAATCCATTCAATTTCTAAAAAGGATTACTAATCCTTAACTTTTCGAGGAATCCTTCATCAGTGGTTGTGAATGACTGATTTTTTTCAATCTTTTCGACCTTGGTTCCATAGGAGCAAATCGACCGTTCGAGTATTCCAAATTGCATGAGAAAAATGAGAGTAAAAGAGGCATATATATGTTATATGATATATATCATATCCATCTATATTGAATTGCGGATACAGAAATAATAGAATTATTTCTGATTGGATCAAATGTAAGTCGCCCATAGAGATTAAAGAGGATAGGCAAGAAATTCAAAGAACAAGAAAGAGCACGGAGTAAACGAGCACGAGATCAAGTAAAAGCGAGAGAAAGTAAAGAGAGGGTCATAGAGGTGGGTTGAGTCCAAGTAAGTCATTAATTCATTTATCACTCATATTATTTTTATATTTACAATATTTACTAAATATAATGAACCCATATAACAACCATGTCTATCATATATGGGTTAAGAATTATGTTTGTGACCCGTTTTGACAATTTCCATATCGCAACCCTATTTGTCGTGCTATAATCAGGAAGTCTTTCTAGATAAGGTAGGCCTAAATTGATCAAACATTCTCTCGCAATGTGACTCGAGCTTATAAATGTCATGAAAGGTAGCGAGACATTTTATCATCTTTTGGGGTCGAAAGACATTTTATCATTCGGTTACTGCACTTATTGACGAGGCAGGCACACATTTAGGGAGGGCCTCAAAATACGCAGATGCTTATTGACGAGGCAGGCACACATTTAGGGAGGGCCTCAAAATACGCAGATTATGAAGTTCCACGTTAAATCAACATGATAATACAACAAATCAAAATAATATGGATTATCCGAAAAATCTCTATCGATCACATGAGAAAGGCAATATCCATTGAAGTTCCACGTCAAATCAATGAGTAAAAAACGGCTTACACCACCGTTCCGTACAGTTGGCTCTATTAGCTTTAGGCCGATCCTACATGTGTTGGAGTGAATTTCCGCCCAATAAACCCACTCACTCGTCTTCAAAGGAAAAAATTAGAGATAAATATGGAAAGGAAAAAAAAAACGAAATAAATCGAAATCTAATTTCCGGTCAGCATCGTCATCCATCAGCAGCAAAGCAGAGAAGGGAAGCCAGAGCTTCCACAAACCCCACCATGGCCGGTGCCATCTTCTCACCGGATCTCTTCCTTAAATAACCTCTCTCTCTCTCTCTCTCTTCCCTTCGATAATCATTTTCGTTCCTTCTCCCTTCGCCCTTTTCGCCTCTGAACTGCCAAATCTCGGAAGTTTCGAAAAGCAAGCAAGGAGAGAGACAGAGAGAGAGAAGAAGAAGAAGCACGGAAGCTCGAGAGCTCGCTCGCTCGACGGACCGCACTGCCCGCGACGTCTCCGGCTCCATCTCCTTTCAGCTACCGCACATCTCCCTGGTCGCTTCGCCTCGTGGTCCGAGAGGCAAGAACCGAGCGCCGCCAGGTAAAACTCTCTCGAGCTTCCCTTTCTCCGCGATCATCGGTCCCTTCCCCGACGTTCCGATGAGCTCCGCTCGCGGTTGCGGATCCTCTGTTTCCCTGATCGCAACTCGGAACCGATGCCGTGCTTCGTTTCCGTTCTCTTCCGTTGCGAGCGTTGGATGGGTTCCGACTGGCGAGCGAGCTTCGCTTCTTTTGATGTTCGGTGCTGATTCTGGTTGTTCCTTGATTGTGGTGTCGGTTCTGGCTCGAGCTCTGATCGGGTAGCTCGGCAGAGAATTCTGGACGCGTTGTTTTGTTTGTCCCCGGCCGTGCGATCGTCCCTTTCGCGGATATGAATTCTGGCTGAAATGCGCTGGACTTTGGAAATGTAGAATTGGGCACGTGATTGGTAGGCTTCAATGCGGCTTGTGTAGGTGAATCTGGCAGTAATCTGTTCTTGAGCATTTCGCTCTCTTCTTATGCCTGGCGGCTGCATTAGGTTCTGTTAATTTCTTTGGATATCGTGCGGTGTAAATAAGCTGCCACTTGATGGGGTCCGGTGGTTTTAGTGTCAGTTCCTCATGGCTGCAATCTATATAAGCCGAACTGATCTGAGCTGGGAATGCTTGCCTTTCTGGCTACTAAAAAGTTAGTGAGTAAATGTTGGTGGTTGAGAATTCTAGTGTTCCTGGTCATGTGACACATCCGATATTGGGATAGATATTTGATTAACAGGCAAATAACTGCTATTAGAAGAAGACTCTAGCATTCGCATATTATGACTGCTTATAAGAGCTTTCATATTGGATAAAGTGAGCCCAATTTGCGGAGAATAGAAGTTTACTAAGTTCTCGAGTGAAGGTCATCTGAAACTTGTGGGGGTTTGTGATCATTCACGAGGTTTTGTATCATTTTTATCTTTTATTTTTAAAAGAACATCAAAACTCAACTGCTTTTATGCTTGCATGAGGTGGAAAAAGGGAAACGGCAAACTAAAGCCTGTAATGCATCGGAGAACTAGAGAAATTGAGGAAATTCGCAACTTTAAGTATCTATTGAGTTTGGCATCTACAAGTCAAAAGCAAAGATACAGGTATTATCTCCATTTGAGTGACGATCACCGCAGAAGGTAGTGAAGAAGTATATGGGATGAGGAACCAGAAAGGTTTCCTCTCTTTAAACCAATAGGGAAATAAGCAAGATGAGACGTTCAGGCTCCGGTGAGAGCAATAGAATAATTAATCCATGTCCTAGATAGTACATGTTGTCTTTGCGAAAGACAATTAGAGAGTCATGCGACCTGATGTTTGGTCATAAAAGTTAGTCTGCAAATGACATAAGCTGGATTAAGATTAAACAGAGCACATATGTCATTCTTTGTTGCAACTGGGTTGCTTAAGTAGCAAAGCAGATCTAAAGACCCACAGTTCTATCCTATAGACCCCTTGAACAATCCTTTCTATCTTATAACTGCCTAGCAAACAACTCTACATGACACAATCAGTCAAAAAACTATGTTCCAAAAATATTCTGCCCGTGTTTGATTCTCTTCTATTCTGTGCTCTAAATTAATCTTGAAAATCTGGTGGACAAGATATCCGAAAGTGACATACTCCCCAATGATGTTGTCTTTCGTGACATAAAGGTGCTTCCAAGTGCAATAATTTAGTAAATGCTTACATGTTATGGACCTTTATTGCTCTGAATGTAATGCAGATCACAGATGGGGAAAGACCTCGTCAATTCGAGGCCACAAATCTAAATTATGGTTTTTGCCTTTCTGTCTTTGGCTAAACAAGTAGACTTAGTCAAGAAGCACACGTAGCCTAAGGTTTCATCTATATTATCAATCTTTGGCATCTTTGTCGTTCCTTTTACTGGTTTATAGTCATAGTTGGCAGTCTATTTAAGCTTCAGTGGCACTGGCCATGTACTTTTCTGAATTGTGCTACAGCTGTTCTTGATAGGTACTTTAGCCCCCAATTCTCTTACAGTTCACGAGTGACTGTTCTGCTTTAACAGTGGTTTCCTGTGAATCTCAATACCAGAATCCTGAGGTTTCTGACTCTGCTGACAAAGATACGAAGGATTTTGCAAGATGTCTAGCCCTGCAAAAGTTTTAGATCCTGCTTTCCAATCAGTTGGTCAGAGAGTGTATCCTTTTGATAGAAGAATTAACTTTATATTTACTTGACTTTATCTTCTTCTTCTTTTTTCGAAATCTCTGAGCTTTAAATCTACCTGACTTTATTTTGTTTTTCAAGATCTTTGATGTGGCCCTTGGCATAAAAATCGAAGTTCATTTTATCGTTTATTTATGCTGCTTTTGATCTTAAGCTTGTTAACCCTAATAGCTTTAAGTGGGACTGAGATTTGGCGAATTGAGGATTTTCAGCCAGTAGCCTTGCCAAAATCTGAGTATGGTAAATTCTACATGGGGGATTCTTACATTGTTCTACAGGTATGCCATGTTCCTCCACATTCTGTTGAGGGGGATAAAAGTAATCAAGAATATGAACACATGTACACACTCACGCCAAAGTGCGCAAGCACACATAGACATGGGAGAAAAATTCTCTCCCTTTTTCTTTTGTGGGATAATGAAATTGGAAGTTCAGTAGCTTCTTTGGAAGAACCAGAAGATACTTATGTTTGCAAATTTTATCCTATTTTGTACTCAGACTACGTCTGGCAAGGGTGGTGCTTATCTATATGACATACACTTCTGGATTGGAAAAGACACGAGTCAGGTACATTGTAGAGCCTTCTCTTGTTTAAGATCTTCAACTTGCCTTAACTGTATGAGGTATACCTGTAATTACGAATTCTCTTCATAGGATGAAGCTGGAACAGCTGCCATAAAAACTGTCGAACTAGATGCGGTTCTAGGTGGTCGTGCTGTGCAGCACAGGGAACTCCAAGGTCATGAATCTGACAAATTCTTGTCTTATTTCAAACCTTGTATTATACCATTGGAAGGAGGTGTAGCATCTGGATTTAAAAAACCTGAGGAAGAAGAGTTTGAAACTCGTTTATATGTTTGTAAAGGAAAAAGAGCCGTGAGGTTGAAGCAGGTTAGTGAACTTTTGACATATTCTCAATTTTTGCTGCAGCAAGCTATTTTGGACGTGATAAGCTTTAATCAACTGAGTACAGTTACTTAACTTTACTTGTGCAGGTCCCTTTTGCTCGATCCTCGTTAAATCACGATGATGTATTCATCCTGGATACTCAGAATAAGATTTATCAGTTCAATGGCACAAATTCCAATATCCAGGAAAGGGCAAAGGCCTTGGAAGTGATTCAATTTTTTAAGGAAAAGTATCATGAGGGGAAGTGTGACGTTGCCATTGTTGGTAAGAGTGCATTTAGTTATGATGACCTTCTGCTTGTTTTTGGCGGTTTTTTTTTTTTTTTTTTGTATTTTTATGAAAGCAATGGATGTTAAATTTATGATTTTGTGATAGAATCGCAATAAGGAATTTTACACTGCCATCATGTGATCTCCCTTCTCATGTATGCACGTTTTATTTACCATGATAGAGGATGGGAAGTTAGATACAGAGTCAGACTCTGGTGAGTTCTGGGTTCTCTTTGGTGGCTTTGCTCCAATTGGCAAGAAGGTGGCTAGTGATGATGATGTTATTCCAGGAACAACTCCAGCTAAGCTCTATAGGTATGTCCCTTTTTTATATGGGGAAATGGGAATAAATACAGCACAATTAGTTGAGGGGCACAGTGCCTCTTTTTTCAATATCCCCCATATTGATTTCAAGTGTTCATAAGGATACTGATACCTTCAAGAAAACTGATCTACAAGTTTGCAGATGCTTTTGTGTATGCCTTGCATTTGGATATAGTTAAGACATGAGATTTCACATACTTCCCTTCTCCTGGTTTACCAGCATGTTGTTGAGGATAGTGGTCAAATAGTGAAATCAACCCAATCCCGTCGACCCCATTCTGCTTCTTTCCACCATTAGATAACCCTGGTTCATGTTGTTCTATGAGGAGGAACTTGAAATGCACAGCTCGTAGAGTAGAAGATTAATGAGTGGATCAGCATCTGTGCGTTCATCTGTGAGTTCTGAAGGACTTACTCCTTCAAGGGCAACATAGTGAAGAGGAAAGATCTGCTAAAGTTTTTGACAGTCTAAACAATTGACCAGTGACTGAAGATTGGTTCCTACGAACTTTTCTTGATGACGTCCTTACTTGTCATAGCTTTATTTGCCTCCTCTGCTAAAAAATGCTTAGTGGGTATACTAGTCAAATGCCACCTTACCTGTTCTTTTTACATTCTATTTAATCCTTTCTATAAAAGTTTATTTTTTTTTTTTTTTTTTTTTTTTTTTTTTAATTTTTTTTTTTTTTTTTTTTTTTTTTTTTCCCCCTTTTTTTTTTTTTTTTTTATTTATAATATAATCAAACCTTGTGTAGCAATTGTTTTTCGTTGTTGAGTTTCTTAAGTATGTCCAAGAGAGCTGGCCATCTGATTACTTTCTACTGACAATTATGTACATTTACCATCTTGTATGGTTTCTCTTGGTAGCTTCATTGACGGTGATGTGAAGGCTGTTGAAGGTGAACTATCTAAAAGCATTCTGGAAAACAACAAATGCTACATGCTCGATTGTGGTTCTGAAATTTTTGTGTGGGTTGGCCGTGTAACAACGGTGGATGAGAGAAAAACTTCCAGCCAAGTGGCTGAGGTAGATCTGTAGTCTATGGAGCTTAATCTTCACGATGTAGAGGTTACATGTGCTCATTTTCAAACTTATATTCAGGGTTTTGTCGCTAGCCAAAACACACCAAAGTCAACACGCGTAACCAGGGTCATCCAAGGTTATGAAACACAGGCATTTAAGTCCAAGTTTGATTCTTGGCCGGCTGGATCCACTGCTCCAGGTGCTGAGGAGGGCAGAGGGAAAGTAGCAGGTGTCACTTCTCCTTCAAAATTTGTCGTCTTATTTTCGAATGCTTTCTTTCTTATAATTACTGAAAGACAATTCATGTTTTGCTAGCTTTGCTGAAGCAACAAGGTATCGGTGTGAAGGGAATGGCAAAAAGTGCTCCTGTCAATGAGGAAGTCCCACCTTTGCTTGAAGGAGGTGGAAAAATGGAGGTATAGTGGATGTTTCCCTTTGCTAATTTATTAATGAGGCTGATTGAGGTGACATCTCTCTAAATACACTTCATTAACCATAACGCAGGTGTGGCGTATAAATGGCAGCGCTAAGACGCCATTGCCTAAAGAGGATGTTGGGAAATTCTATAGCGGAGATTGCTACATTGTTCTTTATACCTACCATTCAGGGGACAGGAAAGAGGATTACTTTTTGTGCTGTTGGATTGGAAAGGATAGTATTGAGGTAATTGATGTCTTGGCAAGTTGTGCTGAGCAAGTTAATGCACTTATATGTTTAAATACCAAAATAGGGATGTTTTACGTGAGAAAATATTGTGTTGCTGTTGCTTCCTTTCACAAATGAGATACCTATGGGGATATAAGTTAGCTATGGTCATCTGGGAATCTGGATTTCACTGTATATGAAGATGGAGGAAGGAGTAAAATAATTGGATAACAAAGGAGTGATGACACAAAAATTTGTAGATAACTATTAATGAATCTCTAGTTGTCTAGGTATAGATGAATGCAAAAAAATAGATGCTGTAGTCCCTCTTTTATGCAATTCCATTGAATAGTGCAAAGGATGATGATGGAGGATCTATTACCCAAATTGTTCTCAGATGCTAGAGTTCCAATAGTAGATGCTAACATGCTGTTTCTTCATAAAAGAGTGAGTTGCACAAGTTATCCACACAAATTGGGTCTCTGTGATCTTTGCTTTTATTGTCTGTTGAGTAGTAGTAGCGTTCTGGCTTTGCTTTGAAGGTTAGTATTTATCACTAATTCTAAGTGTACAGTCCTTTATCCATCCTTTCTTCTTATATTATAATTTTCTTGGACTTGTGGAATTCATAAGTTATGTTCTGTTGATTAAGATACAAATTCACACGTGCTGGTCCAATCTTTCAATTTCAGCTTTGAAACAACTTGTTTGGCTGGATGTTCCATATTTGATGCAAGAATATTAACAAAGATATAATTTTCTTATGTAGGAGGACCAAAAAATGGCTGCTCGTTTGGCTAACACAGTGTCCAACTCGTTGAAAGGGAGACCTGTTCAAGTACATCTTTCCTTAGTCAACTTGAAACTTAAAATTTCTATTTAAGAAATTGTTCTCTAGCATTCTGTTTAATATATGCTTTTGCAGGGTCGTATATTGCAAGGTAAAGAGCCACCTCAATTCATTGCACTTTTTCAGCCAATGGTAGTCCTTAAGGTATCCTTTTGTCTTTTGTGTAATAATATTGTCACTTCTGCAATGAAATGCATATATTGAATTAAATGATTTAAAAGTTTAAATTGCTATTTTTTTAATCTGATTCTTCTTCAGGGAGGTTTGAGCTCGGGTTACAAAAAGTTTATTGCAGAGAAAGGTTTGACAGATGAAACTTATACACAAGAAAGTATTGCTCTCATTAGGGTTTCCGGTACTGCCATTCACAACAGTAAAGCTGTCCAAGTTGATGCGGTAAGTGTTGTTGAGTACCTTTTGACGTATGATTCATAATTGTCCATGTGATCCATGTCACTTAAACAGCTACTTTTTCTTCTCATGCATGAATATCTTGCTTATATTATTTACTCTTTCGAAGTTGTGGAGTGTGCAATATGATAGTAGGTGGACTCTGTTCAAAAGGTGAAAGGGTTAGGTAGTTTTTAGTTGAAGTTATTATCAGTTGGATCCTTGTTATCATTATACCTACCATGACACCTTGTAACATACCGTCGGTGGATTATGGTTACCTGCTTTGGGATTTCTATATTGGAAATCCAAACTAGGGATTGATTCCTGTACTTACTGTCTTCCTCATACGATCATACGAATTGTTAATGTTCTTCATTCTGGGAGTAACCTTTGGTGGCAAACATTTCCTTATCCAAATGGCAAACTGTCATTATAAGACGCCAGTAGTTCTCACTCATGACGTTAGCCTTAAACATGGAGATCATGATTTCAAATGCAATCATCTTCCTTTGCTATGCTAACTGCAAAGTACACAATGAATAGGTGGCAACATCATTGGATTCTGCTGAGTGTTTTCTTCTTCAATCTGGATCTTCAGTTTTCACATGGCATGGCAATCAGAGCACTTTTGAGCACCAGCAGCTTGCTGCAAAAGTTGCAGAGCTTTTGAAGGTACTATCTGCTTTCATTTTCTGGTATTTTCTTATTTTAGGATAACTGCCGCTGTTTGAAAACATACCTAGTGTTGAGTGATTTGTGCGTGCTTGTTCTTGAGTGAATGCATGGAGATTGTGAAGTCATAATATCAAACCAAAGAAAGGGAAAAGAAACAAGAAAAGACTTACTTAACCAAGATCATGGGGTCACATTGTTAAAAATCCTCTCTGCAATGAAAGGCTGAGGATTAATAAAATGTGGCCTTTTTATGGACGCAGCATTGTGGGAACATTTAATACGAGGAAATTAAATGTTCATCTCATGAGGTACCCTATGTAACTGGTCCCTTACCGTGCCTAGAGGGTGTAAAACTGGTCTTGCATCCGAGAAAGAGATATGTCAGAAAAAATAAGCATAACATATCCATTTTAATTAGGGTTAATACCACGAAAAACCCCAAATTGGTACACTTGTGACCAATTTAGCCCAAACTAATTTTTTTACCCTAAAAAACCTCAAACTGGTACACTTGTGACAAAATTTACCGTTTGTTAAATTATATTAATACCGCGAAAAACTATAAATTGGTACACCTGTAACAAACGAAGGTGTAAAACCCTAAGCTGGTACACCCGTCAACTGCCACGTGTCATCAAATTCAGAAATTTGACGGTAAAATTTAACGAAAACTAAATTGGTGTTCCGGTTTTGGGTTTTTGGCGGTCAAAAAATTAGTTTGAGGTAAATTTATCACAGGTATACCAGTTAGGGGTTTTTCGTGGTTATGCTTTTGAAAAAAGGGAAACTATTTTCTGTTAATTAAAAGTGGTCTTTATTCTCTCTCCACTTTCTTCATCACCAACCATGCTACTAACAAGGGACTTCAAAGACCATCGTAGAAGTTTCTTCATCCAAGGACTTTCATATGTCCAAATGTGACCATTCTCGTAGTTAGGGCCTTCGTTCCAACCTCGTTACCTATTTATGCTGGAAAAGGTCCTGTCGGATCTGATGAAGCTGTATTATTTTCTCAAAAAGACAAGCTGCTGACACTATGATGGAAGCTAGTCTCACTAAAATTTCAGAACCTGAGTTTGTATCCTGTTACTTTGTTCTTTCCTTTCCTATTAATGGTAATTAAACTTTATGTTTCAATGTGTGTGTGTGGGTGAGGTGTCTAGGGAGAGGGAGATGGAGTTGTGTCACACAACCCTTAGTACTTAATGCCTCAGCTAGTTGGAGAATTATTTATGTGAGTTTTGAAACCAACTAAGCTGTGCATAAATGTTTTATATTGCCTCATTCTGGTTCAGTTACGTGATATTTTTGTTTGATATATGATTTTTGTGTCAAAGTGCAGCCTGGGGTTGCTTTGAAACATGCAAAAGAGGGTACAGAGAGCTCACCCTTCTGGTTTGCACTTGGAGGGAAACAAAATTACACTGGTAACAAGATTTCCCAGGAGACTGTCAGGGACCCCCACTTGTTCACATATTCACTTAATAAAGGTGCGGATATTGACCAAAGAATGTCCTTTTTATTTTTTTCTCATCGTCAACTGCAGATCTTCCATACAATTGGCTAAATTCTGACTTCTCTTTTTTCCTTTTTCTCATGGATCCCACAGGAAAGTTTGAGGTGAGTTCCAGCTGATCTTGGGAACTAATTTTGAGTTTGTTTGGAGTGGCTCTCACTTTTCACTTTTTCAAATATTGTGACACACACACTGACTTTTTTTTTTTTAATCTTAAATGTCTGAAATGTTCTTCAACCAAAAAAAAATGTTTGAAATTTTCAAAATATACAAGTGTTGACACGTGTTCCGCATAAAATTTTTGCATAATTTTTATAATTTAAAAATATTTTGGGTATTGGCAGAAAAGTAAAAGAAAAGTTCCTTCTGAATTTTCAGAAATCCCCACAAACAAACACATGTCGCCATATTTCTTATGATTCTTCTTTGTAGGTTGAGGAAGTACACAACTTTTCACAAGATGATTTGTTAACCGAGGATATCATGATACTGGATACACATGCTGAAGTGTTTGTTTGGGTTGGTCAGTCTGTGGACTCGAAAGAAAAGCAGAGTGCTTTCGAAGTTGGTCAGGTATGCCCACTTAGTTAAATAATGTCTTCAGTTCTCTTTGTTGTTCACTGAGCTCACTTTTGGCTGTTCTTTACAGAAATACATTGACATGGCCGTATCTCTAGAGAATTTGTCTCCAGATGTACCGCTCTACAAAGTTACAGAAGGAAATGAGCCATCCTTTTTCACAGTATACTTTTCGTGGGACTCTGCAAAAGCAACAGTATGTGTTTCAAAAATGGGCAATGTCTTTTCACTTTTGCCTCGATTTCCACTTATTTGACTATACCCTCTTGCATTCAACATTATTACTGAAAGTAAATAAATGCAAATGCATTTTGTTAATTTCTGCAAGTACATTTTGTTTTTCCACCTTGTTTTTGCATCCAAAGCTGCATAATGTCCATTCACATAGTTAGCACCAAGAGGCAAAGTATGTCGAGTTTCTGAAGCTTATAATTTTGAGCGAGTTATCTGAAAATCTTATCTTGAAATGAAGATGCTAAAGAAACTCTTTTAGCAAATATCAATCCAGTTTCAACTTATTTTTTATGAATGAATAGTGAAATTCCGAGGTAGCTGGTGAAATATAAATTGTCTCTATAATGGAAGACCAGGATTAACACATGCAGTATGGCCGTATTAGAAGAGACAGAATAAACATTCATAAATTGTTTCTCTTGGAACCCTGTTTTGCCCGAAAATATGTCAGCTGAGACTGGCAACAGCAATGACTGTTGAAGCTGAGTCCTCATATTGAATCATCAGTTTCTTTTCCTTGGTTACACTGAAGACTTTCTTGAGACTATGTCAGATGAAATATAATGCTCCTGTTGTTTGTGTGAGAGAGCTTACGATGTGAAACAAACCCCTAAACATATGGACCAGCATCCACAGTCTACACAGGTAATTTGTAGAGCTCTTAGGGCCAAGGCAGCTTTGGTAGAGCTGAGGTAAAGGTGATGCTTATTCCTGTGGGAATGTCATTGAAATAGATGCTAAAGTTGCTTCTTTCCCATGTTTTATTACTATGGTTATATCTTTCATTACCCAACTTAGGTAAAATCCACCTGTCATTACTGAATTCTGGTGCAGTTTCAATCACGTTTGTGAGTTGTGATTTTAATTGTTAACCAACCAATACATTGAACTTTTATGACTTAGACATTGATGCATGCTAACCATTTTCCAACCAATTTTTCATCGAAAATCTGATGTGGCTTCCTATGCTTCTCACCAAGAGGATGCCGCCTGACACACATGAGAAAACATCACACGCTATTTACTAGTGGGATTTTAAAGTGATTGTTATTGAGTATTGTTAGAACATTTAAATAATAAACCACGTCTTTATCTAACAGCTTAAGCTTTTAGAACAGTTGGCAGTGGTCCTACAAAATCTCACATGATATCAGAGCTGGAGGTCCTGAGTTCAAATCTTTGATTGCCCCATTTGTCTCCTCAATTAAATATATCCACGCTTAGTACTAGGCAAAAAGACTAGACTAAGCGTGAGGAAGGGTGTTAGAACATTTAAATAATAAATCATGTCTTCATCTAACAGCTTAAGTTTTTAGAACAATTGGCAGTAGTTCCACAAAATCTCACAAGTATCTTAGAGGCACTTGTTAAACTCCAGTTCAATGATTACTGGTGAAATTAACCTACTTCATATTAGGAGACCCATTCCTTGCTTAGGGACTGATGCATCAATTGAAGGATTCTTCTTATATTGCATGGTTTCTGTCTTCTTATTAATGGTTAAGAACACTCATGTAGCTGCTGAATCAAAGTGAGCTGCATAGTCTTTTTGTGCTTGCTCAATAGTTGTTGAGGTTTTTTTCGATTCTTTTAGCGGATGAATCAAGTAGTAAATTCAGTGGTTAGTGAGTGGAAGCTTCAGAATACTGAATATGTCTATTGGAGGATAAATATATTATCATGGAGTTGCCATATTTGCCTGTGCCGACTGGGCTGCTTAGTGTGTCTTGATGATAGATTCGCTCGATGCGAAGCATCAAGTTTTCATTCATTTGCTTCAGAGCAGCTTCTATTTAGTTGTTATTCTTACGTAATCGTCATCTTCATCATGCGTATGCCTTTTCTGTACACTTAGTAATATGGTGAAATTATGGCATACAAAAATACTAGTTCTGACCCCAAAAAAAAATCCTGTTATACTTTTCCCTCCATCCTTCTTATTCCGTAAGGTTTTCAATGGATGAGAAACACATTATCCTGACCATGGATCTAGAGATTCACTCTAAAATTGACTATTATCTTTTCGCTGTTAATGTTTTTCCAAACAATGCAGGTTCAAGGAAACTCATTCCAGAAAAAGTTGGCATTACTTCTGGGGATAGGCCATTCTGCAGAGGTAAAACGGCTTGACTTTGAATTTCTGCGGGTGTGAATTAATTCCTCAGCCATCTGCACTGAAGATTACACTGTTGAAATAGCCCAAACCATGTTTGTGATCATTATGCACCCAGTTATGTAACTCTTGATTGGGCCCATTGTTCACCTTTATAGTCTCAGTCTGCAAACATCTCGCACGGTATTCGACTCTTAGGATGTGCTTCGCTCGGACGATTATGTCTTGCACCAACATACTTCAGTAATCATTGCTATTTTGATGGCTGTATACTTGTCTGTCATTGTAGAACCAGGATAGATCAAATGGGAGTCGAGGAGGACCAACCCAGAGAGCTTCAGCTTTGGCAGCCTTGTCCTCGGCATTTAACGCAACTCCTGGCAAATCATCTTCAGTAAGATTGCTATTCTGGCAGTAGCTTCACCTCAGGAGTGTGAAATGAAACCTTCCTTGTATTTAAATTGTTCTTCTTCTCAAGTGTTATTTCATGCTCATAAATTTTGTCTGATTATGAATAGTTTGAAATTTGAAGTTCATGGGATATGAGTGTCTTCGCTATTTTTATAGTTGAAGAGTCAAAGTTCATCTTGAGAATGCAGCTTTTTGATTTGTACGGAAATTTGTAGGGTGAGGACAAATCCAATGGGTCAAATCAAGGTAGCGCAAGGCAGAGAGCAGAAGCTTTAGCTGCATTATCCTCTGCATTCAATCAATCATCTGAGATAAAGACCTCCGCTTCTAGGCCATCTCCGGCAGGTCAGGGTTCACAGCGAGCTGCTGCTGTAGCTGCCCTATCTTCGGTTCTTTCAGCTGAAAAGCAGAAGTCGCCAGATACCTCTCCCACTCAAGCGAGTGGAACTCCTGCAGAAAGCAGCTCTCCCGGTAATAATTCACAATCATCATTTTTGTATAGGCTAATTACTATCTCGATAGGATTTAGCATTATGTTCGAGTCTTTTGCTTGCTCTAAACGTGACCTGGCCAAATTCTCTCTGTTATCTGCCTGAATTGCTACTTCTCTCTCTCTCTCTGTTATCTGCCTGAATTGCTACTTTCTCTCTCTCTCTCTCTCTCTCTCTCTCTCTCTCTAAAGCTTACACCGTATGTGCAGTTGGAAATCCCCTTTTTGAAACAGAATGGAACGATTCAGAACCAAAGCAGGAATTGGAGCAGGATGAGAATGATAATGGAGGTAGCGGAGCGATATTCACCTATGAACAACTGAAGGCTAAATCCGACCATCCCGTGACTGGAATTGATTTTAAAAGGAGAGAGGTAAGTTGCTATTTGACTCCCTTAATACCGACAGGTTTCCCCGCTTCTCGGTTCCCAATCGAAATTTCATATTCACTCTACACAACTCTTTTTAGGCCTACCTGTGCGATGAAGAGTTTCAGACCGTGTTGGGGATGACAAAAGAAGAATTTTACAAATTGCCAAAGTGGAAGCAAGATATGCAGAAGAAGAAGGTCGATTTATTTTAGGGGCTGCATTATCCACGGACTTCTTCCTATGCTCCTTTTTTCCTTGGCTACTCACGGTTCGGTGTGGAGTCACGTCGGACAAGCAGGCGTGGGGTTTGTTTCGTCTATCATTTTTCGCGCGTTGATGAATGTGTAGTTTCTAGCGAGAATCAAGTTTGCGTTTGCCGCTTGTTAGGAAGGACGGTCTCTTCTTTCTTCCTCCTAGAAGGTTCTGCCTCGCATTTTTTCAAGCTCCCTTTTTCTAAGGACTGTGACAAAGGTCAAATTCTTTTGTATGGTCGAGCATAGTTCATTTTTTTTCGGGTCTCCCCTTTTCCCTTTTATTTCTTTTTCCTCTCGACTCTTACCGGACGAACTTGTGAAAGGAATGTACATGTATTGCATTTGATCTCGACTTAATGTATAATATGGCGATTGGTTTTCTATCTGTACTCGGATCCATGTCCTATTCGGATTCTTCTTCTCTTCCTCGTCACGCTCACTCAACTCGGTCATTGAAAGTAAGATGCATGGAGCTATGCTTTCAAGCTTAACAACTTTGTACGACATAAAGATAACTTTCGTGCATTCTTTCTTCTTCTTTTTTTATCAAGAATCGCTCTTTTTATCCAAATGTAACTTTCTATGAAATAAAGATGAAGGAATTGCTCGGATAAGTGCCTACAGCTTTAAGGTCAAAGTTATTCGCGATCGAGGTAACTTCATTTCAATCGAACTCTCAAAACCTCAAAAAGTTCACGACCAGCGAGCCGCGAATCTAGGAAAGGCATTCCCACCCCCAAATTCGCGCCAATCGCGAAGACATCCTTCAGCTCGGAACACATGATTATGCAGGGCCCTTTTTAGGTAGTCATCATCAGACCAGAGAGCCACCATCATTTAAGGTTAAAAGTCGCAATAGACTTAACTTGTGAACCCCCCCAATTGGACAAAAAAAAAATAACAAATATACGCTAATCATTCGCGACCCCACTGAACCTTTTTCTTGCTCGCCTGCCTTTACATTCGGTCCTTAAGAGAGAGAGAGAAATCCTTCTCTTTCAAGCGAATCGAATATCCTCTTCCTCCTCGCGATAAAGCCTCTCCGTCAATCAGCAAGCTCCGAACCACTCACGCCCCAGCCAGAAAGCCTTATCCAAAGTTATCGCCAACCCTAATAAATTGCGATGATTGGCCGGTTACGTTTCTCAATTGGACGCCAAAGCGTGCATTATTTCTTGGGTCCCCCCCACAGCTTACGCTCTCGCTCTAATCATGTCGGTCCGTCTTGTTACCAACTTAAGCACCATAGATATTAAGATTATAGAGTGCTTTTTGCACGTTAAGTGACAACCTATTATCTTCTTCCCCACATTGACAGACAGACAGAGACAGACGGCGACAGAGACCGAGAGTAAAAACTTCACGTAGATCTATTAATATAATTCCGGCTTCTCTCGGTTGGATATAGTATAGGAGACGGGTGGGTGGTGCATGATGTGATCTCTTACGATACGACCGCACAAAGATTTAAACAATGGCCTGAGCAATTAATGTTCTTGAGCTGGAGATTAAGTCTATATAGATAGGTTCACATGATCCGCCACGCGGACGTAATATGACCGATTTGCAAAACCTAGCATCACATGCAATCCGTGCGAATATATGCCCTTTCTTTTGGTGGGGGGCCCAAAGAAATTATGTGCCTATGCCTGCTACTTGAAGAACCTCCTCATTTGGACATTGCTCAATAAAGTATTTGTGAAAGCGACCACCTTTCATGATCCATTGTCCCCGCTAATTGGAATTTAAAAAACTACGTCACTGGATTGATTAGCGAAGATTTCTAATTGATGAGGAAGTATATCCACATTCTTGTGTTATGTTGGGCTCTTCACGAACTTTCACTTCCCTCGTAGCTCCTTTACATCGAGAGAATTCACCTAAAGCAAAGCCCTTTTGATCGAATGAATGCGAGGAAAGATTCTCCTCGGATCAAATCGTCGAGATGGGTCGGACGAACTCGTTCGGAAAACAGCAAAAACGGTGATGATTCTCTCGCATTACACAAGGATCGATCAAAGGGTATATTGTCTGCATCTGGAGAGGTTTATATTGACCGATGTTTTGGCTGATTGTTCTGCTTTGGCGCTTCTGCAATGGGAAATGGATGACCTTCATTCCCCAGAGAACATTGATAAATATGCATGTAAATAGAGAATCCAATCATGCTCGGACGTCTCGGTAATCAAACAAATCGGCGTCATGTGATTTGCAGTGAAGAATGAATGGTCTGATCAAGCTCTGGAAGCTGCTGTTTTTGGACGGACCACGTTTACGGATTAGAACCCCACCTTCTCTCTCTTACTCTCTCTCTCTCTCTCTCTCTCTCTCTCTCTCACGGAACTGATATTTTATACGGCTTCCCAAAAAAGCATTTCATCAATACAAACTAGTTGTAAAGAGTATTTTCTCATGCAAATGAAACTAATTATAGTCAATATTGGAATTGTAATGATGTCAAAAGTTAGGGTGAAGTAACTTTCCCGATTTTCTAGACGCATCTTAGATATATTTCGCGATTGGAAAAAGCGAAAAGAAAAAAAATACCCGTTCAGCGCGAAAACACGAACTGTCGGTTTAGACTTACGAGCGATCGACATGGAATGTTGTCTAAGATAGTCAGCATGTTCTATCTATATTGATCAAGTCAGGCCCAGGTGACTTAATCACATTAGTAGGATAATTGAGTGGCATTTTGATTATTTTAATTGACCTAATCGACGACTACTTACATGCACAATAAGCAAATACGACGAGCATCCTACCCTGTACAGAAGGCAATTACGTGAGATTAGCTATGAACTAATTATAAAATTTTTTGTCCATTCCTTAATCAATTCCAACAACATGCTTGCAAATCACAAAAGCATCCAAACAAATCGCACCACGTGATCCATCATCCACAGTCCATCATTGTCCGTCGATTAAAAATGCTCCACACTTTTTGGAATTATAAGTAAATTATACCCATTAAACTAAATTTATCTTCTAATTAAAACAATTTCAAAGAGAGCCGCACCGTGTGATCATCATCCACAGTCCATCATTGTCATTTTTTTTGCAAGGCACAGTCCATCATTGTCTTTTTTTTTTTTTTTTTTGCCGAAGTGTCTGCTTGCCTAGCGGCAACACGCTGCATGTGACTATTCCTCGGACACAATCCATCATTGTCTTTTTTTTTTTTTTTGTGACCTAGGGAACCCCGCACGGCCAGGCAATAGGAGGTAAACCCTGGGGGACACGTGTTAGCCATCACACACGTGCACCGGTTAAGTCACCCTGCGGCACCGGGATTCGAACATTCAACCTTTTGCGAGAGGAAGAGTGCGCGGCTCCGGCAGCGCCACCCAGGCGGGTGGTAAGACAGTCCATCATTGTCTTTTTTTTTTTTTTTTTTTGTAACCCAGGGAACCCCGCACGGTCGACAGCCGGGGAGTAAACCCTGGGGGCGACACGTGCTAGCCACCACACACGTGCCACGGGTTAAGTCACCTGCGGCGCCCAGGGATTCGAACACTCAACCTTTTGCGAGAGGAAGAGTGAGCGCTCCAGCAGCGCCACCCAGGTGGGTGGTGACAGTCCATCATTGTCCGTCAATTAAAAAAACCAATTTTTTTTAACGCCGCCTTATTTGGAATTATAAGAAAATTTACCCATTAAAAATACATTTATCTCCTAATTAAAACGATTTCCTGTAAAAAAAGAGAGAGATTAACTAAAACAAAGCTTTGGGACCATGTTTTGTGCATGCGGACCGGCGTTTTGGAGCTTTCGGCGTAATTTTATGAGTCGCCCCATTATCTGCTTTTCTATGCGGTCAACACGCTGCAATGATGATGATGGATGGATTGGAGCAAAACTCTATACATAAATTCTAACTTTATCTTTTTTTTCTTTCTTAGCAAAAAGGAAAACTTTACCTTTTTTTTTATCTTTTTGATAAAAAGGAATTATTTAATTGTCCCAGCTTGTGTGTCCATCTTGTCTTATTTAATTTCTGTAGCGGTTGATCTCGACAGCGCAAAAGTGCAAGTTTTGGTTGAGTCACTTCTCAATTTGGAAAGATCTTACCATTGATTTTCTGCGATTTCGTTTGGGTTTCTATGCCAAGATATGGAGGATCAAATTGCCCTTTACTTCGCCTCTATAAAGACTCGATCGAAATTATGCGACCCCGTATCGAGAGGAATTCTCGGGTGGCGATCTTTGATAATACTATAGAAGAATATCGAGCACATATGCCATTCGATTGTCGACCGGTAAACACTATACACGAAAATTCATTTGTTCATTAATGAGATATATACATATCCATTCCCAAGTAAATGCTTATGTATAGAAATGACTCACATCGTAAGTATAACGTAGGCTCATCACTTCGGTTTGTAATCTATAAATCAAAATCACAAGGAGTTTATTCCAAAAAAAAAGAAGAAAAAACAAGAATAGCACCCGATATCTATCGAATTAATGAAGGTGTCGTGTTTAACAAGATGTCCGGTATCTAAATTCGGAGGCCAACCATCTCGGAGATGACCCAGATTAGCTTTCCTATAAACACAATTTGACTCGAAATTCGAAGCATTGGATGTTACATTTCTCCCATTACCGATATACTTTTAATTAAGTTAAGTTAAAATCACGCGAGGAAAGTCTAGAGTTTGACTCGGTGCTAGTGACGAGTTGAAGTTCGCCAAATTCCAATTCGTTCCGAGTGCGAGTTGACTGGAATTAGAGGAGGCACCACCACGACGAAGCTAACACGAACTGTTGTGCCGTTTGGTCCTAAACGAAAGACCGAGTCCCACAGTTTAGAATTTAGGTAATGGAGCAAACAGATTGTGCAAAAGTCATTCCACTTCGCAATAATTACTTTGAAATCCAAAACCCACCGCTGAAAACACAAAAGTTAAAGTACTCGCATTTCTCTCCAATTCGCTCTTTTTTTTGTCCGAATGTCAAATTTTTTATTATATTTTTTTTGTCTTTTGTCCACAAGAAATAGGATTGAAGGTTCAAAAATACATAAGGGGCCAAAAAAAAAAAAAAAAAGAACCTTCTCATTGAACTCGTCTCATGTCACAGTGTGCCGAAGTTAGCGTTACCTTGGACTAACAGGACAGGAAAAAAACAGAGGTTCCCAAAGAAAAAGCTGGGCCCAATTCCATAAAAAACCCCAAACTTTAACCTTTATCTCAATTATATCCCAAACTTTTTTTTGTCTCATAAAAAACTCCAAATTTTTACTTTTGTCCCAAATCTACCCCGTTTACTATTTATCTAATTTTTTAATATTATTTTTTCGAATTTTTTTCTTTTTTCTTTTCTTTTCTTTTCTTTTCTTTTTTTCACCCTCAACCTCCGGCCGGCGAGTCGGCCTCCCGAGCTGCCCGGCGAGGTCGGCCTCGCCGCCCGGTTGCCGGCGGAGTCGGCCCGCCGGCAGGCCGGCGAGGGCTCGGCCTCGCCCGACAACGGCGAGGCACGGCCTCGCCCGAAGCGGCGAGGCCGACCTCGCCACGGCGGCGGGGCGAGCCTCGCCCGGATCTGCGGCGAGGCTCGGCCCGCCGGCTTGCCCGGCGAGGTCGGCCTCGCCCGGAAGCGGCGAGGTCGGCCCGCCCGGCCGGCCGGCGAGGCTCGGCCTCGCCCGACAGCGGCGAGGCCGAGCCTCGCCCGGCGGCCGGCAGGGGCCGACCTCGCCGGCCCTCGCCTCTGGCCGGTCGCCGGACCGGCGACCGGCCGGAGGTTGAGGGTGAAAAAAAGAAAAGAAAAGAAAAGAAAAGAAAAAAGAAAAAAATTCGAAAAAATAATATTAAAAAATTAGATAAATAGTAAACGGGGTAGATTTGGGACAAAAGTAAAAGTTTGGGGTTTTTTATGAGATAAAAAAAAGTTTGGGATATAATTGGGACTAAGGCTAAAGTTTGGGGTTTTTTAGGGAATTTGGCCAAAAAAAGCTGCCACCAACATGCAAAATCCTCAAAGTCGCCATCACAAAAGCACGGGGAATATTGGAAATCTATTCCGACCCAAAAAAAAAAAGTAACATATTGGAAATCTATTACCATAAAGCGTGTCAATGTTCACACAAATTTTCCAAAAAAATAATAATAAAAGGGTGTTTTTTTTGCTAAATCTAATAATAATAATAATAATAATAAAAGGGTGTTGTTACCAACTCACTGAGTCCCACTCAAATTTGCTCATGAGCTATCCATCCCTCTTATCCCTCACCAATCTCGATTTCGTTTCACACATTTTTGTGTGGGCCCCCCTCCCCCTCCCTCTCTCTCTCTCTAGGATGAGGCAAGCTAGAGAGAGAGAGAGCATGAAATAAATTTTTTTTTTAAAAACGAAAAAAAAGGAGGAGGAGAGAAGAAGAAAAGGACAAAACAAAAGGGGGAGGGGGAGATGTCTCATATGAATTATGTGACGCCCACAAGAAGAAGCCACCCCCCACATCATCATCGTTATCGTTTTTGGGTGTCGGCGGAAAGCTTTGGTCGCGATATTGATCGAATCCAAAGCCCCCATTTTCCTAATCCTATCTCCGCTTAACTAATAATTCTCCCGCTTAGCACCCCCAAATCGCAACCATCGAAACCCAATTCGATGCCCCGACAAGCGATGCGACATGCTTTTAGCACTTGTCCCCATCTGAAGTACAAGTACGGTTAGATCGAACGCGCGAAATAAATCGGAGGGCAAAAGATACCGTGCTATATTGCCCGACCCCAAGAACAATATAAGTATAATAGAATCTTGTAGACGAGCAATATGGGATACTTCGACGGATTTGATAATACGCAGGGTCATGCATGAGATAACCGGGCTTATGAACACTTTCAATTTGGAGGAAAAAAAGAAGAGCAAATTACTTTAGTATAACATATATATATATGTGTGTGTGTGTGTGTATGTGTATGTATAGATTAAAATAATTAATGAGCCATGCACCTGAATATATTTCTTTTGGAGAATTTAAGGGATTTGGAACTTCAATGTCGTGGGAACGCCAGAATATAGAACAAAGTCGTCCAGATTTGGTTTTGACCCCCATGAAATAATTAATTAATCAATCGATTAATTAGTTGATTAATCCTGAGAATTTGACTTGCGAGTCTTGGCATGATATTATATTATCACGGACCAACTTCCCCACATGGCTCACCGCGCCTCTGTTCTTCCTTCCACGTGATTTGATTGAAGAACAAGCTACAATTAACTTCAGTACAATATTCCGCGGCTAAATTAGGGTCGTCATGATTGATGATGTGGCCTAAAGTTGCCGAAATTTCGACATTAGCCTCCGGAAAAACTTCGGACATCGACATTTTGCGCGCGTCGTTTTCGATCACTCGAGGCCGGCGGTTCTCGACACGAACCGTCCACGTGACCCGATTTGCGAATACACGGATCTGGGTTCGACACGAACGGGTCGACCTGTTTATGCTGGCTTGTTCGAGTCCAGTGCTCCGCATGACTGCGGAAGCTTCTTTGGTTTCTTCATGGCAATTTCCTCAGTGCTGGCTAAGTAAGCGAAGTCCAAGAACTGATCAAGGGAGGTCAATGGCAATTCCATTGGTTGCGATTTCACTAATTAAACAATGGGATCAGTCTTCGAAAAGGGTAAAATGGTGATTATGATTATTATAAAATACAGTTATTATTAGTTATTGATTATTATAAAATACAGTTATTATTAGTATTAATGGTGATTATAATTATTATAAAATACAGTTATTATTAGTATTAATGGAGGAAAATCTCAAAGGCAGAGGGACAAGTTCTGAATCCCGGACGTGGTTACCGCGCATAATCACAGATCGGACAATCGGATTCGTTTGCCATCAATGACCCGTGTAAGAAAAACAAGAACTCCGGTCTTCTCCGACCGCATACGAACCCCGTTCCTTCCCTCATCGGGCGGCGCCGGGGGAATTGTTGACGAGCCCCCTCGGCATGGGCGTCCCCGTGATAGATAACGGGAAATATCTAGGCCTAGCATCCATCAATAACGTGTAACGCGAGACGGAACGACGCATTGAATTTAAAAAGGAGAAAAACCATAAAAAAAAACTATATCAAATCATGTCCATTGTGACATATTTACCTTAAACTTTTACCCATGACACAAAAAATCTCAAATTTATACATGTGGGCTAAATCTATCTTCATTGACACCGGTAAGTAAACATTATTGACGTGGCGTTCACGTGACTTAGGTGAAATAAAAGCGACGTTTTGATTTTTGACTGAAAAACATCCAACGGAACCTTGACAGAAGGTAAACGTGTCACGTAGGTACGGAGTTTGGGGGTTTTTTATGTCACGAGAAAAAGTTCAGGATAAAAGCGTCATGGTGAATATAATTTGGGGTTTTTGACGTCATCAAAAGAAATTACGGGTAAATGTGTATAGTTTGGAATTTCTTTTTTTGGTGACTTTTTTTCCCTTTGAAAAATAACAAAAAAAGGAAGAAAAAAAAAGTTAAAAGTTCGTGGGGGGACTAGGAAGTAGGAAGGCGCGTAAATGAGCGCGCTTTAGGTTGCATTAAAAGCCGGGAGCGAGGGCGGGGGTAGCATAAAGGACGATCCGCACCACCGCGTGCACATGGCCTCTGCCCCTTTCCCATTTCTTCTTTAATCAAATTGCACTTTAGCCACATCCCATTTATGCGTTTTATTCAATTTCATCCCCCCCTCCCTTCCTATGGCTAATCGCATCGATCCCTCGAGCTAGTCTGGTTCTCCAGGCTCGAGCTCGACGTTAACTCCCAGCCCGTCGCCCCGCCCGTCGAGTTTCCAATCGCCCCATTTTGGACTCGGGGTGGAAATTGGGTTCCTTCTTACACATTAAGGTCGCGGAATTAAAACCGATTCAGGTGTGTGCCACATGCCAAAGGGGACACTAAACCCGGATCACACTCCTTTTGTGCTCACCGCTTGCGGTACAAGAACCCGACCCACCCCCCAAAAAGGCCGCCTTTGAAAAATTACAATCGACAAGAACTTTGGAGACAAGAATCCCTCCTCCGGTGCAATAATAAAACGAGAGAAATCGAATCGAAATGCCAATTCTTATTGCCGCGGATCTATGTACATTTCTAGTAACAAAATTTCGTAGGACCCAAAAAACAAAACAAGGAACGGAAAAAAAAAAAAAAAAACACGAAAATCGAAACCGATGATCGGCATTTCTCTCCATCGGACCGTAACGTAATTCTGCTATTTTCTTTGTCTATGAACTTATTTTTCTTGTCTCTAACAATCGCTATAAACAGAAGAATCCACCTCGGACGAACACATTTGCCTCATTATCATACCCTTTACGTCACGATTGTGACCGCTATTGCCATTATTATTATTGCCGTATTTGATCAGCGACGGCGGACCGGACTTGCCTCCGCCGCCCGGCTCCTCCGGCGGCGGCGGCACCACCACCAGGTTCACGTTGCTCAGCACGAACTCGTTGTTCGCGAGCTGGCTCAGCACCCCCGACTCCGTCACCGCGCCGCCCTTCCTCTTGTGCTGCTGCTGCTGCGTGGACGCCCGGACCACCTCGTTGAGCATCGCCGCGGCCAGCCGCCGCACGCCCCGCGTCCCGCCCATCACCACCCCCGGGCTCACCGCCGACCCGCGCGGCTGGGCCCGGTCCGGGCTCCTCCTCCCGTGCTTGCTCGGGGCCGCCGCCGCCGCCAGCAGGTGCACCGTCTCGGGGCTCCGGCCCCGGACGCGGCCGAGCGGGTCGCCGAGCACGGCCCAGCTCTTGGCGTCGATCAGCATCGTGTGCTTGAAGCTCCGCCGGACTCGGCCGAGCAGCATAGAGTAGCATGCCCACCGCCGCAGGCTCATCGGGACGTGGTCCAGGAACCCGGAGAGCGAGTTCTCCGGGTCGAGCTCGCCCGCCTCGAAGCCCGCGACCGACCCGTAACTAGGCCGAACCGACTTGTCCAGACTCGCCGCCCCACCGCTCCCGGCACCGGCGGCGGCGGCGTCGCTGCTGGAATTGCCAATCCGGGCGCGCTTGCCCCACAGCGGCTCGCCGTCTTCCTTGGACGACTTCACGAAATGGGCGGCGTCGAAACTCGCGGGAGACCTCGAAGTCGCGGCGGTCGCGTTGAATCGCTGCGTGTAGAGATAAAGGAGCTTCGAGAACGACTCCTCTTCTTCGCGGATTACGGAACCGAATCTCGAGGCCGAGTCGCGGGAAGGGAAGATGAGGACGACGTCGGCTCTGGCCGTGAGGCCCGACCGATGCAGCGTCCGCAAGAACAAGCGGAGCTCTTCCTCGGAGAGGTTCTCGGCCAGGTGAGCGACGACGAGGTCGCTCATGGCGCGCGTGCCTCTCCTGTACAGCGTGCCCATCCCCTGCAGCGCGAACTGGCGCTTGGGACCGCCATTGTCGGGCCTGGCCCTCCAGGAGAAGGTGGGGAACGACCAGAACGACGAGGGAGCGCGGTCGTTTCGGGTCTCGGGAGCGAGGAGAGGCCGGGGCTGCTGTCGGTGGCGCGGCGGGGGCTGCCGTTCGGGCAAGAAGCGGCGGGAATAGGAGGCGGCGGAGGCGGAGGGGGAGTTGGAAGGAGGGTCGAAGGTGGAGAGGGCGAAGACGAGGAGGGTGAGGCAGACGAGGAGGGCGCAGATGGAGATGGTGGACTGGGCTCTGCTCAGGAGGGGGCCGGAGCGGGTCCTCCTGAACGGAGGAGGAGGAGGAGGAGGAGGAGGGCGGAGGAGCTTGGGTTCGTCGACAATGTCGGTTGAATCGGAGGCGGAGCGGTGCCGGTGCTGGTGTTCTTCGGGGAAGAAGACGAGGAGGAAGCCCATGCCGGAGCTCTGGTCGCTGTTCTTGGCCTTGCTCGTCGCGAATATGCCCATTTCCTCTCCCCCTCTCTCGCCCTATCTGTTTCGATCGTTTGGTGTGAACGCGAACCCTGTGATTGCGATTGTGCGTGCGTGCGTGCTCGCTCGAGAGCTCAGAGCGAGCTCTGTTTCTGGATTCTGCTTGTGCTTGGGAACGTGGGATGTGGACGTCCTGTTTTTCAATGGTAAGAAAAAGCAGAGCAGAGCCTCTCCATGGGCCGCTGTTTTTAACAACCCGACTTGTTTCGGGCACCGTAAATTCGAAAATCGCTCCCGAAATTTAAGAAAATTGTTCTGTTCGAAGTATGGTTTTAATTTTCGTAAGGTCTGTTCATTTCGTGAAAGATTAGTAATACGAAAACATACTTTTCTAAAAATGATCGTCTGGAATAATTGTTCAATGAAAATATGGTTAATATCGCGAAAAGTCCCGTACAGATACACCTGTGGCAAATTTATCTCAAAATTAATTTTCTGATCACAAAAAATCTCAAACCGGTACTTTTGTGACGAATTTACTTTCCGTTAAATCACAAGCTGGTAAATCTATGATAAACAGAAGGGTAAAATCTCAAACTAGCACTCATGTAAACTGTCACGTGTTATCCAACTTAGCAATTTGACAGTAAAATTTAACGAAAACTAACGGAGGGTAAATTTGTCGCGGGCGTATCAGTTTGAGATTTTTGATGATCAAAAATCAGTTTAGGGTAAATTTGCCTCGGATGTATCGCTTTGGGATTTTTTTGTGCTGTTAACTCATATATATATATATACATATTCAAGTCATAAATAGTGGAAATTGAATATTTTTTCCTGTAATTTGGTGTAAAAAAGAGAACTTTCCTGATTGGGAGGGAGCAAAACCTATTTAACTGCGGAGAGCGGGGGAAGGAAGTGTGCAGAGTCCCGAGAAGGACGCGTCCCATTTGCTTCGCTCTGGTTTGCTCTGCTCTGTTTCTGCTCATTTAATGAATGCATGCATTCGGCTCTGTAAAACTACCTAAGAAATTAAAGGAAGGCGCGGACGAGGAGGCCCAAACGACGAGGTTTTCGCGTGTCCTTTCGCCGATCGTGCGCTGTCGCGGTGGTCCGCGTGCCTGAACTTTGCGAGCTGAGAGAGAACTAAAATTTGAACTTTTGAAGAAAGCAAAATTCATGGGTCATGTTGGACAATTAGGAAGGGAGGAGAAGATCTATCCGATTCCTTAATTGGTGCTTTAGCGTTTATTGCTTCGTCGTTAAGAATGGTGTGCTCGGTGTGCGCACGCCGCGAGGTCGAATTCGGGTGACGCGGGCTGTGCGTGATTTGACGGTAATTTGCATCCTCGATCTGTTACTTTTGGTATGATGATGTCGCTAATCGCGAGGCTTTGAATTTTCATGGGAGATATGAAAAAAGGGTTACGGGATACTCGAACTCTGATTTAGCTTTGTGAGAGCGATGCTTCCTACTCATGGTACGTTAGTAGATTGATCATCGACAATCGCTGTGACGAATCGAAATCGAATGTTGCGGGCGTAAAATTCTGCTTCGAAAGCACGAAAATAAAGTTGGGGTGATTTTGGAAAATTGAAATGTTAACCTTTTTATTTTTAAAATAACTGGTCATCTCGATATTTATTTTGAAAAATTCTAAAAAACTCCCTAATGTGGGTCCGATTTCTCAAATTCTCGCAAAATAAGGTTTGTTGGAAAAAAGCAATCCCATGAAGTTGGCCATGTTCTAACCCTGGCGAGGTTGTTTAAACTCGCCCCCATCTCATCGGCTGTCCAAATATATATCGAACGACGACCACGGGCGAGTCGGGCGCGTCCATTTTTCGCGCCCTCGATGAGGACGCACTTCGTCTCGAAATTTACGGAACATGCACTGCCAATCGCGGGTAATTTAGGAATTTCCCCTCTAACCAATTTAAATCTCGGCGTCTCCCCGGCATCTAAAAACAAGTCGCGCGCGACAAATTACGGTGGATATCTTGCGATCGTCGCGATACCTTGTCCCCACGAATGAAAAAAATGAATCGATCGATCAAAGCACGCAAAGGGACAATCGATAAGGGAGATCCAAAAGGGTGATTGATGATCGAAAAGGAAGGTGGGGTTTGCATTCGTCCCAAGAAACATCAAAATCTAAACCTGAAATCACTTGGGGCTGTGGGGGGGTTGCCGCCTTCAATGAATATCAATCGAACACGGCTCGGTGCCGACAATTTTGGGCGTGACCCGGCCCGGCCGCTCGGATTCAATTCGGTCCACCCGCATTTATTGGTCCGTGAGACGGACACGTCTTGCGTGGGGACCCCCCTACCTTCGAACACATCCCGAGCTGCTGGATTTCTCCCGTGGATATATTTCGATACAACCGATCATTTTCGAAGGAAATATTTTTCGAATCGTTCGTTTTCTTTCTCGAAATAAATGAGGCATTCATGATGCGGATCGGGTTTTTGCTACGCGTGCGCGTTTTGAGTCTTCGGTTTTTGTATCTTTAGTTTCTTGAAAACGGCGCCTTGAGTACGCTTGCCAAAATGGTCCGTAATATCTATGTTATTTAAGGCTCTCGACTCTTGAGCGATTAATTTTGTTGAGCGCTTCGCTTGGAGCTAACTGATCGGAAAGATAATAGGAGTCTCTGTTTCGAGCTACTGTTAGATAGATTCACCGTGCGCCGATCAAATCAAACGTGCTGATATTGCCATAAAATTGTCATATCAAAGCATGTGAATTCAGTAGTTTGTTCGTCGTTTCGAAGAAGAGGTCTATTATGGGCGGAGAGATCGACCCGGCATCTTGTGTGGTACCGAAGATGACTTAACTTCATTGAGTTGGGTCTATCCGCGGTAGCAACGTCCGCTAATGTCGTGGTCAGTGGGATAATGACATCGGTACTTCTTAAACTTTTACTCTCGTTCAATATCACTCAAGAATTATTTTTTGATTCATCATTGTCTTTAGACTTTTAAAAAGCCGTTTAATCCGATCCTCCACTAAAATCATTACTGACGTGGACAGAATACTTTGTTTAGCTCGTGAGTAATTATTATTTCTGTTCAATTTAGTCCTTGGTGTTCAGTTACGTCCCTGGATTATTATTTCTCTCTCTCTCTCTCTCTCTGAATTGTGGCACTTCGAATTTCGATTTAACCCCACCACGAAATGTTGTTAATTATGTCGTAACATTAACGCCTAATCTAAGCCAGCATCCCGTTGGGTGTCGGCAGAGACGGCAAGGGAGCTTGCTCTTCTTCTTGCAGTCTCGACTTCAAATCTTGTTGCAAGCACTCTAGCGGTAAATCTTGGATGCACCGGGCCGATGAAAGGGAGTACGCCTTTAAGATCGTTAGCGAAGCGAACTAGTCAAGATGCGTGAAAGCTGACGCTAACACCATTTAATAGCTACACAAAAGAAAAAGGGATTACGAAAGACAAAAAAATTTAATGGTATGAACTTTTGCATTTATAAAATGTTTACTTACGTTTACATATTGTAAGTATTTATATCTCTTCATGATGTGCTAACACAATGGGCACTTTTTAAATTGGCTAACTAAACGAGTCATGAACGGGTAAGATGGTCAATTCATGCTCGACATATTTATCATTTATCACGATCAAATTTATTCGAATACAATAACACATGGTCGGACTATTAAATATCAAGTGAACTTTTGTCATCAAAATCATGTAAAAAATATTTTAAAAAATCAATCCAAATCCATCTCGTGATCACCTCTGTACGCAATGCGCATTTGTACACGTGCGCATGCAGGGAGAGAAACGAAATACGCGGTTAACAATATTCTTAATTTCTAATTTCATATATACGATAATTCTCGATTACTCAATAAATCTCTCATCCTTTAGTTCTACCACGAGCGAAAATATTTTTAAAAGATGGAGTCGACTTCGGATATATTTTATATTATTTTTATTCTCTAGCAATGTAACTCTTTCACGATTCTTCTTCGCATTCGAGGCGTGCAAAATATTTTTTTTTTTTTTTTTCCTTTCTTTCTAATTTTATATAAAAATAGTGGAATTATTACTTTCTTCGCCCCTCGCGCAGTGTTTCCTCCTCTCGACAAATGCAGAGCACCTGCGACTGGGAAGGGAGGAGCGGCAGAATCACGTGGTGGAGAGGACAGGGACCTAAATACGGGCACTGCACCACCAACCGTCGACAGGGGAGGTGGGGCCCGGACGATCGGACGGCGGAGATCCGCTCTCCGCGGTTCCCGAGGCCCCATCGAGCGTCCGTCCGGTTGATTCCGTATGGAGGCGTGGGGCCCCCACCCTCCCCGTTCCCCATCTCAACAGTCCTCGGAGCGCGCGTAGCCACTCCTACGGTGAGGCCCTCTGCACCGAAACATCATTACTATTGTTACCACGTCAATGACCCCCCCGAACAGTCCTCGGATCTGATGGAACCTTCCGTGAAGCCAAAGCACACGTGTTTCTTCACTTCTGCATGACCCTTAAAACCCCATTTCTTGTTTTATTTTTTTTTTATTTATATTTATATTTTTCCTAACTTTTTTTTTTAATATTACCGACGATCATTTATTCTGCGTGACCCCTTCACCAATTTCTTTAATGCAAAGTGTGGATTTTGTTCAGAGCGCGTGCTCCTTGATTTGAGCAAATCTGATTACGTTTAAGCATTACTCGATTGAGCATATACTTAAGGAAATATGGCCCGATATTCGAAGCCCCAACTCCGGATGTGTTACTTGAAAAGTTGGGCACTTATAAAACTGTAAATTCTGTACTAGGTGGTCCTCTGGCTACTATTAGTATTAGTATTAGCCCTTACTTATGAATTTGACCTAAATGCTTAATACTAATTAAATCGCTGTTCACCCCCATGCCGGGAGATGTTTGTATTAATACTGATGTCGCTGCAAATGGGGAAGGAGATACCGGCACGGTTTTTTTTTTTTTTTTTTTTTTTTTTTTTTTTTGGGGCTAAAACAAACCTTCCATTGCATCAAAAAGCACGTTTCCGAAAACCTACAAAGAATAAATTATGCGATCATCCTGATGATTAATATCTCGAAGGGCAAAACTTCCGGCGCGCGTTGAAATGCAGAAATCGGAGCAATGTCAAGGACAATAAGATCCGCTTACAAAATTATTTGCAAGCTCACGAGCAAAACAACATCACTAGATGTACTGGTCCACTCCAAACATTACGCAATACTTGGGACAGGGCAAGATGCGCCGCGTCCTTGTATCCGCAGCGTTATTTCGATGGTAATTCGTAACTGGTCATGCGATACGCTTTTGACGGACTCTGAACGTTGGCTTCCTCCGTCACCGACAATTCGGTTCGGGGCAATACTCAGCATGGTCCACTCTGATCCCATGGGCCAGCGCACACCAATTATTGGTCGGGGCCGTACGAAAGGACCTGCGGTTCTAAGCTGCTCCAGTTCCGAGATCTTTTGTAAATCCAATCAAAGCCCACCGCATAGCCATTTTGGTGGGTCCCCTCTCAGCTTCCCATTGGGTAATTGTCACTGCACAGTCCGGATTTGTACATGCCCATGGGCCTAGGACAGGCCCTAGTCTCCATTCTCAACCCAAAAGCCTTTTTTTTGCCAGATTTTTCATTTCATTTCGACATATTTTATAACATTCAACAAGAAGAAGTTACCGTGCGATTTCTCTTTTCTGTTTTTGAGCTAATAGACTGAGAAACTTTGGCAGACATTAGTCAGTGTAAATTCTGTACTAGGTGGTCCTCTGGCTACTATTAGTATTAGTATTAGCCCTTACTTATGAATTTGACCTAAATGCTTAATACTCAAGTACATTGCTGTTCACCCCCATGCCGGGAGATGTTTGTATTAATACTGATGTCGTTGCAAATGGGGAAGGAGATACCCGGCACAGTGCTTTTTTTTTTTTTTTTGGCTAAAACAAACCTTTCATTGCATCAAAAAGTTCAAATATTACATAGAGAAACTAGGGCCCAAATGCAAATGATAAATTAAAGAAGACAGCTACTTGGACATCATTAAAAGGAAAGATGATGCAGTCCTAACTGATAAAAAACCCATTTTGCAAGCTCACGAGCAAAACAACATCACTAGATCTACTGGTCCACTCCAAACATTACGAATTCTTGGACCCCTCCTAGATGGGCCCAGGCCGAATGCCTGTGACTTGGCGCAAGAGCAAGGTTCTTGGAAAAAGACTGTCGGGACTTGAACATGGGCATCAAAGTCCCAAGCCACACCTCGATGGACCAAGGTGTGTATGTCGTCGACTCTGAGGGTAAGGGCCAGGCACCCAATTATGGTCGGGGCCGTACTTGAGCAAGGGTACCTGAGGTCTTGGCTGCTCTCAGTTCCGAGATCTTTTGTAAATCCAATCAAAGCCCACCGCATAGCCATTTTGGTGGGTCCCCTCTCGGGCATGGTTGCCCAAGACTTGACCATAGCACTGCACAGTCCGGATTTGTACATGCCCATGGGCCTAGGACAGGCCCTAGTCTCCATTCTCAACCCAAAAAGCCTTTTTTTTTTTTTTGCCAGATTTTTCATTTCATTTCGACATATTTTATAACATTCAACAAGAAGAAGTTCTAATTTTTCAAAAATGAAATCACTTTCCTAAATTTTAACATAAATTTCCTGTTAACTCATTTTCTTAAGTGATCTGAATACCGAAAAATGTGTTCCAAATGAAAATTTCACATGAAAGAAATGGAGTTGAAGTTATAGTAAATTTTTTCAAAGGGGCATCTTGTCGAGTTTACTCAGATATGGCGGACTTCGGAGTTCTACCTCAAAATGTTGACTTTCGATTCTGAAGAAATTTTAAATGGAATTTATATCCTTTTTCTTTTGGACCAACAAAAGGGAATTCAGATTTAGATACAAAGAAGACTATAGCTAAAATTTGAAAAATATATGTCTATAAAAAAAATTTTCGCCAGAGCGAAAGTATTCCGCTGCATTTCGGGCGACTGAAGTCAACGCGTGGTACCGTGGAATCAATTAATTTGCGACATTAAAAAACCAAAAAATTAAGATCGTAATGAAATATAGAGCAATCAAATTTCTTAACATTAGCACCGAACTTGAGCTTTTCACATTAGATTTTTATATGCTTCGTTAAACACATGAGTTCCAATTAACTTGATTTAGGGTGCGTTTGGTTCAGGTTTGTTAAGGGGCTTTCGGCCTCGAAAGCTCCTAGCCTTTGTGGACTTGAGCTTGGCCACAGACGAGGCGGTCTCGGCCTCGATGGACCCCAGTATGGGAGCCAAGCTACTCGAGCATGGCTGCCCAAGACTTGATCATAGCACCAGGTCTCGGGCCTAGCCTTTGTGGACTCAGACCTAACCTTTCAGGCTTGAGCTCGACCACCGAGGACCCAGGCACGGGCTTCGAGGTTCCTGTGCTCAAGTACCGATATATAGTCTTATTTTGAAAAGTGATTCTAATTTTTCAAAAATGAAATCACTTTCCTAAATTTTAACATAAATTTCCCGTTAACTCATTTTCTTAAGCGATTTAAATGCAGAAAAATGTGTTCCGAATGAAAATTTCCCACGAAAGAAATGGAGTTGAAGTTATAGTAAATTTTTTCAAAGGGACATAATGACGGACTTCGGAGTTCTACCTCAAAATGTTGACTTTCACGATTCTGAAGAAATTTTAAATGGAATTTATATCCTTTTTCTTTTGGACCAACAAAAGGGAATTCAGTTTTCGATACAAAGAAGACTATAGCTAAAATTTGAAAAATACATGTCTATAAAAAAAAAATTTGCCAGAGCGAAAGTATTCCGCTGCATTTCGGGCGAGTGAAGTCAACACGTGGTATCGTGGAATCAATTAATTTGCAACATTGAAAAACCAAAAAAATTAAGATCGTAATGAAATCTAGAGCATTTCTTAACATTAACACCGAACTTGAGCTTTTCACATTAGATTTTTATATGCTTCGTTAAACACATGAGTTCCAATTAACTTGATTTAGAGGCAAACAGAGTTAATTAAAAAGATTTGAGCAAAAATCAATATCTTGATTATTCATTTGAAAAATACAATAAGATGATTAGAAAAAAAAATCCACCAGTTCAAGTTCAAAGTTGATTTTTATGATTAGGATTAGTTGTTGAGATAAGTGCATTTGAAGTGCTAACACTTGTCACGAAAGTACATAATAATTTTTAAAAAATGTAATAAAGTCCTAAAACTTGTTACAAAGTGTAATTGAGTTCTAAAACTTTTAAAAAGTGTAATCAAATCCTACAATTTATCAAATTGATTATATTAAGTGTTTCGTTGATTGCACCTTTTAAAATTTTTAGGACTCGATTGTATTTTCGCGATAATTTTTGGGACTTAATTATATTTTCGTAACACATTTTAAGACTCGATCGCAGTTTTAGCTACAAATTTTAGGTTTTTTAGTGCAATTTTTCCTTACTCATTAGACTTGGCCGTTTTCTCCCTATCCTCAGCTGCTGCCACCGGTTCGTTTTAGTCCATAAGCAGGCTCCTCATCTCCGGCGAAGCTCGACGCTTCACGGCGGCTTCCGCCGAGGCAGTCCCGAACTCTCATCCGCCGACGAGCTCCGTCGCCGCTCTCGCTCGCCTCCCCATGGCGGCGACAATTCCCGCCCACATCCCCCGCCCTTACCTCGCCGAGCCCGCTGCCCCCTCCGTCTCCACTCGCTTCCCCCCCCGCCCGCGCCCGCGCCCGCGCCGCGCTCGCTCCGCCGCCCGAGTCACCTGCGGAAGGTCCTCCGCGGACCAGCCGGCGCCGTTCGAGGCGACGAAGTCCGTGCTCGTGGACTACGACGAGGGGCGGCACGAGGTCTCGACTCGAGTGAGCGGGCTCCGGAAGAAGGATATACCGAGGCGGTACAGGACGCGGGTGGAAGCCGACCGGTTCCAGAAGGACTGGACCGTGTCGGAGGTAGTCGAGAAGGTGCTGGAGCTCAAGCACTGGGAGGATGTTCAGGGAGTGTTGAATCGCTGGGTCGGAAGGTTCGCGAGGAAGAACTTCCCGCTTCTTATCAAGGTATCGTCGTAAGGTATAGAACCTGTTAGTGAATGCCGCAATTGATTGATTAAATTCGAGCAGCCCTGAAACACTGGAACTAGAAAGGTGAAATCGGGAATGTTATCGTTTTGGCTCTGAGAGTTGAGTGTTGCCTGTCGATTACGGCTTCTACAGACCAACGACGCACTGTGTATGTCGCTGCTATCTTAGTTGTAGGGCTGGATTTGTTCGTTACCTTTGTTGATGCGGTTGAGTTTGGTTTATGGTGCGGTGGTCGCTACCTGGTTTCCAGGATACAATCCGCATGTGAGAGGTGAGAGGCGTTAAATTCGAAGTTCGAGATGGCGGAATTCAGCATTAGTGCGTACCCGTTACTTTGTGTATGTATTGAGTAGGATTGTCGGGGGAGAAACTTTGCGGAGTTCATTTCCAGGTTTAGCAGATATTCATGCAGTTGGCTGTATAATTTGGAGCTAGGAAGAACTCTGATTTTTGCACGTCGCGTCTTATTTGAATTAAAACACGACAATAGACAGGCTTCTTCATTAATTGTCAAACGAAAACAGACTGATGTTTGGATGTTGTTTCCAATCCCACTTGTAAAGCTGATGTTATTCTCTTGGTTAATCATTCATGGCATTTGAGTGGAACTACTCACTTTCTTTCTTTTATGTTTTGCAGGAGATTACGCAAAGGGGGTCTATTGGACATAGCAATGAAGTTTTTAATTGGATGAAGAATCAAAAGAACTACTGTGCTCGTAAAGACATCTACAATATGATGATAAGGTTGCATGCTAGGCATAGCCAGACAGATCAGGCTCGTGGTTTGTTCTTTGAGATGCAAAAGTGGAGGTACTGTGAATGAGCTAAATTGCTCCTTTATGCTTTCTGTATCCTCCTCCTCGTCTTCCATTGCTTCGAATCTCTGTTGGTAGAAGACAAAAATGTTCCTGGCACGTGTTCTCTCTCTTAATGCTCTTTCTATATCTAAAATGTGGAGTGATGCTGATTAAGCTGTGGTCACTGAAATACGAGGGCAAAAACAACGAGCATTAGCAAACCGTAGTGATACCTCAGATTTTGCACCATGGTTTCCCTTTAGCAGCATACTGACTCTTTGTTTTGTTTGTTTCACCTGCATATTATCTTATCTCAGAATGCAGTGTTGTTGCATTGAAAGTTGTGTATGCTTGCGGAGCCATAAGCTGAATAATCCCCTTACTGATGATGATATCACTTCAACTTTAGTTTTTTCTCTGCAGGTGCAAGCCTGATGCTGAAACCTACAATGCTCTTATAAATGTACATGGACGAGCGGGTCAATGGCGCTGGGCTATGAATATCATGGAAGATATGCTCCGTGAGGCTGTGGGTATTTCCATTTTATTCTCACGATTCTTATCTGGTTTAATGCGAGCTTCCTTCAGTAACATTTTCATAAGAAATGATGCTGACTTTATGCAAGCTTCCATTTGTAACCGTTGAGATTTGCGAAGTACTTAGGATGCACCTTTTCCAGTAGCTTGTTTTCATTTGGTGGGCACTGCTTAATTTAATTCTTGCATGAAATGGAGTTCTTCTTCTGGCTGTTTTTCTCTCCTGTTTCCGAAGTAAAATTTTTGTTTCTTCAGCAACCCATTCTTTTCGGAGGACAAAATGAGATGGGATCATAGAAGGAGAACCTGTAATTTTACATTGCTGTTAGAAAGCCCAAGTGAATGAAAGTGGATTTAATGATGGTTTTATTCATCTTGCTTTCTCAGTTTCATGATGGATACCTCATGTAGTCCTTGAATGCACGTTCATTAGCATGCCATTGCCATTTCTGGAGTTCATCTTTCTCAATCATATATCTGCACTATATGAAAGAGTAGAAAAGTTAGAATGTCTCTCCCTGGACAACTTTGCTTGGATGTCATCAGGCAACTTAGGACTTCTGTTACTAGCTAGTACTTGTTGGAGCAGATGGCAGTGTTAAAAGCAGTTCCCATCAAGCGACCATATGGGTTAGCTGGAATGCAAATATGCAAACCTGAATTTCATTTTTTTCTCCCTTTATAGCATCTTATTCTAGGCACTATGATAATTTTGTTCAATCAAATATTAAGACACTATTCCATGCTTGCAGATTCCTCCTAGTCGAACGACGTACAATAACTTGATCAACGCTTGTGGATCTAGTGGAAATTGGAGGGAAGCTCTCAAAGTGTGCCAGAAAATGACAGAAAATGGAGTGGGTCCTGATCTTGTGACACATAATATCATTTTATCTGCCTACAAGAGTGGCTCTCAGTACTCAAAAGCTTTATCCTATTTCCAACTGATGAAAGGGACAAACATACGTCCTGATACCACTACTCTTAACATTGTCATGTACTGCTTAGTGAAGCTTGAAGAATATGGGGAAGCCACCAATATCTTTAATTCCATGAGGGAAAAGAGAGCAGAATGCCGTCCAGATATCGTGACGTTCACTACCATCATTCATATGTATTCAGTCTGTGGACAGATTGAGAACTGCAGGGCTGTCTTTGACACAATGCTTGCTGAAGGTGTAAAACCTAATATTGTCTCATATAACACCCTTATAGGTGCATATGCTTCTCATGGAATGAGCAATGAGGCTTTATCAGTGTTTAATGAGATAAATGGAAGTGGTCTCAGACCAGATGTGGTGTCTTATACTTCTCTACTTAATGCTTATGGGAGATCCCAGCAACCAAAGAAGGCCAGAAATGTATTTGACATGATGAAAAGAAACAAATGCAAGCCGAATATAGTGAGCTACAATGCACTCATTGATGCTTATGGATCAAAAGGTTTGATTGTTGAAGCTGTTGAGGTTTTGCGAGAAATGGAGCTGCAAGGAATTCAGCCCAACATTGTTTCTATATGCACACTATTAGCCGCCTGTGGCCGTTGCAGGGAAAAGGTCAACATTGATACTGTGCTTACAGCGGCACAGATGCGAGGAATAGAACTCAATACAGCTGCCTATAATTCAGCTATTGGGAGCTACATGAATGTTGGGGAATTTGAGAGAGCTACTAAAATGTACAGATCTATGAGAGCAAAGAAAGTAAAACCTGATTGCATTACCTACACCGTGTTGATAAGTGGTAGCTACAAGATGTCAAAATACAGTGAGGCACTTGAATTTTTCAATGAGATGATGGATTTGAATGTTCCTTTGACAAAGGAGGTTTACTCAGCCGTAATCTGCACCCATAGCGGACAGGCAAGAATTTTGGCAAGACATGCTTTGAATAGTGATGCGAAATTTATGAAGCTAATATATATTTATTTTTTCCTGTTATTGTCTCGTTTCAGGGCCAGCTCACTGAAGCAGAATCCATGTTCAGCGAGATGAAAATGGCTGGTTGTGCTCCCGATGTTGTTACATATACAGCAATGATACATGCATATAATGGTTCGGGTAAGTTCTTTCTTTTTCTTAGTCTTTCAATATGATAAGAATTATCCAGGTTAAATCTCACACATTCTGTCAAATGCAGAGAACTGGGAAAAAGCCTTTTTGTTATTCCAGGAAATGGAAATGAGCAAAGTAAATCTGGACCCAGTAGCGTGCTCAGCTCTGATGAGAAGTTTCAATAAAGGAGGTCAGCCGTCTAAGGTTCTCAACCTTGGAGAATACATGAAAGAAAAGAACCTGCCCTTCAATGATGCTATACTATTTGAAATGCTGTCAGCTTGTAGCATGTAAGCCCAAATGTGCTTGTTTTCCTTTTTCTACTTTTGGATTATGGTTCTGTCTGCTCCTGTGCGAATTGGTTTTGCATTATATAGGAAAGATCTTACCAATTCTAGTCCCTGATAGTGCTGTTGTTAGTATAATTTTAATATCTCACCCGGTTCCCTTATGTTCTTATAGTTCTTTTGTTTATTTATGGGCAAAATATTACTAGTCTACTGGAAATCATGAGGCAATCTTCCAAGGTAGCAGTCATCCACGAGTGTGAATATGACTGGGGGCTAGAAAAGTGGATCTTGGAATTAACTTTGTCTAAATACTTTGAAATTCCTTATAAAGTTTCCACTAGCCTGTACAGTGGGAGACCACGGGCATCTCTCTTGTGAAATGAAGGGGAAAGAATTTTCTTGTAACTGGTTTGAACTTCTCCTCTGTATCTGTTGGTGTATAAGATGCACCTAACCAGGATACTATTCAAAGTTCGGTTGATCATGTGGATGTACCCTTAGTAAATTGGTTAGATCCGTGTTTTCCATTCCTATTATAAAAACCATTGTAAAAGCAGTTTTTATTCAGAGCAATGTGATAATATCTCCATGTGCTACCTTCTGCAGTAGCACTTTTCGTTCTCTTTTTGTAAAGCAGTGTTTATTGACACCAACAGGTAAAATCTTCATGTGCTTCCCTTTTTTGGATCGTGAAGTACATTAGGCATGATGACGATAAACTCTTGCATTAAATGTTGGCTTCATGGGGATCCCATCATGTTCAGTATGCACTTGTTATTTATAAAAAGGCAGTCCTTGCAAAAAGCTATAGGATGTTGTGTGATTAAACCCAACCAAAGCACTTTGCAGTTAGTTTTTTAAAATTTACTTTTGTCATCAGGATTTAGAATCTTTTAATAGTGCTTTAACTGGTAGTGATCAGTGTTGATGGATGGTTAGTCAGAAAATAATTACTGGATGAGAATCATATATCTTGCACAATGCTATTGCTTTCATTCGTTGCATTTTCACTGCCTCTTACGATCGATCATCTTTTGATTTAATGTCTATGAGTTTTCTTTAATTTATCCAAATCTTTATTTGGACATCCTTTCATTAGTTTTGAACTTTCATATAATCTAGTAGCTGCAAATGATGGCTGTATCACTTGATTATATATTTGAAGAGAATTCGATATCTTATGTTTTTCATGTTACTGCTGTAACTCCATCTCATTATTTTATGTTCAAGTTCTGAGGGGTGCCTCTCTGTGAAATTGATTTTCCACATTTTCTTTAAATACTCACTGTCGATTACCCTGGAACAAATCTAATTTGAGTTACATTTCAAGATTGCGAGATTGGAGGACAGCAATTACTATGGCTGGATTGCTAGAGCCTTCCTTAACTACGGTGTCAGTCGGATTGCTAAATCAACTTTTGCATTTTCTTGGAAAAAGTGGGAAAACTGAGGCGATGATAAAGGTAATTGGAAAAAAAGCTAATTCGATGAGAATCCAATGCCGCAACGCCTGTCCCCTCCCTGTCAAACCAAAAAAAAAACAAAAGCACTTGTAGTTGGTGATTTTTCACAAGGGTTTGTTGATTAGGGTTCAAAATTGGTTAATGTGGGGGTATTTTGGTGGTTTGCAGTTCTTCTACAAGATATTGGCATCTGGTGCTGAAGTGAACTTCTCCACCTACACGATATTGTTGAAAAATCTTTTGGCCGCTGGAAATTGGAGGAAATATATTGAGGTAACAAGCACAGTGAACTTATGTCTTGTCATGTCGTTAATCAGGATTCTGTTGTCTGATGGAATTCCTGAAATTATTTTCTTTGGGCAAGCTGACCAGTGATTGCCCATTTGTTAACAGATTTCGCTATTTTAAGTAATATTTTAATCTTTAGCCCAAAGAAAGTATTACGGCAATTAAAAAAGGTCCAGTATGAATAGAGAACTAAAAAGCATCTTCATGTCTAGATACTGGATTGGATGGAAGACGCAGGAATTCAACCTTCAAATAGAATGTATCATGACATATTCTCATTTGCCCAAAGGAGTGCCGGCGCTGAACATGCTGCTTCAATATACCATCGAGTTGGTAAGTAGATTCCTGATTCTCTTGCCTGGATGTCATCTATCTTTATTATCTACAACCAGATATCCATATTTAATTATTATTGTTTCTTTGGGCTCTTCAACCTTCAATGGTTTACATGTATATTATGATTTCAATCACATGTCATGGATCTGTTGATGAGAGTCGCACTTCAACTCAGAATTGGTGTCTGATTAGCTGTAGAAACTTGCAGCGATATCATTTGTGGGCACACACAAGTTTTGACTGGTTTTACTTAGCATTGTTCCTTTTTCCAATGCGACTAGAGTTTTTGAATCTCGGTTGCACATTTTGATATAGTTTCTTGCTTGCATGATGCATGAAGAAAGAGATCGGTAGAGATTTGAAAATTTTGAAATTTGTCTCTTGCAATAATTTGGAAATTTATTCCTTCTCCTCCACCTCTCATTTTCCCTCCTCCCCTCCCGTCCATCATCACTTGCTTGCATAATGCTAAACATTTGTCTAATTTGAGTGCATGGTCTGATCGCAGTAAGCATTTTTTATTGCAAATGCACCCTCGGCACCTAAGGGTGCGCATGAATACCATTCTGCGCCTGGCGCTATTTCCGAACAGTAAATGATTTTTTTGATTCTGTCCCTAAACAATTTCGAGTATTTGAAGTCGTTTGATAAATGTCCAAAATTTCTATTCCTAGAGTAGAAAAGAACAAATGCGTTTGGTAACTACACAAAATTTCTGTTCCCAAATAATATTTTAATAATATTTTGAATTGTTTAAATTTTTTTTTCTTTTTACTTTCTTCTTTGGCCATGGACCGCGACCGCCACAGCCCAGGGCCGGCGAGGCGTCACGGACCTCGCCGGCCGCCGGCGGAGGCGAGGGCGAGGGCCGGACCCTCGCCGCCCGGGCGGCCTCGCCCGAGACGGCGAGGCTCGAGCCTCGCCAGATCTCGGCGAGGCCGAGCCTCGCCGTCTCGGGCGAGGTCGACCTCGCTGCGCGCGACCGACGGCGAGGCTCGGCCTCGCTCGATCCGGGCGAGGCCGCCGCCCGCGGCGGCGAGGTCCGCCCTCGCCTCGCGGCGAGGGCGACCCTCGCTCCGCCGGGCGGCGGCGAGGGCCGTGACGCCCTCGCCCCTGGGCCGTGGCCGGACGCTGCGCCGCCGGCCGGCGGGCCGGGCACCAAGAACAACACCACAAAATAAGAAAAGAAAAAAAGAAAAAGAAGAAAAAACTCGATTCTCAAAATGTGTTAGAAACAAGAAGCAACTTTTTTTACTTCTTGTTTCTCTTCCAAAATTGTTTCTCGGCACAAATTTTTGCAAAAATGTGCCGAGGAACAAAAAGTTTACCAAACGCATTTCTGTTCCCAAAATAGTTTGGGAACAAAAGAACAGAAATTTTCACTATTTGGCACGTTACCAAACGGGCCCTAAATCTCATTGTCTCTAACTTCATTTATTTCATTCGTTTAGCTTCTAATTTCATTTTAAATGACTTCCCCATGCTATCTTTATCCGTTTTAGCTTCCTCCTTTTCATTTCCTCTTGTTTATCACGGTTGTGCTTCAGGTTTGTTAAAAGAGAAGTCTGCTGACTTGGCATTTGTCGATGATGATCGTAGCATTCGACCACTGGCACCTTCAGATATAGCCGATGAGGTTTTCATCACAACTCTTTCCCATCCTAAGGATCAAGCTTGCAGATAGGATGAATATAGCGGTGACCAAAATGTATAGTAGCTCGTATACCAGCATATGTGGAAAGGTGCAGGTTAAAGAAGATAATCCTTCCCTAGAGGGCTTTCGACTCAATGGCATCTGCCTTCCTTGGAATGGCAGAGTTCCAGGATTCGACGACTTTCGGACCTCAGATCTTTGGATCGGATGAAAAAGTTTTTGTCACGGAACCCACTTGGCCATTGTCTTACAAGGCCCCCTCATCATCATCAGATCAGAAGGAGAAGGAGAAGCAGAAGAAGAAGAAGAAGAAGAGAATCCTTCGCTAAGCACGATGGGTCGCCACATGACCCATGAATCCCATAGGGAGATAGATGCCTATAACCGGTCGGAACCAGTATTTCCAATTCGTCCTGCGGACTGGCCACGGCCAAGAAATGTTGTATGAATATCCCCCGACTGCCTCGGGTGCGATTGCTAAGTATCACACCTTCGCACGGCTCTTTCATTCACGTTCGAAATAAAGAACGTTTCCCATTTGACCAAAAAAATGAAAAAAAAAATAAAAATAAAGTAACGTTTCCCTCGTCTCATTCATATTTCCCTGTTTCTTCTCTCTTTTTTTTTTCCGTTTGGCCCACTTCAAACCCTTTGCCGTGTCAAATATCTACTTATGGAAACAAACGGGAATCGCGACGAAAAACTCGCGCGCGCGAGAGGAGGAATCCAACGTTTTACTTTCTAGGAATCCTCCGGACGTTGCAGCCCTTCTCACCGCGCGATCGAGTTTGTACTCTCATCAGTTTCACTCGACAGATGCAAGACGGTCGCTGCACTGGGATCGGCCTGGTGGGTCCCCCAACTCACTACTACTGTGAAACGGTAGTCACCCAGGTGGGAGATCGATGATGGTACGTGAGCCGTTTGTTCTTCGGCCACCGTAATAAGGAAAAGTCAAAAAGAAAACGATCCTCTTTCTGGTCCAAGAATTTCACCCCCTCATTATTACCCACCAACGCACGGACAAAGAAAGAAAGAAAGAAAGAAGGAGAAGAAAAATCGAAACGAACTTCAATTTCGCCGAAGGTGGGTCGCTTTTGTCTTGACTAAAATTGAAGACAATTGGCGTTACCCTCCACGTGCTCTCCCCCCACCTCGCTCAGGAAAAATGGAGCAAAAAGAAAAAAAAACAAAGGAGGAGAAGGATTGGAGGCGGCGGAAATTACGGAATTGTCCTCCTCGTCATCCTAGCCGTTACGACCCCCCCTTTTCAGAGGCACGCGCTCGGCCCGCCACGTGTCGCCCCCATCGGTGGCCGGGGGCATTCCCGTCATTCCCCCCTTGCCTTCCTTCCCCTCCCCTCCGCTCAACTGTAGTTTTTCCCCCCCTCCTTCCCCCCCTCCCACTGTGCTGTGTGAATCATATACACCGAATCCTCCATACACTTTCACTTGAATTGCCTCTCTACTCTCTCTCTCTCTCTCTCTTCTGGACTTCGCTCTCCTTCTCGTTCGCTCGAGAGTTTCTCCCTCCCTCCCTCTCTCTCTCTCCGAGGGACTTCGGGAGCAGCTGGTGGTGGTGGACACTTCCGATTTCGCCATGGCTTCTTCCTCCTCCGAGCCGGGGCTGAAGTCCGAGTCCGGCGGCGGCGGCTGCGGCGGGGAGGCGTCGGAGGCGGCGGCGGCGGGCGATCAGCTGCTGCTTTACCGGGGGCTGAAGAAGGCGAAGAAGGAGAGAGGTTGCACCGCCAAGGAGCGCATCAGCAAGATGCCTCCCTGCGCTGCCGGGAAACGCAGCTCCATCTACCGTGGCGTCACCAGGTAGTCACACCAAAAAATAAAAAAAAATAGTCCGTGTACGGTGCGCGCTGACACTGAAGAAGCAGCTTATGGTCGGTCAGCGCGTACATGCGTACGATCGATCGGGTTCTTCTCATAGATTCTTGTAGTTTCTAAGCCGCTGCTCGTGCTCGAGAAGGTGTGTGCTGCGCGTGATCGCCGTTCGTTATCGTGCTGCCTGTGATTCGAGGACCCGCACGGACGTGTCCTCGAGCGAAGATTCGCTGCGATTAAGATTATGAGGTCGCGTTCACCGTTAAAAAACGTCACATCGCTAATTCCGTGGTTGTATAGAATTGGTACTTACCACAAGATATATATTGAAGTGCTGGCTAAATTTCAGGAAGTAGAACGAGCAGTAGTGTATGTCTGTACAGATGTATCGCGATTGGTGCGTGTATAGGCGTGTAGATATTAGGTATAATGTTATGGGCGACTGAGTGAGTGTGATAGAGTAGGAGTACTCTACGAGACATTTAAGCTTGATGAGTTCGCGAGTGAACTCGACCCAACCGTAGATCCTCACTTAAATGTCGTGTAGTTCTTTGCATCAATCTTACCGGTGAATCCAGTTGGGTCGAAATTCTTTCCGGGTTGTTGGTTGCCTTCACTTTCATTTTCCATACGTATGTCGTGATGATCTAATCGACCAGAGCTCATGTTTGTCCTGATACTCGAAACTGATGCTAAAACCTTTCGATATTGATGGACTGCAGGCATAGATGGACTGGTCGATATGAAGCTCATCTCTGGGATAAAAGTACATGGAACCAGAATCAGAATAAGAAAGGAAAGCAAGGTTGCTCTCGTTCTCTCAACAAAACCTTCTGACACGTTGCTAGAACAAATCTGGACTATTCACTTTATTAAACTGACGCTATGTCTTCTCTTTGTAATGTCCGTGGAATGGTTTGTTGAACAATCTACTCGGCCAGTCTATTTAGGTAAGTGAAGCTGAGTTTGATATATGTGCTTATTTGAAACAGGTTGATGCCAATTGCCAGCTTTTATAAGCTCTTTCTCATTTGGTGTCACACGATGACAGGTGCTTATGATGATGAGGAGGCTGCAGCAAGAGCCTATGATCTCGCTGCCTTGAAATACTGGGGACCTGGGACACTCATTAATTTTCCAGTTAGATAATCCCATGCCCAAGCCTTTTCCTCAATCGTTTTGCACGACATTTTAAAGTTTTGATTCTTGTGTGTGGTATCCTGCTTTATCTTAAGTTTACTTAATCCTATATAACAGGACATCTATCCACAAAGAAATAATACGCTAAACACTCATTTCACTAATTTCTTGATTGGTCATCTAAGTAGAATTTTTCTTACACAACCCTCCAACTTAATTAGGTCATTAGATGTACAGTACAGTCTACTAAGCATGACAAATTACGCAGGTCAAAGACTATACCAGAGATCTTGAAGAAATGCAGAATGTCTCTAGGGAAGAGTACCTCGTGTCTCTTCGTAGGTAAGTGAACATGTATGATTTGTCTTCGATCTGTTGACATTACACACTCCACTGAATTTATTCAATTGCCCATTAAATAATCTTACAGAAAGAGCAGTGGTTTTTCAAGAGGAGTCTCCAAATATCGAGGGCTTTCCAGGTTTGCTACTACAATATGAACTTGCTTTTTGATAAATTCTGTATATACAGGGGTGTGTACATACCACATGTGATCGAACTTCTTAAGGTTAGCAGGCGCTAGGAGCTTCGGATTCATCATGAATAGATGTTTTCAGAATCTATATCATAGACTGAACATTCTTTCTAGGATAATATTATTGGATAGGCTGGTCTGTCAGTTAATTTGCAGTCCCTTTCATGTTAAGCAGCATTCATAATATCATCCGAGCTCAAACTTTCGCTTTCTTTTCTTTTATTTCCTTTTATTGATTCATATAATTCAAACTCATTCAATGCTTTGTTTTGCTCTGCAAATTTGTTGCTTTTATATACTAGCCGATGGGAGTCATCGTTCAGTCGCATTGGCGGAGCAGAATACTTCAACAGCATTTATGGTGGGGAACTATACCTTTGAGCATCTCTGTTTTTGTTTGGGAAGCAAGCTGTCAATGAAGTGTGTGTCGTCTTAATCGACTTTACTCCTTAAAATCAAATTTCTAATCACAAAATTAAATTGAACAGGTGCAGGCGAAGATCCAGCGACAGAAAGTGACTTTGGAGGCAGTTTTTGCATTGATAGGAAGATTGACCTAACCAGCTACATAAAGTGGTGGGGCCAAAACAAAACCCGACAACTAGACTTGGCTACAAAATCAAGTGAAGAAATAAAACACTGCTCCTCTGATGATATCAATACTGAACTAAAAACATCAGAATGGGAAGCTACAGAACCGTACCAGATGCCCCGTCTAGGAGTACCTCGTGAAGGCAGAAAGCACAAAGGGTCCACTTTATCTGCCCTTGGTACTTTGTCACAGTCGGCTGCCTACAAGAACTTGCAAGAGAAAACGCTTAAGAAACAGGAAAAGGACCATGACAATGATGATGAAAACAAGACTACTATCAACAGGATGGACTATGGACAGCCTGTTGAGAAATCGAGAAGCCATGAGGCTAGCGAGAAACAAGGAGCAACAGTTGGAATGAGTGGAACGCCTCCGCCTCAAAGGAACCTCTATCCCTTAACTTCTTTCTTGAATGCACCCTTGCTGACTAATTACAGCAGTATTGACCCACTGGTGGATCCTGTCCTGTGGTCATCACTTGTTCCGGTGCTTCCTGCTGGACTCTCACGTACTGCTGAGGTTGGTGCTGTTGCTTTAGACTGAGCTAGGCTATTAAGAAGCATCTTTTCGTAACAATTCATTGATTGAGGAACTTGGATAAAATATTAAAATCGGGCAACACAATTTCATTAAATTTTTTAGTTGTTGGCTGGAATTCACATAGACATCCATTGAGATGCGCTAGCAAAGATAGGTCTGTTTTGTTGTAGCCTCTGACTATCAAGTTAAACTGCACAGGGACAGGGTTAATTCCTATTGTTTCCACACGCCCCTTTTGCTGTGTTCTCGATATTGGAATAATTGATTTTTCAAACTTTGTTCAGTCTGCGTGTGTGTATCTGCACTTGTACATGAAAACTCGACTTAAAAGATTAAAAGAGAAATGTAGTTTACCTCGGTTGGTATTGACATCTGACATTTACATGATAGCTGTTGTGAGCATGTGAGAAATCGAGGATGGATAGTACCTTTCATTTGATTATTATTCCCTGAGTGATCCAGTTCCCCCAATTGAATGAGACTTGTCTGACCAAACCCTACTGAAATGAAGGGGACAATAATATACAATAGTCATCCACCCTTTGACTATTGTGCTATTACTCTGTGTCACCGTGATCTTATCATTTGGTAAGATTCACTAGAATTGCTTCACTAGAACCTCGACTCGACAAACTTCATTCTTCTTGTGGAAATCTACCTCGGCCATGAAGTACTCAAATTCTAAATGCAGGTTCCAAAGTCCGAGACCAGCTCAACGTATACTTTTGTTCGGCCGCAGGAGTGATCATCTGTCACTTGTTGGTACCAAATTTTGTGTAAAGATGGAGTGCATACTCAAGACTTCCGGTCAGAGTTTTAGCGGAAGGCTGCCAAGTCAACAGAACTTAGAGAGCTCAGTTTCTTCAACAAATCGGAGGTGGCTTTTCCCTTGTCGGTTTGACATGGTTTCTGCCGGGTGGAGGACCAGAAGCACAAAAAGTGTATATGATTTAGATGTTGTAATTTTTGTATCACTATATATTACAGAGCAAAGAATACGAGATTGCAGAGAGAGTCGTAGGCATGTAAAGACTGAATGCGCCTTCTTAGCAAAATGTAATCTTGTTGCAAATAGAGTTATCGCAGAGTTTGGTATAACTGATTTCTGCTGAATAAAGAGAATACTGCTTATGATGTTATGATGTTATAAGATATAAAGATTGGTTTAGGAAATAAGTTCACAAAATGATGCGATATGGGGTGCTTGAGTACTTGTCACGTAACTTGGTATAACAACTTCATAATAGCATTTCTGATGCAGCCTACCATAACCAGAAAGAAAATCTCTCATCGGCCCTAACATTACTCAGAAAATCATCTCTCAATCCGAGCTTCGTGACGGCTTTAGAGCTTGCCGGTCGTACGTCCTTCGATACTGTGCCACTTCATTGTCTCCAAGGAGTACACAAGAGCCTGGCACTTGCAAGGTGCTTGTTGCAGGCCGATACTTCCGACACATACAAGAGTGAAATATCGAGAAGAAGAACGGATTTATTGCTACAGAGTCTTGAGTAAATATGATCCCGGGTAATTACAGCTTATTTTGGGTGATCTTTTCTCCTCTACAAGGTGACGCAACTTGAATAAAACGAAACCAAAGCACGTCATATCCATCGCAATTGCGACATTCTGGAATTGCTCCCCTTTTGGAGGAATGTGCTTGCCTCTGTCTAATGGGCTCTAATTTCTCCTCTATCCGGGGGACCGGGAAGAAATGTCTGACAACACAACATCGCGGAGAAATAACATGGATGAATGTGTTGTCTGCTAATCTCGCCCCTATCTAATGTTACAGAGTAAGAACCACAAAAATCCCTGGATGCTCGGGATTATCCAGACAAACCCATCTTCATGGCAACTTCTATTGGCACGGTGGTCTAGAGCAGGCCAATGGGCCAACTAGATGCTTGCATCAGTATGCAATCACACTGATATCTCCAGCTCGATGTGGAGGAAAGTTGAGGAGGCCCTGGAAACTAAGAAGCCGATGTTTACCCAGGTGCCACTTGTTCCAGATTACGCGTGTTCGAGCGTCTGTATAGGAGTGATTCCGTAGATTCATATAGATGAAATTTCAATCCTAGAGACTCCATTTTATCAATTAGACCAAAGGCCCATTGCCATCTATCATTAGAAAGTAGAAGAGAGCGAAGCAACTGGTTGCAGTGTCTGAACTTCACGTGGAATCCTCTCTCCAGCATATAACGGAAAACCTCCACCGATGCGTCCAAGTTTCTTTCCTTACACAGAGCAGGGAGCAATGTAGAACAGCTTGTGTAAGATATATCGAGCCGGTTCTCTTTGAGAAGTAAAAATATTTTGAGAGCTTCTTCAATTCTCGATGCTTGGCACATGCCAATAAGAAAAATGTTGTATGGTGCAAGATCAAAGTCCTTCAGACTCATCTCCAGCTGTAGCAATTGTCTGACTGCCTGCTCCACTTCTCCTTTCTCAAAATGCTCCTCAGCTACTTTTAAGGTTCTGTCATCTCGGCCAGGAAGGTTATTCAGATACTTTAACCAAAGACTAAATGCCAATGGAAGCTTACGTCTCCTGCATGACCAAGTTATTAGACATTTATTTACTGATGAGCTAGGTGGGCATCCCACCCTTTCCATCTTATCAAAAACCTCAAATGCTTCCTCTTCTCTGTCAGCCCTTTGTAGCCCATCTATAAGAGTTGCATAGGTCACTGAATCCGCGAGCCCCTTCATCTGTAGCTCCTTTAACAGATTGCGAGCAGCAGTTAGTTCGCCTGCCTTGCAGAAACCATTTATCAATGTATTGTATGTTTCAATACTCGGCACAACACCACTATTGGCAAGCCGAATTAGAAGCTGGTAGGCCTTAAGAATCAACCCAGATTCGCATAACTGCGACACCATCTCTTTGAGACTCTCGCTATCTACCCTCCGCTTGGAACCTTGAGAAAGCCGAAGCACTATTGAAGGATTTCTGCCTATCTCCATCTTGTGGAGCAAAAGGTGGGCTTCCTTGAGCTCACCAGCCTTACAGAGCCCATCCATTAAAGCATTGAAGGTCACGACAGAAGGCAAGCAGCCATGTTTTTCCATCTCGTCGAATATCTGTCGAGCCTCTTCAACTAGCCCGTTCCTGCACATACTGCATATGAGAATCGTGTAAGTGCAGGCATCATGAATGGAATCACGCTGCGATATCTCGAGTTGAAGAGACCGGGCCTTGTCAAGAAGACCCACGTCACAAAACCCTTTTACTATAGCGTTATAGCAATATGAGTTTGGAATTAGACCTCTCTGGGTCATTTCCTCGAGCATACTCATTGCATCCTCCATCCTGCCTGCGTTTGACAAACCCCGAATCATTATGGCATACAAGGTGACATCAGGTATGACCTCCTCCTTGACCATCCTCCTATACCACACATCCACTTCATCATATCTCCCAGCTTTAAACAACCCATTAAGCAAAGTGCTATACCCCTTCAACCCAAGTGCATACCCCTCCTTCTCGAACGTCGGCAGAACCAACAAAGCCTCGTCTATCTTACCTGCTTTGCAGAACCCATCAAGCAAAACATTGTAAGTAACCGAATCGGGACTACACCCGCTCTCCCTCATAGACTCAAACAACTTATAAGCATGATCCGTGCTCTTCGCTTGACACAGCCCCGCGACTACTATTGTGTAAGTCCTCTCATTGGGCGATATACCTCTAAGCGTCATTTCGTCAAACATCTTGAGAGCATCTTTAATCTTGCCGCTTTTGCAGAACCCGTCAATCAAAATAGTATAGGTAGCTCGGTTCGGCAAACAATCTGACTTCGCCATCTTATTGTAAATCGCCAGAGCCAACCACATAAGCTGCTTCCGCCAAATAATGTGCATTATCTTATTATAAGTATACACATTGGGCTCACAATCAAAATCCCTCATCCTCCCAAATGCATCCACGGCCTTCTCGGGCATACCCATCTCCCAATACGCCGAGATCAGCACCAGGAAAGCGTCGGACACGATCGGAAACCCGCGGCTCCTGACCTCCTCGAGGACCCTCCAGTACGCATCGAGCGCGCCGTCTTCTTCCGCGAGCATGCCGACCACCAAGCGGTGAGAGTCCCAGACGCGGAACCTCCTGTCCCGCATCGCCCAGAGGAGGAACCGGAAGCACCGCGCGCGGTCCCGCTGCTCCCGGACGACGGACTCCACGACGTCGTGGGAGAGGAACGGGGAGATGCGGTCGAGGGCCGGCTCGACGGCGGGGCCGGCGGCGTCGAGGATCGCGAGGACCTCGCTGGAGACGAAGAGGTCGTCGGCGGCGCGGTTGTGGAGCCACAGGGGCCGGGGAGAGAGGCGGGAGGCGGTGGTCCGAAGGGGCCGGAGGAGCGTCCTCATGGCAGGGAGGAGGAGGAGGAGCGAGCGTAGATGGCGATCGTTGCTGCTTCCCAGGGGATCATCGTTCGTTGCCCGTCTTGTGTTTGTGATAATTCAAACGAGGAAGAGCGGACAGTTCTTGTTCGAGCCTTCGAAGAATTGAGGGCGACGGCGGCGCACGGCTTAAGACAGCCTGAACAGTGCCGAGCTGAAGGGAGAGTTGGAACATGTCTTCATTTCGGAAAATGTCACAAACGGTCTCTTGAATTTTGGTTCGATGTATAATGTGATCTCTGAATTTTTAATTTGCTCAATGTAATCCTTAAACCTTAACCTAATATAAGTAGAAAAAGAAATCTACTTTTTATTTTTAGAAATAAATAGAAATAGAAAGGTCCTGGTCCTCAAGTCGCGACCTCGCTCCTCCTCCATCCTCCATCGTCGCAAACCGTCTCAAAGCACCTGGTCTGGTCCATTCTCGCGGAAATAATAAAAAATTATAAAAATTAAAAATTCCAAAATTCATAAAAATCAGAAAAATTCTCAGAAAATCCATAAAAATTAGAAAAACTCAAAAACCCATAAAAAATTGCAAAATTCCGAAATTAAAAAATTAAAAAAAATTCATAAAAAGCTTTCCGGAAAATAAAAAGAGACAAATTTTGGGAAAGTAAAAAGTTTTAATAAACTTTTCCCCAAAAAAAACAAAAATAAAAAATTCACATAATGGCTTAGAATAAATTAAAATTTCCGAAAATTCATAAAAATTAGAAAAATTTCAGAAAAATCCCATAAAAATTAGAAAATTAAAAAATTCCCAAAATTCATATAAATCAGAAAAACTCAGAAAACCCTTAAATATTTGCAAAATTCCGAAATTGAAAAAATTTAAAAAATTTCATAAATTTTTTTGAAAAATAAAAAAACAGATTTAGGGAAAGTAAAAATTTTAATAAATTTTACCCCAAAAAATATAAAAAATTCACATAATGGCTTAGAATACTTGCGCCACCCACTTTGAGTAATTTAAATTTTTGAGGTGCCCAAGTGGTATTTTGAATATTCCTTAGTTTAGGGATTAAAAGGGTTTAAACCCCTAAAAGGATTAGACAAACCAATAAATTATGCTTATTGGTTTTTTCACTTATAACTTGTACTTATAGTTAAATAAAAGATATAGATTTGAATGCAAAAATTGGGAATAGAAATTTTGTGCGATTACCAAACGCATTTACGTTCTTTTTCTATTCCGAATAGAAATTTTGTGCGATTACCAAACACATTTCGTTCTAGAAATAAAAATTTTGTGCAGCTTACAAACGCATTATTTTGTTCGAAACTCTTCCAGGAAATAGAAATAGAAAAAACTATTTCGAAAGAAATTATTCCGAAAATAGAAACGTTACCATACGCACCCTTAGTACATGTTCAATTTAGTTCGAAATTCTTCAATTAATTCAAATTCAGAGACTATATTGAACATTTTCGTATAATTCATGAACTGCATTAAATATATGCTAAAAGTTTATGGACCACAATGAATAAATTAAAAGTTCATGAATCACATTGTGCATTAGGCTAAAGCTCAGGGACTACATTAAATAAATTAAAAGTTCATGGATACCACTGCACATTGAGCCAAAGTTTAGGGATTGTTTGTGTCACTATCCCTAAAATCAATAAACCCGCTATTGTTGAATGTGGATTACAATAGTAATTTGCTTTAGATGACATAATTTATATCTAAAACAAACGAGTTTGAAAAGAAAAAAAATTAACGAAATGCACAACACGTTTGGTTGTGGTAATAACTATAACGCATCCATTGAAATCGGAGTGCGCAGCGAAAAGTGAAATTTGAAATTGATTTAGAAAACTAAATACTTTTAATATAAGAAAGCATTTTTTTTTCAATTTCAATCTTCGCGGTATTTTCTATGCTAATGTGTGATTTATTTGATTGAACCTTTTTTTCTATCAACACATTGGTAAAAAGGTGTTGTTAAGTAGCTGGTTCGGAGAATTTGATGCAAAGCAAGGAAAAGTAAAGCTTGGAGTATAATTAAGAAGTTCTTAGAAAATAATCTTTTAATTAATAAATTAAACACCATCATTCCATCGTTACAAGAATTTTGCCCCCTCGAGGCCCGCAAATTTATGATGTTCTAAAATGGGTTGGAAAAGGCCCTATCAATTCCGGCCCAAATAGCATAGCCTTTTTGTAAATTCTATTTCAAGCTCAATTCGGCAATCGATTCCACGTTATGTCTTCTTGACCCAAAAATCAATTAGAGATGCTTTAGAGTCCAGCAGTGACTACCGAGTCTGGTTCAACCTGGGAATCGGACCGAACTGGCCTGGACCAATCGGTTCAAGGTCAATTCAAAGGAGAACCAGTTCAATTCGAGATTCCGAGGCTGGAACCACCATTCTATCTAGAAACTCGAGTGTTTAAATTGGTTCCAAAAGGATTTTGAAACTCTTTATGAGATATATACACACACACAGCCTTGCACTCATAAAAAATCGAATTGGGAACAAATAATCATCGTAGCTAGATCAACATATGTAGTGGTAATGAAATGGCGCAGCTTTGATATTATTCATAAGAATTCGAATTTTTATACAAAACAAAAAGTGGGCCGGTTCCTAAGTAGAACTAGGAATTGGGAGTCACAATGCCGGTTTCTTGTTCCAACGCGAAAATGACCCTCCGAGGGACCGATCACCCCCACCGCATAGTCTAGTTTCACTTGCTCCTCCACCTCCATCAACACACACTAACAAATCATCGTCCTATAGCAAAGAGAAAGCTCAACGAGGTGATAGCCCGAGCGCTAAAAGAAGTACCATGTCCTGAATCCCAATCAGTTCTTGCCGTAATCTCTTGGGTCGAGGTATACGAAAGTAAATTTCTCGTGAACTCCCTCAAATTTAGGCACGGAAAGCTTCGTCTTTTATCAGGCCAAAGGAACGGTTTAAGGTAGAGCACGAATGCAAAAGGGATGAGACATAACCGCGGCCCACTCCAAGAAAAAACAAACGAAGAAAGAAAGAACGACAGTACGAGGTACGATAACGTTGACATGACGGATGTACAAAGTCACATTCCACCTTTGACTATGACATCCACTTTACTTTGGCCTGTGGGTTTGACGGTTGTATAGTTACCTAACATTCTTCACCTCGGCTCAATGTCAATCTAAATCTAAGCAAACTTATGATAATTCTCCATCTTGTGACCATGACTTTGAAAATTGTATGGTTACCTAACATTCTTCACCTCAACTCAATTTCAATCTAAGTTTCATCAAATGATGCTAATTGTCAATCTCCTTAGCACAACACCCTTCAACCATCGCACGTTCCCATTCGATTTATTTTTCGGCTTAGCGACTATGTGAAATCCGCATTAGTTTTCGCACATCTCGATCAATCCACCTCCAAGGACAACGTTAAGGACACACTTCCCCATTTTTCGAGGTGGTACATTTAGGATTTTACTAATTGATTGCTCCCAACAAGAATAAAGTCCATGACTTTAAGCTCTCTTACCATCTTAACCAACACGCCTCCGTTCGAATTTTAAAGCAAAAAAGAATGGGCCGTGATAATTACTTTCGTCAAAAAAACATTGGAGCACGGATCCCGAGAATCACCGGCAAAAGTTAATAAAGATCAAAAGGACGAGTAGTCTCTTTAGCTTAAGCCACACACCACGAGCAACGAGCCATTAGGCCAATGAGAAGGAGGGGTGGTTAATTAACCAACTTTCCAACTTCCGTCATCTTCCTTTCCCCGAGGAATATGCCATGTTAAGATACTCTCTCCTTCCGAGGATGATTCCGGCATTATTCCATCCGTTTAAAGATTTTTTTCAATTAAAAAAAAAAGAAAGGGTGAGAGAAATGTTGAAAAGAGCAAAGTGACCTTTCAAGGCAATAATGTTCTGATGCCATAGTTCCGTAACTCATGATTGGTTTTAGTTGGTAAAAGAAGGAAAAAAATCACCAAAAACTTCGAACTTTGTCATCTGTGACACATTTACTCCCAACTTTTTTTTGTGACACCAAAAATCCCGAACTTTGCTTTTTGTGACACATTTACCCCAATATATTTAGTCCATGGGCATTTTCGTCTTTTTTGCTTTTTTTTTTTTTTTCCTTTCCGGCGAGGGGGGGCCTCACCGGCGTCGGGCGGCCCTCGCCGGATCCGGCCCTCGCCGGCGTCGGGCGAGGTTCGCCCTCGCTGGGCGAGCGAGGGCGGCCCTCGCCCGACTCGGAGGTCGACCCTCGCCGGCGTCGGGCGAGGGTCGACCTCGCTGAGCTCGGGCGAGGGCCGCCTCGCTCGCCCAGGCGAGGGCGACCATCGCCCGATCTCGGCGAGGTCGACCCTCGCCGGCGTCGAGCGAGGGTCGCCCTCGCCCGGGCGAGCGAGGGCGGCCCTCGCCGACGCCGGCGAGGGCGGCCCTCGCCGGATCCGACGAGGGCGACCCTCGCTCGACGCCGGCGAGGTCGACCTCGCCGGATCGGCGAGGGTCGACCTCGCTCGAGCCGGGCGAGGGCCGCCCTCGCTCGCCCAGCGAGGCGCCCGACTCGCGAGGTCGACCCTCGCCGGCGTCGGGCGAGGGTCGACCTCGCTGAGCCGGGCGAGGGCCACCCTCGCCGGATCTGGCGAGGGCCGCCCTCGCGACGCGGCGAGGCCCCTCACGGAAAGGAAAAAAAAAAAAAAGAAAAAGAAAAAGCAAAAAGATAAAAATGCCCATGGATTAAATACATTGGGGTAAATGTGTCACAAAAGGCAAAGTTCGGGGTTTTTGGTGTCACAAAAAAAAGTTCGGGATAAATGTGTCACATATGGCAAAGTTTGGAGTTTTTTGTGGTTTTTTCCCGTAAAAGAACGACAGTAGACATATATGAGGCGCACGGCACCTGTTTGATTTCTTCATATGGTACGATACGAGGATATTTTCAGTTCTAATCACCGCATCGACCTGACTAGTGTAAGCAATTGGAATTTGGTATCTATCAACTCGTCGAGGATGGATCTTCATGCCAAATGTATGAAAAAACGAAAAAAGAATTTGTTGCCTCGATTTCTTTGGCTACATATGGAGTATACACATATATGTATTCGGCGTAAAGATCGAAGATAGATAAACGGATTTTTGTGTGGAAAGAAAGTTTTGGCCAAAAAAGAGGGATTGTAACGATGAAGA